TGGGGTATTTTGATCCTTCGCGAGGAAATTTACGCACACTGCAATGTTTTACCCCGTAAAGCTGCAAATTGACTGACAATATCTTAAGAATCATGTGAGTAACCAGACTGTGCTCAATTAGTAGGTTGTGGCTTGAAAAACCGTCCATGCAGCAGTTGTAATGAAGTGCTTTCTTAATTTAAGCTATATGTGATATCGACATAGCAAGCTGCTCTACAGACATAATCATTGAGTATATCCAAAGCAGTGGATAAGTACGACTGAAAGTTGATAAAGTGTTGGGAAACTTGGTCGCATCAACTGCTTTCTCCTTCCTTTTGTATCATGTGTAACTCACAATGCTGGCCTAAGTTTATTGTGCTATATTCCCAAAGGCTGGAATGTTATTTGCCTCTTCGTCTTAGAATAAGCTCACCCCTGACAAGCAACATGATGGTGGAATTGTAAGGTTGGGGATTATCTCTAATCGACGAAGCACAACGATATTGCCACAAACCATCAATACTCTCTTATTGCAGTAAATACTACTTAGATGGTATTCAAACTGAATTATATGCCGAAACTGCTTTCTGGCTTTCAGGGTCATCCATAATACAGCCATCGGGATTCGAGACAACCTGTGTGTCATCTGCTCTTAGCGGAGCTCACACCATGAGCGAGTTTGTTAGATGATGAGGGTCTCATCAGCTTAAAGGAGTTCCTTTGGTGAATAACAATCCAGAAGCATTCAATATAAGATAATCATTATGGCTCTTTATGAAACCCTCGTTGCAAGGGTAACTTCATGGGATGATGAAGTCAATCTCGAGATGCTTGCCAAATGTCTTGAGTCATCCAAAGACCCCTGCTTCTAGGTCTCTGTCCATATAGCATATTACTAGCTTATTCATCAGGCCGGTCTTGAATCCATTCGCAAGTCTTGGACCTGCGTACGAAAGGATTCAGCCTTGCCTTTATACGCAACAGGCTGCACACCATGCAAGTTTGGTCTCAAAAGAGGCCGTGCGCAGATCGATAAAATAGACACAATGCACACCACTCCAACACTATATATTGACATGCATGATACATGACTCCACACCACGACTGGCATGTTTAATATCGCAGGGCAAGACGAAATCTCCGAATACTATCCAAAGTTGCTTTCATGTCGTGTCGATCCACATCCTCATTAGAGCGCGAAAAAGACACAACCATAACTACACTTGTAGTTTATTGTCCAATATGAGGAAACATGCGTGATAAAAGTATAACAACTCTCTTAGGATTATCCAGTCTACCGTTGTCTTTTGTTCGGAATCGACCTGAAAGAGTTACTCGGCTAGGAACACATCCGCAGGGAGGCTTAAGTGAAGGGGCCGTCTCAGCTGAAGTGATTGCGCCTCGCCGATTAGTACCTGAAGACACTCGACAAACTGCACGGTAGTAGGATAGATATAGAGAACTCCAAGGCTTAAAAATGAGCGAGCAACCAGCGAGATCAACAAGCCAAGCAAGGTAATGAACCATATGTACGCGCTATACTGTGAATATGCTTGGTACCCGATACGGACCCAACAAGCTATGAGAACGACTCAGACCCGACCAATAGAAAGATTGTAGATTAGACGGTGGAAAAGCGAAGTGCATACCTAGTACGGGGTAGGTATGTGTAACAGATAGATTAACAGTCCGCCTTAGGCTCTCCTGTCATGGTTGTCTGAAGACAGGCCCAACCAATCAAAGCCAGTATGTCATGTGCACGTCACGTGACTAATAACGGTTGGCCCAGGATTACCAGGTAATTTGCCAACTGGATCAATGATTCAATACAGCCTGGAAGGATCACGGAGTACCCGGCTTGCTACGGTTCCTCCGCACTCAATCTGTGACATGTATCGGGAAGCTAGAAAGGGTTGTGTCCGGGAAGTATTCTCCGAGATTTCTTCGATATTTTATTTTTTTGGGTTCTTGGTATCCCTGGAACCCTGCCAATACTAACACCTACCGACTTCCCCAATTGGCAAGCAGGTTAAGTTTTCTGAGGTCATGCATATACTCTATCTGCACCTGTCAAGATTCATCCATAGAGTTGATGCATCCAAAATCCTTTGATGCAAAGCATGGCTACTCGAACTTAGCAGTTCGCATATTGCTTTTTACATGGAGGAACACTTTTCGGCCCCCCCCCCCTCCTTCCTTCGAGTAGATAATCACGCCACTAGTACCCGGTATAGAATATACTACTACTGCATGTAAGAATGGCAGGTCCTGGGATATGTATATCAGTAGCAAGGTAGTATCCGGGACTATCTAGATCAAACTGAGGACACCTTCGGCGTCCCCGCTATTATGTACTAACGCTGACGGCGGAGTTTCGGGGAAACTGAGCCGCGGGCGCGGAAAGTAAGTTACAGGAGAGAGTTTAAAACTCAAGGTAACTCCCGACGTGTCCCTCTTGGGGCTAGAAAGGAAAGTTAAATCGTAAAACCGGCAGTATGGCCGGGGGACCATGTCATCGCATTAGCGTTGCCTGGTGTTGCTGACGTCTAATATGAGATGCTAGCTAACCCTAAATGAGGGGTAGGATAATGGTATTCTGGTATACCTTAGTACTCATCTCGGTCCCAGAGCTTCATGAACAGATGTAACAGGCATCTTGTAATCAATGGGTGGCGACACTGTCTGAGTCATTGAGTAGCACTGGAGTAAATCCCCACATATGCTTGTCCGGGAGGTTGATGCAGTATGGAGTCAAATTTCTGACAAGGCAGCAAGTCCCAGTATCTATGGGAACTAGAAAGCAATCATACAATACTCGCTTACGGTGGGGCTGCTGCACGGAACAGTATTTGCTTGGGCTGCGGTGGATGCTTCCTATGAGAACCCAAGTTACCCAACAGTATCCGAAGTTCCTAGAATATATCTAACTTTTTAAAAATTTTGTTAGTTAGGGCATCCATGGAGAAAAGATGACTAAGAGTACGTTGTATGGAGAACAGTTGTAGCAGGGTTTTGTGCCAAGGACTCAAACTAGAAGGTACCAAATCAATACCTGGTCACACATGGGAATGTGTAGTACAGTACCAGAGACATTTCGATCATGGTCGATCCAGACATCGGTACTTGATCAAGTTCTTTGGAAGTCGTGGAATTGTCCTCATTGTCTGATCATAATAGCTTTGCTAGGTTCATTCATTGTCATGTGAAAGACGAGTGCCGTGACCCGCAAGTATAGTGGATATGCTATCCTGTACCTACACACCAACGCCCGGTGGAAGATGAGTGGACTCCGGACTACTGCTTTAAATACAATATCAGACATACCATACAGATATTATTACAATATCTATCTGAAAAGCAGGGGCCAATAGAGAGAGTACGTGTGTTCGGGTAGTTCCTGGTGCCTTGCAGACGATAACCTATCGTAAAATGGACAGGGGGCCAAATGAGGGGAATGGTTCTTTTGGCTCGAGAACCAGTCCGAGATTAGGTGATCGTAGACAGTATTAGCTGATCCACAGCCGTTTAGGAATCGAAGAGGGGGAGGTGGGATCATTGCTCTCCTCCGGACAAATATGTGGTTTTTAATATAAATGACGGTGCGGACATGGCCTGGCGAGGAATCTAGATCCGCATGCTTGGGAATGGCGAAGGACCCGAAATGGCTCTGTGCGCGAGTTTGGTACACTGTCCGTGCTCCCATCTAAGTATGAGGGGCTCTCCTTTTTTTTTCCCACACTCTCCTCATTTTTTCTTAGTATTTCTAAATTTTTCTTAAACATTTCTTTGGGACATCGATCTCGGCCCCGGGAGGGGGACTCCATATTAATAATAACATTCCATCAATAATAGTAATAGTAATAATTAGACCCAGAAAAATAAAAACGCCAGCCAATCATCGGTACCCAATGCAAGGTAATGAATGTATTCGATGTATTGTGGGATGGTAATTTATGTTTTCTTACCATACTACTACTACTGCCAGGATAGTACTTCTACATAGGTATGTGGGTATGTACGGTACATACATCACTGCTTAAGATATTATCCATGTAGGTTCTACGCAGTATTGCACCGATTGAATCAGGCTAAATTCCATCCTCAGGGCTAACAGGAGCTCTTACTGGATTCAGTATGCCGTGAGCAGCGAACCGACTGAACACGGTACAGGCAGGGTGTTAGTCAATTTAGGTAAATAGTAATAAGAACTTCGGCCCTGTGGCCTGCGGGGCAAAAGGGAAATTTTCTTGACGATGATTGTTTTCTGCCCCTAAACTTCCTAAACTTCCTCACTAAACCACCAACTAATTAATTAGATTAAAGACCGACCATGGTAACAAGTACAATAGTCTTATACATATCAACGCTAAATCGGCCGTGCTAGTGCGACCATCTGCCAGACTGGAAGCGCGCTCCAAAGCTCCCCACCTTCCGACTCCGAGGCTCGACTAGACTGAAAGTTATACATAGTACGTCCTGGACAACCTCCTTTTCGTTCCAATAATGTCCTGGAAATTTGGGTCCCTATTGCTCTAACCTTTCCTAACTCATCTCGCCTGCCGACCCGCCCCGTATTTTATTCTTGTGCTTGTTGTTTAGTCCTACTTGGCCTTTTTTATACCCGTGAGAAAATTACTCCAAATTCAAAAAAAAGAAAAAGAAAAAAAAAAATTCCAGCAACCAAAAAAAAATCATTAACAAAACCTAAACGAGCTCAACACAAGTCCAAATCGGCAGTTCTTCTCTTCTTTCCAACCTTCCCGAAGCCATCGCAGATCATTATTCCTCTGTTTTATGCGTTTTCCCTTTCTGGGTGACCTTCTTTGTCCGGTTCTCTCCCGGTTCCCAGTAGTCGTGAATCACCTACTGGTGTAACTCCTGTTCGCTTCCCCTCTCAACCTCTCTCGCACCACCCTTGCTCAGTGTCACCCAAAGGCCATTCTTCCTTTCTCTCTCCTCGCCACTTTCTGGACCCTCCCTGCGTCGTGCCCCCCTTCACACGAAATCCCCGCTTCATCATGGGTCTTTTCAAGCGCAAGGACTCCAAAAACTCGATCCATACCGAGAGGGATGAACAAGAATCCTTTGTGTCGGCTAACAGCGCTCGTACATCCAATGCCTCATTGAAATCTCCCGGTTTCAAGGGAAGTGGCAGTGGCTTACCAGCTTCCATCCCGGAAATTTCGATTGCCAAACCGCCCGACCCAGCCTTGGACCCTGCAGCCTACCTGCGAAGCATACATGCTGTTCGAGAGCGTTCTAGATTCGTCTTTGGGAAGGCGAAAAGAAACAAGCTTAACCATTTCGATGTTGATATGAGCAAGTTCGAAGCCACCGCGTCCTACATTGTGTCCATCATTAAGGTGAGTAACCTAACTATACATAGCCGCCCCCTCCCCTTCTCTGACCATAATGTGATATTCTCGATTTGACTAACTGTCTTCACTGCACGTGAAGAGAGATTATGCTCCAGACTATGATTCGATTCCTCCCCATGGTCGCTGGCAGCACTTCGATATTGGTGGCCGACCCCGCATCAATCAGCTGCTGCAGTCCTGGCCTAGCACAATCGATGCGCAAGAACGAACTCGACGATTAATCGACCTCTTTGTAGTTTCCGTCCTTCTGGACGCTGGTGCTGGAACTAGATGGTCTTACAAATCGAAGGAGTCTGGCAAGTTCTTCTCGCGGAGCGAGGGGCTGGCTGTTGCTACACTTGAGATGTTCAAGAGCGGACTTTTCAGTAGTGATCCTACCGAGCCATGTCAGGTGGATGGCGCCGGCTTGAAGAAGATTACGGTAGAACTGCTGGCCAAGGGCGTGCAACACTCAGAGAACAACCCATTGGCAGGTATCGAAGGTCGTGCGGGACTCTTGATTCGACTTTCAGAGGCATTGAACAATCAAGATTTCTTTGGGGTGGATGCTAGGCCAGGAAACATGCTTGGTAAGTGACCAACTGTCTGGCATGCTTGATGGGGTGGCCTGCTAACGAAAGTCTCCTTCAGACTATCTTCTCTCACACCCCTCGACACAAGCTTCGTCGGTCCCTATCATTCCTATTACAACGCTATGGTCCGTCCTTATGGACGGGTTGACGCCAATCTGGCCGCCTTCCAGAACACAGATCGATGGCCTGTCAATCGGAGATGCTTGGCCATGCTCTGACTTGCCCCCGTCCCCTCCCGCGCAACCTTGGGAGACTATTGTCCCATTCCACAAACTCACGCAGTGGTTGTGCTATTCTATCATGGTTCCGATGTCGAAACTGATGAAGATTCACTTTGCCGGCAGCGAGCTCCTAACAGGTCTTCCCGAGTATCGCAATGGCGGCCTCTTGATCGATATGGGTTTGTTGACTCTCAAGGAAGCTGATGCTCAACGGGGCATTGCTGCATATAAAGAGAATGCGCAGATCAAGGGTCAACCAAATGTGGAAGTTGTTCCTCTTTTCTCCACCGACGATGATGTAGTCGTGGAATGGCGCGCCGTAACAGTTGGGTTTTTGGACGAGCTACTCGTGGCGGTCAACTCTCAGCTAGGGTTGGTTGGAGAGGACCAGTTAACCCTTGCACAGATGCTCGAAGCTGGATCATGGAAGGTAAGTCTTATTCGTTATTTTCCAGCCCTATTGCACTTTGCTGATGGATTCTTAGGGCGGCCGGGAGATTGCCGAGGTATCGAGGCCAAACACTAAGGAACCACCGATTATGATACGCTCCGATGGTACTGTTTTCTAATGTTTAGCATACCCTGTCGATTCGTGATACCTGACTCCGCCAGCTATGCCTGTTGATGGGTGGCGGAAGTCCTTACGACCTTTTAATGACCAGATACTTATGTCTTCCGTTCTTTCCACCTCACTCCATCGACATATTTGCGAAAGGAGCTATATCTTCTGCTGTAGAGCTACTATTTGGGATGATGATACATTCTTGTACATTTCTTTTTGGGAGGGGTTGTCTCTAAAAGCACTGACGACCTTGGGATTGGCGACAGATTTACGTACTGCCTGCGAGCTGTGATCTGACGCCACCCGTTATCTAATATTACGCGCATTCTGATATTCAAGGAAGCGATGCGGCCTTTTAGTCTGTGTGGCCTTGTTATAACATGTCAATCCAAGCATAATTGACTTTTTTGGATCTTAGAGGTGGAATCGCCTAGCAGGCGATGATTTTGGGGGTAGTAGACTAGTCAGTCTACAGACAATAGTGTAGTATAATGAAATTCATTATAGGCCGGAGCTAGAAGCTCATGCTAGCCATGGATACTTTAACCTTATCTGAAAGCCTTACGCCTCAACACTAACGTCAAGTGCGCTAAGTTTTCCAGTACACTGGTAAAGTGGAAAGGTAAAATAAGCATCACGCCCTGGCTCCTTTCCGAAAGAGGAAAGAAGGGGCATGTCTGGAAGGTACCGTGGACCAAGGACCTATTAAACAAACTCCTACCTCAATTTCAACCTTTAGCTAGCAGTAGTAAAGGTAATAGGAATAATGTGACATGTTCATGCTTGGGTATCTAACACAATAAAGAGCTTGACGATATTTTGCCAATTTTTGCCTTCCTTTCCTCTGCCCTGTCGCCTTTCTTCTCTTTCTTTTTTTTACTATTTTTTTTGTTCTCGTTTAGTTGGGTGATACTACAGTTAGCCATTTGTATGAGAATTGTTGGCTAGTTCACCGTCTGGGGATTCTGGTGCAGGAAGTGGGAATCCATCCCCGTGACCCATCGCTGCTGCTTTTGAGAACCCCTCCCTGGCCAGCATTGTATTCAGTACAGCGCAGTTATAAGCTGCTTCACCCGGCGGGACGACAAGGAAGATATATGTGTTATCGGTGAACCGACCCAAAAAGACATTGAACTGGGGCGTCTTGGTATGCATGACGACGAATCCGGCCGAAGCGGGCGTGGTATGGGTATTCCGGGCCGCGCAATGCTTGAACGCCTTCATTATATTGGAGAGTCGCTCGTGGCGATCATAGATGGGGTTGAGGTCGCCTATTTCCGAGGCGACGGAAGTGACGGTTAGGAAAGTCGAGCGCTCAAAGAGGATAACTTCCTCGGCATCGATACGCTTGGCAAAGGCGTGCAGAAAGCGCTCGATGACGCTGAGATTGGGGATGAGACGGTGGACGATGCCGGCCCATGCCTTGTAGAGGGATTGGTCCCAGATGCTGCTGCCGAAGGTGTCGATGGAGAAATTGTCCGAGCGGCTCCGGATGAGGGCGGAGCGTTCTTCGTAGATGCGTTGGCGATGCTCAGCTTGGATGAGATCGAGCTTGTGGACGAGACAGAAGACGTAGGCATTCGGGCTGTACTCTTTCAAGGCACCGATGATAGCGTGGTATGTGTCGAGGTCTCGTTCTACTTCGCGGGACTCAATGTCAAAGACGTAGATCAGGACTGCGACGTCCGAGAAGATGTTCCCCCGTTGCGAGGCGAGATATGTCTCCATGAAGGCGTCTTGGCCTCCGCAGTCCCATAGGTTCAGGGTCAGGTTCCCCATGAACTTGACATGGCTGTGTTCCACGTCAATTGTGGCGCCTAGCCGGCGGACATCTTTGGCGACGTAGTTGCTGAAAATAATTGATCTCATAGAGGACTTTCCTGAGCCACTCTTCCCCATTAAGAGCACCTTTCTCTTCTTCTTTCGGACGTCCATGGTTGCTGGTAGTTGGGGTCGTTCCGGAGGTTGACTGTACCCCGCAGAGTGCGGGTAGTGGTTCCTTTAGTTCAATGGGGGAAACGGGGGCGTGGTGGTTTGGTTTCGGGCATCGGCTGAGTTCTTTGTTGGATCAATTGCTGGCGTTTGAGCCAAGGCGGTGTTATATGCACTTTGCTCTAGTGCTGGATGAGCACTTGACCAGCCCCAGCCTCATCGTTGCATGATGAGGGGAAACGATGATCCGGGATGTCACGTGTAGATCACGGGCCTTCGAGTGAGGTAATCAATGAATACACCATTCACTGTTTACCATGCGTTGAATAAAACTGAATTGTTGACAGTGAACTTGTTTTGCTATGGGTCTACTTCGAGGGTAACAAAGAGGTAATAGAAACTGCTACGTTTGCGACTAATCTGCTAGGGGATGTATGGGGATTCAGGCGTATAAAATTATATATTGTTTCTCCATACTATCATAATTCTAGATACTATTGGTTCTAATCTACTACCCACCAACATCTTAAATTTTCGGTGTAATCTTCACGTTTACAAGGATCATAGAGATCATATATAGTGATAATTGACTGCAAGTTATGCCAAAGTATTCATTAGCTAGTTTTCATTTACTCGTAGTTATAGATCGTTCATTCGGCTAGATAAGCCATCTCCATAGTACACCTCACACCACAGACGTCACAAGTTGGACAAGCTTGTCTTGCATATCACAGAATATATTGACAGCCTGTATATGCCGGTTAATTAATCTAAATGGCCTGTAGGTCGATAGCCCAATCCACGTACCTGAGTAAGCTTTTCCTCGCTTGCCCCATGGAGGTCTCTAGTGAAAGCAAGACGATACGCCGATTCATCATTGACGAATGACACAGACGACGAAGGGAGCACCAAAGGAGCTCCACTGTCGAACAGAGACTCTATCTGAGGCACAGAATCTGGCCGCGAAAGCTGCTGCAAGAGATTCGGTGCGATGGTGATATGATCAACACCGGCCATCGCAAATATCTCATCCGTCGAGGTTAAACTGGCTGGTAGAACCTGTGTTTTAGCATTGACCGATTTGTAGTACTTCTGGATAGCGACACAGAGAGGTAGCAGCTTGTTCGGATCCGTGAAACTGAGCGAGGGCGTCAGTGGTAAATTCTTTTGCTTTGCTTTTGAAAGGTTTCCCAGGGCTGCAACTCACCCTGGCTCGAAGTGGACCTTGAGTTGATTGACATAGGGTGCAACATATGTGCAGCCAACTTCCGCAGCGAGCACCGCCTGCGTTAGGGTAAAGAGGGTGGTAGCGAGCGTGCGTACTCCAGCTTGTTCGAGGGTCCGACAAGCTACCATACCTTCCCATGTACTTGGGATCTTGATGCAGATGCGCGCCTGCTCGAAGCCTGGCTGTAAATACTGGAAGAGCTGGATAATTCCTGGTACCAAGCGAGCGCCAACCCATTAGAGAAAATATGTCGTCGCAAAAGTAGACAATATCTTACTAAGAGCGTTGACAGTGGTCTTCTCGACCGAGTAAGAATAGTAAGGGTTTGTCTGGATATGGACATGGCCACTGATATGAGGGGCAATCCTCAAGCTAGTCTCACCATCTATACCCTTCGTTAGCCCTACTGGAATATTGGCGCTAGTTTAATCATATGATAGAATACCGCTATCTCTACAGCTAGCTCCTCCAAGGAAAGACCCGGAAACCGAGAAAGGAGATTCCTTGCCTCAGCAACAGAGGAAATGATCAATTCCTTATGCTCGGGTTTGGAAAGTTCTCCGTAAGCGATGGCTTGGTTGGAAGTACAGTCTTGAAATGGACCTAGGGTTCTAGCAACTAAAGGACCATCAATACAAAATCCGATACGTGCCATTCAGTAACCTTTACATCGTACGTGGGGCAAGTACCTTCGGCATCCATGGTATCACAGTCAACAATAGTTCTCGTACGAAGGACATCCAAGCCTGTTTGAGCAGCCATGTTGATAGTTCGATCTATACTGATGATAGTTGGCAGAAAGACGATACAGGAAAGGTAGAGGGCTTGATGGATCGTATAAGGTGATTATGATAAGAGACGATATAGAAATGGCAGGAGTGGAAGATACTCCCACTCAAGTGAACAATGAAAGCTTGATAACTCCAATTCCCCTCATTCCTCACCTCCACATCCTCTCTGTTAATTAGCCTAATACGTCACTCGGGTAGTAAATAAGCCGTCAATCGGCCCGATGTCGAATAACTTCTCCCCGGCATTTATTTAGCGAATTGTGGAGCCCAATCCTCTGCCTAGCTTCAAGAGACGGGGAACCCCCTTGCGCATCAAAGCCCCCGACGAGCGCCCCATTGCCGGTGTTGACAGGTAAAGCTGTCTGACTGCGTTATATAACTCTAGCAGGCAACGTGGTATCAAGACCGGAGGTGTATTCGCACGTCTCGGACTGGCGACCACAGATTTTCAGTGATCGCTGCCTTCAGAAGTATACTCTGCACACATTCTCAAATTCATGCAGGTCTGACATGCCACATTTCGGAGAACAATGTCTAGTAGAGTTTTCCTAACACGTTACTTGAATTACTTGCCCGTCCTACGCGCTTACTTTGTAGTGACCTGCTCATTGATATACTTAAGATGATATGTAACCCTGATATGAAACCCGTCCATCTCATGGAAAGAGAAGAATGGGCGATTAACGACGGGACAGAACTCCTTCTCAGGATCTTGTAAACCTCGGCGGTCGCGACAGAATGCCGAAACCAGTGAGGCTTTGCTTAGCACGTCAACATCATCCCATACAATTGTGGTAGACAACGTGTGCTGAGACCCTTGGGAGAAGAAAAGAAGAAAGAAAGAAGGAGGGAAAAAAACACACACATGAGAGAAAACCCGGAATCGGTAAGCGGAGGTGGAATGGAAGAAGAATCTTCCGGGTAGTAATCGAGCTCTTCTGATTCGCCGATTCTTCGAAACAGCCGCTAGTCCCGTGACTGGAACCTAGCCCGAGGTTGTCCGTCCCGTGATTCCGAAGCGTTACGAGAGTCGGGAGTTCGAGGCGTCTTTCTTCCTGGACGACGACGACGGCTACTTGTCTGGATTATCAGCTCTGCACCGTTGAACGGGTCCCTAAAACACATTATGATTTCTCAGAAGGTTGCTCAGCAATCGCTGCGGCGGCGTATGTGCCCCTTTGACGACTCTATGTTGAAATTGAGCACCACTAACTTGTTGCAGTTGCCGTCCAGCAGCCCTATGCCATGCGCTGGTCTTTGATGAACTCCGCAACCCCCGCTGCTGTTGCTATGGGACGTTTTATGCAGACCAGGTGAGTAGTGTATTTTCTTGGTTTACCTCTGCCACTTTGCGACAGTCTCTGCTGTAGAGGTTTCGCATGGATTGCTACGTCATGGGTATCCGATTTTACCAGGCGTTCGGATGACGAGGCATATGTACGACCATCAATGGTATATAGATGCTAATTTAGACAACCAGGCAAGCTGCCACTACCTCGAACACCTCTGATCCCACCAAAATCCTTGCGCAACAGCGTCTGAACCGTCCCGTTTCCCCTCACCTCACCATCTACCGTCCCCAGATCACTTGGATCGGCAGTAGTTTTCACCGTATTACTGGATTCGCCCTTTCTGGCTCTCTGTATCTTTACGCGACTGCATACCTCGCCTCGCCATTGCTTGGCTGGCATCTGGAGTCGGCCTCCGTGGCCGCTGCTTTCGCTGCCCTTCCCATTGTTGCCAAGGTCCTTCTCAAGGGTGTCATGGCTCTTCCATTCACCTACCACTGCTTTAACGGAGTGCGTCACTTGGTCTGGGATCTTGGTAGGGGAATCACCAACCAGCAGGTCATCAAGTCTGGTTGGACTGTGGTGGGCCTGAGCGTCCTCAGCGCCCTTGCTCTCGCTTTCCTGTGATTTTCTTGTGTCATACCTATTAAGCTGATCTTATTTCACTAAAACTGTTTTCTATGCATTATATCTTATCCCGGTCAATTCAAACCGATTTGTGAATTTCATGAGTATTCATTTTCAGACATCCATGGTTCTGGGCTTGGGGACGTAGACCACCTAAAAATTGCAGGCACGAAAGGGTAAACAACAAACAGAGACGGAATGTTTCAGGGGGGCCAGTGTTGGATTTTCAATGTCGTGTCCCAGTCTTCCATGTTCGAAGGATTTCTGACGTCTTATCGCAGCGCATCTAACATGGATGTAGATAAGACTCTTGTGTGAATTATAATTTGGTATATGGTCAGGCTTGTTTTTCTTCTAAATTATAGTTATCGGTTCCGCTTTTCAGGCAGCGTTGTACATTGTTCAATGCAAGGCTCTTTTTATATCACAAGGTATGCCCCGCCACTTCCTTGTTTGTCGCCGGAACACATATACATTCTTTCTCATGAAACACTGTCTGGTATCATCGTTGTACAGGTGCTTTCTGAAACTCTTTGGTACTCTACACCACAATCGTCAGCGTTTCGAGTGCTAGGGTAATTAGATCTGCAATGGATAGCTGTCTTCTGAGATACGACCAGCCCCGCCCATGAAAGAATCGTTTTAGAAACTCACCCACTGCGTCAATTCATTTTAAGAATGTTATTCTTGTCCGAGAAACAAGGCTCCGACTCATGCAGGGCTCGGTGGCGGGTTAGGTGGGTACGGTGGTGGTGAAGGTGGATCTTGAACGGAGAAATCATTCAATGTGATATCGATAATACTCTTGAGACACGGTTCCGACTGCTTATATCTCAAAGATAAGTTGAAAGTGGTGTCGGTGTCCTGACATGCCATGTTAAATGAGGTAGCCGACATTATCAGTACGAGTTGTTTATCAACTAGCTCGAAGTTGCTTAAGAGATATGAGAAGATAAGGAAGCCCGCTATCGTCTGAGAAGCTGAAGTGTCTTCACTCCTTTCCCAAGGGTTCTAGTAAAGTAAGTATTCAAATGCTTCGACGTCCGTTTTTTGAACCGTAAAACGATTTCTCCCAATGCCCGGCTACCACTCACCGTTTAATAGCTCCAGCTCATCAGGCCAATTTCCGACTGGCGGCTTCTTCTAAGAAAACTGTACACCGCCATCCTGCCTTAAACGTCCGATCAACGGGAAATGGCCGCGTGGATCTGATACTTCCGACACTAACGGTCTTCGCAAATGGATTCGGATCTAGAAGGACACTTCGTCGGCTACTCCTGCAAGGGCCCGGCGGAAGACTAAAGTATAAGACATTAGACGGTGTACAGAGCACCGATGGCCTCCGGCCTTTGCCGCGGGTTGGTTCTTAGTAACGGCAAACTAGGCCAAACAGATTCAGCGGCATTGGATTGTCTGGAAACAGACCGTTTCTTCGGCTACCCTGACTACCCCAGGCTGCATGTCCAGTCTTGGTTGGTGATGCTTGGAGAAATATGTGAGATAGCTCTCCGGCGTACTTCAACAGATGCGTTGGTAAATGCATGGTGTCGTTGGTCAACCCTACGATGATCTACTTCAACAAAGCAGCCAACGGGAGGTGCTAGCTATTAATCTAGATAGATAAAGATCCAAATAGGTAAAAGCATCCTTCTCTGATTATATTTGTTATCTCAATAAGGGCTATGGATACCAACCACGACTCCGATTTCCTCAATGAGCTCAGGTGCGTTTGACAGCACACATATACAGCATCATCGGATTTCCAGCTGATCTTTCGGAGGAAAAATGCAAAAAGATTTGAAGCAAACAATGAAGAGGCAGGATACTTGCGAGGCCGAGTGACAAAAAGGAACTGCTGGGCTTCTAAATCCTAGATTCTCCCGAGTCAAATGTCCAACGGTAATTACGCAACCAGACTGTCGTCTAACGCAACCAAGTCTTATCGCCATCTACTCTTAGGTATTTGTTTAATTTTTCAGGAAGAGAAGGGGTGTTCTGTCCTTGCCAATCCATGTAATAATTTGATAGACCTGGCGCCCATAGCGGCTACGTCCGAGGATGCAGTTTATGAAAGCAAACAACGAAGAAGCCTACCAGCAGGTACGGAATAGTCCCTCACGCAACACAGGCCCCATAATATAGGAAGAACCCCACAGCATGCAACACGTGGACGATCTCCAGGTTGTTGTTGTTGTTGTCGTCACACTAATCATAGGAAATGCACACAATTCTCCATTAATGTTCCATGCCCCAGACTTTGGGGTGCTGATTATTTCCTATATTCGCAGAAAACCCTGGAAGAGAGCATATTCCGCGGCAAGCGCTGGCACACCGGTATTTCTTCGATATATTAATTAATTGTCCACAAACGAAGGGACTCAGTACGTTATACCTTCAAGTTGGGACGAAGCCTACTCCACTTTGTCCACGGCATATTGTCCTTGTACTGCATCGACGTGGAGTATTGTTCCTAACCCGGACAAGGAAGTCACTAGAAGGTGCCGTCACCCGGTAAATTAAGGGTCTGAACAATAGACTTCGCAAAAATTGTTCTCATTGCAGAATTCCATCGGCGAGTTGCTGTTTTAGGCTCTCCTATCTCGCTTTCTTTTCCCTGTTATTCACCCCCCCTCCCAATGTTTTCGTCCTGCTCACCCAGGGAACTAGAACACGTTCTTGGCATCTTCGAGTAAGTTCGGATTCCTTAGAAGCATGGCAATTCAATCGACTTATATCAACAAGAGTGGCGCCAGCATGGGCCCCTGACTCGGTGTCACCTCAGCACAGCCAGGTCGGGAGAGCACACCTAATGCTTACCGCCAATTACGCGTACACAGAGATTATTATCAAAAATGCTCTACCCAGCGGCAAAAGATCATAAATCCGATGCAAAAACCATATAGCTAAGCTGCTGCAGTGTTTCAAGGAAAGGAGAGAAACCTCGCTAGGGGCTTCAAGTGAAGCTAGACAGTGGACTGCTCAGGTTCTGGACCGTTGATAATTATTGCCTTACAAAGAGATAAACTCCATCAGGAGGTAGCCAACAAGCCAACTTCACTGTTCGAGCACTTTGTGAAACGGCCCATGCGGTTTGAGTGAAGCAACCAGGTATGTCTGGGTGGAAGGGTAGAAACATCAGTGTCGAGTTTGTGTAAGCCGAAACTGACTTGTTTTACAGGATTAAACAAAGGGAGCCTGCCAGACCTCTCTTTAGACTCCACGTAAGTTGCTAGATTTCACAGTTTGAAATGCCGCTCGGGCAAGGCATTCGTCATTCGGTAGTAGGCATCTGATAGGCTCTCAGCGGTATTCCTCAGATCCTCCCCTATACTTCATCCTGATATATAAATCCGATACTTTTTGTTATTGTAGAACTGTACACAGGGCTAAATGGTTTGTGTCGCCTCTCAACGGCCTGCAATCGAATTGCTCACTGGTTTCCAATCGCCGATGTGATCTCCCAGATTGATATGAGGGGATTCCTCCGGTGCTAGATCAACAAATGTGGCTAAGTCTGACAACTGAAGGGGAAGAGCCCAGGCCCTTACTGTGATACAAAACCGAAAAGGCGTTCTGTCAAGGAATTAATAAAATTTACTGTTCTTACCTACTACTATTGTTTATGCTGTGTATACGGAATACTTCGGCCGTGCTGCGCTATCCAAAAAGGGACTAGCGCCGAATCTCCGAAATCTTTCCAACCCATCATTCGAATTCCATCGCGGCTGCCGTGAAAAGCCCGGACAGGTGAATTGCCTCCGTTTCTCCCACACCTGCGGATTTCAGCTCTTCGACCCACAAAATGGCTTCAATGCTACCAACTCGAGCGGCCAGGACCATCGCCTGTTCCGCATGCCGCACTATCGTTTGTCCTAGCACGATTGGATCCGCCTCCCTCCTCCGGCGTGGTCTGTCGACATCTACCGAGCAGACACCAGTCGATTATACAGACAAGCCCCGATGGTCCTATACTCCGCCTCGTGCAAAAGCTCCCTTCAGCTTGCGATTGAATACTAAGCGGCGTGAATACCCCGTGAACGCCGATCCGAAGGTCCTTGATGAATTCTACATCCGCATGCTGGGCAATGATGGTGACAAGCTCCTTTCGGACGAAATCAAGTGGCTTGCTGTGACGCACAAGAGTTTCGATCAGGGTCGGAGAGGGTTTAACGACCGTCTGGCTTTCTTAGGTGTGTAGGAGTCTGAGGATGCGACGCTGCGATTCTCAAGTTGCACAGGGCTAACAGGCAATTGCATTTTAGGACGACGGATCGTTGAGCTACAGGCTTCTTTGGCCATGGTGCAGAGCCCCGGAAGTGCGGCATCCACTGCTGCCCCCGATGCGTTTGACCGTGCGCCCTTTACGCACCCGGCATTGGATGGCCTGGAGAACCTCACCCGCCGCAAGAATTTCTTGATAGGCAAAGCACAGATTGCGGAGGTTGCGCAGAAGTATGAGCTGCAGAAGGTCCTGAGATGGAGTCCTCGGAAGGTAAGACAATGGAACATCCTTCTCGTCTATGATTTTGCAACATACTGCTTTCGCTACAAATGGCTCCACTGTACCTTGCTAACAGTTACCGATACCCAGCCCAACAATCTTGCTAGTTCCGGAGTCGAACTTGTTCTTGCCCATACAATGTATGCGATCGTCGGTGCCATTTCCCTTGAGAAGGGCGGTCTCGTTGCCAACAAGGTGACACGCGAGCGGATATTAGAACCTTTGGGATTCAAGGCTTAAGTCGGGATATCATTGTTGGGAAATGGCCGCAGGAGCATTTCGAGGCGTTATCTCCTTTTCGCTTTCTTGTCTTTTTTATATCTTGGATGTTCTCTGTATGTGTTGGGGGTTTTGGTCATCCACCATATATGTACTTTTACTACGACCATGTCTTATATTGATTTTCGAATACCACCCGGAAGGATCCTCTCCCCTGATGGGCCCTCTCCTGCGGAACGTGTTGGATGGCACGCAAGCCATTATGAGAATAGAATTGTTTATTAATGATAGATATGTACGGTTCCTCTGACACCGCCCGAGTAACAGAGTAGAATACGCGGCCAGCTCTTATGGAACCCTCTTTACGATGCATAGTCTTCGCGCCACTGTATCGCAAGTCAGCAATGAAAAACCGGGACCATCATACAGAATGTACGACGACCCCAGAAATCACAGAACGCAATTTGTGCTGCCTTGTACTGTCTATTGGGAGCGTTGGGATAAAAGAAGAAAAAAAAGTAAGAAGAGGGAAGAAATCGCGGAAGAAATACTCGAGTGCGGAAAGGGCTCTAGCCTGATCAGGTATGGCGCCAACCCTATAGCCCGCTAGAGCTGGATAGGCTTGGCTTTTCTCTCCCAAACGCTCTTAATAGTCTCAGCGGGCATCCAAGCGAGGTGCCTCAATTGACACAGCTAGATTACCCAGATACGAAATTCTTGAGTGACTATTCTGCAACTCGGGTGAAGCTAACCCAGTCAAAGACCTATTCGTAGTACAATATCATAAGGTAGTAGGGACTGGTTGACGACAATAAAATTATACAATACGATATATCTTCCTTCACCTCCAAGCAATATCGACCATTCGTTCATCATGTTATGGGATATGGTGGTTGCGATATTATGCACAGTCAACAGAGCCAACAGTGGACGCGATGATAGAAGACTCTGTGAAGTGGTTCAAGCCTTCTAGTGACTTTCCTCAGACGAATGCTTTAGATGATCTAACTGCGGTTTTCAAGTCGAACAACCTGTGGCTTCACTCTACAAACCTAAGAATATACTTGACAAGATGACGCATTAAGCAGCGACTCAGCGAATCTTCCACTGAGGAGGGTTACAAATCCGGTCTGGGAGTATATCCGTCCTGACGCGAGGGAGATACAGACCAGGAAGCCGTCCACTACCTTGGGAATAGGTTCCCGGATGTGAATAGTCCATGTACATACTGGTACTAGATAGAACTCAAAGACCTGAATGAAGATGGTCGATGTTTGTGAGCCTTCAGCCCAATGGCCCAGCACATCATGAGCCAGTAATTGAGTTTGGCCAACCTACCGCGTGCTGCAGAAAGAGCCGGACAGGCGTCCAGCCAGATGCAGACAGAAGAGCATAGGAAGATCCGTATTCAAGGTTCAATTCGGGACTTTCTTTATAGACCATAAGGCTCAAAAAGCCCTTTATACGCTATATCTTGCGACTTTATAAGCAATTCTATCACACAATAGTGGTCCGAATTCGACTAATGGAACAACGAGAAGGATGTGCATGAATATACATGGGATGGCTCATGATGTCTAATGGAACTCTCGATGTCATTACTTCTCAAACTATTCATAGTAAATGGAGTGACTATCAATGTTCTAGTCTAGCCAATATCACTGCAGAGTGGATTATACAGACTGTATGACGGGCGTTCATTTCAAAGTTCATATTCTATCCCTTTGGGAATATATCAGTTGTAGCAGGATGGAACCAGGCGGTCAGGGGAGCGGGCGATATATTGCGTGGCAGTACTCAATATAGTGGAACGGAAATGAGCTGAACGTGTACAGGAGATAGAGACTCCATCGTCCCTACGCTGACGCTCTCTGGCCAGTGTTCTATTCTATATTTATTCCCCGTGAGTTTCTTCCTAACTACTCCATGATCCGAACTTATACCGTGATCCATTGTTGGATTAATGCTGATTGCGAGGTTTTATCGCAGAATGTCCGGCTAGTGTTTCGTTGGCCTCTTACCGTTGAACTAAGTCAGGAGCCTCCCGCTGATTCCTTGCTGCCCTATTAACATCCACCCTTACTTTCACGACTCCCACACGATCTCCAAACCTCCGCGATGGCGTCGGCTATCTTCTTTTTAGATTTGAAGGGCAAGGTAGGTAGATACTTGGCGATACCTCTTTTCAATGACCGCTATATCCACCATGCATTCTTGCGCTCACCGTCAAAATAGACCCTTCTAGCCCGAAACTACCGCGGAGACATTCCCATGTCCGCGGTCGAGAAATTTCCTATCCTCCTCAGTGACGCAGAAGAAGAAAGCTCTGCCGTACCGCCATGCTTCTCTCATGAAGGAATCAATGTATGTTATGTCCGCGATCGCATCGGTTTTCGCACCTGCTCCCCGCTCGTCCCCGCAGCCCGCTTTGCTTCCCTTCATCCCCTATACCTACCCGCCCCTACTGCGACATCTCATTTGGGAACCAGGTAGCCATTTGCCTTTTCTCCCCATCTTACTGATTAACTATGGTGTATCTAGTATCTCTACATCCGTCACAGCAACCTTTATATCCTCGCGTTGACAAAGAAGAACACTAATGCGACCGAAATCCTCCTCTTCCTCCACAAAATCGTGGAGGTCTTCACGGAATACTTCAAAGTCTTGGAGGAAGAGAGTATTCGCGACAACTTTGTCATCATCTACGAATTGCTTGATGAGATGATGGACTTTGGATACCCACAAACTACGGAGAGCAAGATATTGCAAGAGTAAGACGACAACTGTGACAGAACATGACTGAAGGCGCTGTTGCTCATATGGTATCAGGTACATCACACAAGAGTCACATAAGCTCGAAGTTCAAGCGCGTCCCCCTATTGCCGTTACCAATGCGGTTTCCTGGCGAAGTGAAGGCATTCGCTATCGGAAGAACGAAGTCTTTCTTGATGTTGTCGAATCTCTGAATCTCCTCGTATCTGCGTCTGGAAACGTCCTGCGATCTGAGATTCTCGGTGCTATCAAGATGAAGTGTTACTTGAGCGGTATGCCAGAACTTCGTTTGGGGTTGAATGACAAGGTCATGTTCGAGACGACGGGTCGTGCTACAAGAGGCAAAGCTGTCGAGATGGAGGACGTTAAATTCCACCAATGTGTTCGACTCTCGAGATTCGAGAACGATCGAACGATCAGTTTTATACCCCCAGATGGAGAATTCGAGCTCATGAGCTATCGCCTAAATACACAAGTGAAGCCCCTTATCTGGGTTGAATGTCTGGTAGAGTCGCACTCAGGCTCTCGGATGGAGTATATGTTGAAGGTGAGCGATCTGGCAGCCCCGAAGACTTGTGTCGCATCCAAACTAATCTTCCTATTCTCTGTAGGCCAAAGCACAATTCAAACGCCGCAGCACAGCTAATAATGTGGAGATCCTTGTGCCCGTGCCGGAAGATGCAGACTCACCGCGCTTCCGCACGAACATTGGAACGGTTCACTATGCGCCAGAGAAGTCCGCTATTATCTGGAAAATCAAGCAGTTCGGTGGTGGAAAGGAGTTCCTGATGCGTGCCGAGCTTGGTCTCCCATCCGTCAAGGGAGATGACGAGCACGGAGGTGGTATGACCGGAGGTTTCGGAGGCAGCATGGGCGGCACTGGAGGCGGCAAGGCCAAACGCCCCATTAACGTCAAATTCGAAATTCCTTACTTCACTACAAGTGGTATTCAAGTACGGTACTTGAAGATCACTGAACCCAAGGTATGTTTCTTATTCTAATTCTTGCGTGCTACCATTCACCTTCTATAACAATGATGAGTCCAGGACTAATAGTTATGTCACAGCTCCAATACCCATCCCTACCCTGGGTCCGTTATATCACGCAATCCGGCGACATTGCGGTCCGTATGCCAGATGTACAATGATTTAAAGCGTTTAATAGTGTCAATAGATTTTTTTTCTTCCCTTTTCAGTTTTTAGCATTACATAACGTCTGTCCCTTGACCTGCAGATCGCGCTAAGTCTCAGTCAATCGGTAGTTATGTAGAATCATAATAGTGCTCTGGGCTTGTCCTGAGATATCTACAGTATCCGCATTGACGGTGGTCAAAACTGAGCATGTTGCATTCATGTTGCCAGCCTTCGACACAATAAATCACCGGGCTATTATTAGTTCGACTGCAATAATATGAAATCACAAGTTCCACTCTATCATGTTCACTTGAAGTATTTCCATCTATGCCACTTCTACAAGTACGCAACCGTACTCTAGACAACATCAAGATCAACCGAATAGAGTTTATGGCTCAGCCAGAGCTCTGGCTTATGTAGCCGTATATTTATGTTCTAAATATAGAACAAAGGTGCTTTGGTCTAGTGGTAGGACGTTACGTTGTGGCCGTGCCAGCCCCGGTTCGATTCCGGGAAGCACCACTTAACTTTTTTTTGCTTTGAGCAAGCTTACTGCTCCGCCCTCGGGCTTTACCTTATCCCTTTTCTTTTTACGGAGTAATTGCCTGTTGAAACAGGGATCGCCCTGTACCCAAGAAGGGTTCCAATCTTGTCTGCTCCATGTGTCTTAGAATTTTAACCTTTCGCTGAGTAAGCGGATCTCAAGAATTCCTTCTCTTCACCCCAGTGATCGACATGATCTTGTATGCGTACGCTATGTCAAGATAAAGGGCCAAGAAATTTCAATTTTGAAACGTTGGTACCTTGCTCTATGGGGTAGTTGCGTTGCTATGTATCTTGGCGGACGGAGCAGTCTACGTAATGCAATCTATGGCATTTGGTATCGCAGAAGCTAAGATTTGCTTGGGCTTGTGTGTTTAGATTTAGGTTGTTTCTTATTTGGTGTATTCTTCACAAGAGCATTGGCAGGAGAGAAAAGTTATTCTTGACTACGGATTTACGGCGTGAACGTTTTCTATAGATTGATAAGATCGATCACGAGAACGGAAAGAAATCCGCCTATTATATGTAAGACCGAGGTATAGACCACTGAGAGAGCTGATTTTCAATTTTAATTTCTTTGGGTAGCACCCTAGACCCTGAAATTAGAAGATGACAAATTAAAGAAGAGCTATTAGCTTTTCTACAGCGTTGTTTATGACCAGAGTCAGCCATTGCAAGGTGTAAGGAATAGTAATGGAGGCCCCATCATAGGGCGGTGGAGTCAAGAACGCCGCTGTTCGGAGGCGGAGAGTCGTCAGCACATATCGGGACTGTATCTGCCGGACCGGATTACGATGGTAGTTGAAGCACACGACAGGATGGGAGGAACGTCATTACAGTTAGAAAGTGATCGATTTTCTCATTTCCTTCTCCTCGGGCCAAACCATGGGCACACCGCACCACGGTCACAAAGAACATAGTGCCCTGACTTTGGCGGTCTTTGTTGACCTACACTATTGAACCGCCACTATTAACAATTAGTATTGGACTTACGTACCCGGCCTGATGCCGCTGACGCACCCCCTGCGGTGGAGGGCCCATCCATCACCAACGCCCGGATCCCCATCCAACCTCCGTTGTTCCATAAGTAGGTTTCGAGTAGGGCGTTCCGGCTTTGTTCTATCTGTTCGACCTCAGGTGCGCGTTCTGCGCACGTCGGCCACGTTTTCCTCGCGCCATAAGAACTCCGGCAGATCCCCCATCCCTTTCAACTCCGCCAATGCTTCTCGCGTCCCACTCCCTTCCTTAACCACCACGTTTACTACCAACACACCCCTGCATCTGATGGCGACGCAAACCAGAAGCCATGGTGGCCACGGCGGTCACCATCACCATCACCACCACCACGGTGGTAATGTGTACCTGACTTCCACAAACAAGAACGACGCCGGCGTTCGGATCACGCGGATCGGCCTGGTCGCCAATCTTGCGATGGCAATTGGCAAATTTATCGGAGGCTACGTCTTCCACTCGCAAGCTCTAATTGCCGACGCCTACCACGCCCTTACAGATCTCGTCTCGGATATCCTCACGCTGGGGACAGTCGCTTGGTCGCTCAAGCCCCCATCTGAAAGGTTCCCAAACGGCTACGGAAAGATTGAGAGTATTGGCGCCTTGGGTGTGAGTGGACTATTGCTCTGCGGAGGCGTGTTTATGGGCCTAAATTCCGGCCAAGTTCTGTTAGACCAGTTCTACCCCCAGGCAGCGGAGGCGATCTCTCACTTGGGACATGGTCATTCGCATAGTCACGGAATCGACGTTCTTGGCCCCAGCATTCATGCCGCATGGTTGGCTGCTGGGTCCATTGTGGTAAAGGAATGGCTGTACCACGCAAGTGAGTACCTTGTGGTTGCCTTTCGATCTTATCCGAGAGCTAACGGTTATTGTGTAATGTAACAGCCATGAAAGTCGCCAATGAGCGCAAGTCGTCTGTTTTAGCCTCGAACGCTATCCACCACCGCATTGATTCCCTGACCAGCATTGTCGCTCTGTTCACCATTGGCGGCACGTACTTGTTTAAAGACGCCTCCTGGCTGGATCCTGTGGGTGGACTCCTTATATCGTTGATGGTCATTAAAGCAGGATGGGGAAATACATGCTCGTCACTTCTGGAGCTAGCCGATACTGCTGTGGATGACGAGATCAGGGAATCGGTGCAGAAGGCTGCTTCCAAGGCACTTGCGAAATTGCAGGATAACAATGCGATTAAGATCCGCGATGTCCAGGGCATGAAGTCTGGCCAAAACTATCTCATGGACATTGAACTGGCAGTGCCAGGAGCATGGCCCATCAATCGATCTCGGGAGATCGAGGAAGTTGTCAGAACAGCCATCGGAACGGGCGTCCGTGGCGTTAAGCGAGTCAAAGTGCGATTTATCCCCCTTGAGCATGAAGAGTTGAATTTCTCTGAAGAGTTCATCCCTGCCGAAGTTGCATCCCAAGCCAACCCGGAACCGGAGGATGGTGACACGGACTGTGAAACGCACGGGCAAGATCATGGGCATGATGTGCACGAACATGATGCTCGCAAGAGGCGTTAAAGAGGTATCTTTATTTTTGCTTTATATTATTTTGAATTTTCTGCTTTGTATCGAGCCTATCGAAGCTCTTGTGTGTTTGCATAGTTCGTATCCCGTTTTGCACATCGGATCTCGAAGGATCATGTGATACCCCATGAATACACCGACTGGAGATGATATCCCCATGTCCTGTTTATCTGCTGGTGAAGATTATGGCCGGTTAGAGTTGGAGTACCGGAGGGTGAGATTAGCTGGAAGATGTGACGAGACGATTGGATATCAGGAAGAAAGAAGTTGATAGAGGAGGACGTCAGCCATGGCTGGCAAACCATGTACAGTAGTATGTACATTGTACACTGGCCGAATAGAATTTACAGCACATACTGCGGGCCTCTGGTGTACCGTCCAGATCTCCTCTGAGACCTTTAACTCTACAGTAGAAGAAGTATTCTCGTGAGGCAAATCAGTGAAAGTACGTATATCCCGCCACTGCATCCAGTGTACACGGAGCAAATCCCATTGGACGGATGTTTTAGGCATGTTTACCCACCATGTGACCAATATGATGACTGCTCCTTATCTCACGCTTATATCACTCTTGGATTGTGTACTGTAAAGGTCTTCTTGACGTCGCAAGATACACCCTCTTGTGGCGTACTCTAGAACCTATCCTGCCGACCCTTTATCATCCTATTTGCTGTGGCAAGAATAGTAAAAGAGCATATGACGTGGGATACAGGTCACACGCTTCCATCTTAATACCTGATATATCTAGAGCTCTAGTAGATCTCCAACTTGGAATATTGCGGTGACGTTTCCATTGTAGACCGACTTTATAATGTATGCGACAAGCCAACCAACTCAGCAGGAGCTGAAAACAACACGTTGAAAATTAAAAATTTTGTGAAATATAGAAATGAATAACAAAAAAAACAAATAATATCCCCGATTCCTTATCCAAATGGCTAATTGATTGTAGGGGGAAAAATAGGGAAATAAAAGAGTAAACAGCCAAGCAGTTCTCGACTGTTCTTGAGTTGTTCACGAGGTACGATCTCAGCGTCCACGTGAACCAGGATAAAAGCGTTCTAGACGTTCGATTGTGACGAATATTGATTAAATCTAGAGCACAAGGTAAGCAACTGGTAATAAGGGTCCCCTGTCTAGTGTGGGAGATCACGAATTTAACAGAGCCCTTTCACTGTTCATCGGGTAAATTGGGTAAATTCCCGGTGGTGGTGAGTGGGTCTATAAATAAAAAAGATTTACAAAAAAATATACTAGTTGCAGGTGAACTTTTTTTTTTTTTGACATCACGATGTGCAATTGCGGTTCAAGTGGCTGAAGAACAAGCAAAACAAAAGCAGAAATCATGTGTAAGCAATGGGTAATTGATTGGGTCTTTGGGGTATTTTTCGATTGTAATGGAGAAAATTAAAAAATGTATTGCAAAAGTGGGTTCTGAGGTGGCCGAAGTGGGAAAGAGAAGGGGGTAAATTGCGGGTTGAATTGGAATGTTCGCAATAGGAGATACAATCGAAGATGGAGTAAAGAAAAGCCCATTTCAATGACCCAATTTTTATGCTTGCCAGTGGGACACTTATTTAACATCGTTCTCTCTGTTCTTTATCTCGTTGCGCCCTGTCGTTGTTCATCTTTTTTCTTTTCTTTCTTCCCTACCTCTCTATTCTTTGTCTCTTATCGGTGTGACTACTGATCGACGTCATCTCCCACCGCATGTTCACCGTCTATCGTTTACAAACTTTCACACACACAATTAAACTGAATTTGATGAATTAAACCATTCCATTGCATAACAGCGAGATAGAAAAGATAACTTCACAACCACTGCCACAATGCAAGGCCCATTGTACATCGGTTTCGACCTTTCCACCCAGCAACTCAAAGCTCTAGTCGTCAATTCCGACTTGAAAGTCGTCTACGTCTCTAAGTTCGACTTCGACGCTGACTCCCGCGGCTTTGCCATCAAAAAAGGTGTGATCACTAATGAAGCTGAACATGAGGTCTACGCCCCCGTGGCATTGTGGCTCCAGGCCCTGGACGGCGTCCTTGAGGGTCTGAAGAAGCAAGGCTTAGATTTCGCCCGTGTAAAGGGCATCAGCGGTGCTGGACAGCAGCACGGAAGTGTCTACTGGGGACAGGATGCGGAGCATCTCCTCAAGGAATTGGACTCTGGCAAGTCCCTGGAGGACCAGCTGAGCGGGGCCTTCTCTCATCCGTATAGTCCCAACTGGCAGGATTCCAGTACGCAGAAGGAATGTGATGAGTTCGATGCCTTCCTGGGCGGCGCAGACAAGTTGGCAGATGCTACAGGAAGTAAAGCACATCATGTATGTTGTTTTTTTTTTTGCTCTCTCTACTTTCCGGAAATTCCAATTGACCAGAGATATGCTAATGACTCTCCCTTTGGCAGAGATTCACTGGTCCCCAGATCCTCCGCTTCCAGAGGAAATACCCAGAAGTATACAGAAAGACCTCCCGAATCTCGCTTGTCTCCTCCTTCCTCGCATCCCTTTTCCTGGGCCACATCGCCCCCTTTGACATCTCCGACGTCTGTGGCATGAACCTCTGGAACATCAAGCAAGGTGCCTATGACGAGAAGCTCCTGCAACTCTGTGCCGGCCCTTCCGGCGTGGAAGACCTCAAGCGCAAGCTCGGTGCCGTTCCCGAAGACGGCGGCATCAATTTAGGCCAAATTGACCGCTACTACATAGAACGCTACGGCTTCAGCTCAGACTGCACCATCATCCCAGCAACTGGCGACAACCCAGCCACCATCTTGGCTCTGCCATTGCGTCCTTCCGATGCAATGGTCTCCCTGGGTACCTCCACCACCTTCCTCATGTCTACTCCCAACTATATGCCCGACCCAGCCACACATTTTTTCAACCACCCCACCACAGCTGGCTTGTATATGTTCATGCTCTGCTACAAGAACGGCGGTCTAGCTCGCGAACATATCCGTGATGCCATCAATGATAAACTAGGCATGGCCGGAGACAAAGACCCGTGGGCTAGCTTCGATAAGACCACACTGGAAACTGCACCCATGGGCCAGAAAAAGGATTCTGATCCAATGAAGATGGGCCTTTTTTTCCCTCGGCCGGAGATCGTCCCGAATCTGCGGGCTGGGCAGTGGCGGTTCGATTATAACCCTGCTGATGGTAGTCTGCATGAGACGAATGGTGGGTGGAACAAGCCTATCGATGAAGCTCGTGCTATCGTCGAGAGTCAATTCCTTTCTCTTCGCTTGCGCTCTCGCGGTCTTACCACCAGTCCTGGACAGGGTATGCCCGCTCAGCCGCGACGGGTGTATCTCGTCGGTGGTGGATCGAAGAATAAGGCTATTGCGAAGGTGGCAGGTGAGATCCTTGGTGGAAGTGATGGGGTATATAAGTTGGAGATTGGCGATAATGCCTGTGCGCTGGGAGCGGCCTACAAGGCCGTCTGGGCACTGGAGAGGAAGGACGGACAGACGTTTGAGGACCTGATCGGACAGCGGTGGAAGGAGGAAGATTTCATCGAGAAGATTGCAGATGGATATCAGAAAGGCGTGTTTGAGAGGTATGGGGCTGCCGTTGAGGGATTCGAGAAGATGGAATTGCAGGTTCTGAAACAGGAGGGCGAGACACGGTGATATGCGTCTATCCTCTTCGGTTATAGGTATCTCTTCATGAAAATATTGCCTTTAATGAGTTTGCGATCTTAAATGGTTTGTATTGGGTTCTTTTTTCCCTTTCGGATTTAGTTAGTACCCTATATAGTTCGGTTATATATACAATACGGAGTACACGAAAAGAATGATATGATAATATATTCTCAGTGTCCTTCATTTCTATTTGCTAACTATCTTATCATCTTAGAAACATCCGCATCATCTCTCATGAATAACCCGAAGTCTACACACAAATGCATTGCCTCCATATAGAAAGTAGAAAGTTAAGACGGTAATCAAACCTCCCGACTTGCATAAGGTATCTGTTGAGCTCCGACGATAGGTATCAACCAACCAACCAACACCCCCGGCCCCATCCCTGCCCGCTGCCTCGACCATTACCTCCCTTTCTTTCCTTTTTTTAAGTAAGATATTTTATATGGGATATCGGGGAGTCCTTTTGTTTTTCTCTTCTCCTCTCTGCTGGTGATAAAGGCAGTAATCAACGCCTGTTTTATGCAAATATGCATCGCGAACTATATACCTTTCCTTTTTCTTCTTTTTCTTGAGCTTTCTTTTTTTTTTGGGAAAACGACAGAGGAATTGCCGGCGACAGAGCTATCAGTGTAAAGGATCACATGAAAACATCAGTCATCAAACCAAACCGTGGGGGAATCTAAGAGGAAGAAAAACAGTGAGAATGATCGAGGAGCGTAAGGGAAAAGAAAGAATATGGAATGCAAAAGGATCATGCGCTCAATCGCTGGATAAAGGACTGCGGCGGTTGTTAGCGGGATGTCTTCTTTATGTCAACCGTTACCTGGAACTACATACCGGGAAGAACTGCCGGAATCCCTTCAAGTCTAGCCGGCCCAATGCGTTCAAGAACTCCTCTATGAGTTCGGCACCCATTCCCATGCCAGGCAATTCTTGGTCTCGAAGGTACTGGATATACTCCATGCCGGTCTTGCAATAGATGGTGCGCTGCAATGCTCCAGCTTCGGCGAGAACCTGCTTGGCCTGCGCGTCTTTGGGATTGAAGGACGGTGTGGCGGGAAGTGCCCAACATAAGGGCGACATTCGGCTGATCATAAACTGTGCAAATCCCGGGAGAGCAACCTGCTGGGCGGTGCCATTCGTCGCCTCCGGTGCGATATCAGGCCCGCCCCAGGAGCTGCCCATCTTGGAGAGCACCGAGAACGCCATCTTCGCGGTGGTAAAGTCCTCGATGTCCTTGGCGAAGTGTTCGATGGTCGTGATGACGGTATCAAATATGGGTTGATTTCCTGCTTCTGTTAGTCCTTGCATCGTTTGTAATTCGGGTCGAAACTCACTCTCGCTGATGATAACAGCGCCCAAGTCATTGTTCAAAACCGCCAACAAGAAATTCAGATATTCCCGTTTCAACTCCGCGAGCTGAATTTCGTCATCAGTGCCAGTAGTGGGATCGGCAATCCCGGCGAACACCCGTTGTAGGAAAGGCGTCAATAGTGTATCGAGTATGGCATAGATTTCGCCCTTGAACCCGAATATAACTTGGTCCAAAAGACGCAAGAAAAGCGCCATTTCATCCCGAGTAGAAGTCTGGGTTAGTAGGCCATCGATCCACCTTGGGAGCTGTGGGAGAATTCGGGAGCCAAGGACGCCAATGAGTCTGGAAAAGGCGAATCGAGCGGCGGTCCTAATATTGAAAGAGGTCTTAAGGGACTCAAGAGCAACAAGAGTAGCCTCGGACACCTGCAAGAATGCCTCAGAAACCTCAGCCGCGGGCAGCGAGGTTGGGGAGCTGGTTCCTGGCATCCAATCTGAGAAACCTTTTGCCAGCGTTCCAAGGGCCATGATGTCATGATGTATTTGTAGCAAAGCCCTCTCGTCGTTGGACTTCGCCGGAGCCAGGTTTTTCTCCATGTCCATGAACACAGGGTTCAGTACCGACTGCGCATACAGGACCTGCTTGTCGGCAGGGACAGTCGGGGTGGAGCAGATAATGCCAACGGCTTCGAATAGGTAAAGTTGGCTGTTGAAAACAGCATCTGCGGACCCTTCGTGGTCCTCCGATGACATTTCATCACCATCAGCGCCTTCTGTAGGAACTTCGGCCTGGATCACCAAAAGATCGCCTAGGGCCTGGACGACTGTCTGCGCAACATTGCCGATGTGGGTTCTCAATTGCTTGACTAGCCGTTGGAAAAGATACCAGGATCTGGTTTTAACCTTCTTCGTGGGGTGGTGAACAAGTTGGAGGAAGCTTTCCAAAACACCAGGGATGAGGTGAGTGTGGTACAGGAAGAATGAACTGTAACGAACACAGATTTCCATGTACTGTAATTGGGTCGCCGGATGCGTGAAGGAGCGAATATCTGTAAATTGTCAGAGAAAGCGCACATGGTCCCTGATTCCTGATACCTACCGGACTCTACCATTCTTGACACCATCTCAATAAGTCGCTCTGCTGCCTGATTGTTGGGTTGGTTTTTGGTGTAGAGACTGCCAGCCTTCACGGCAATGTCTCCAAAGAGGAACATTTCATGTAGGGCAAGGTCCAGGTCACGCCAGTCTAACTGTGCACCTGACTGTCGTAGGTTCTCAAAGGTTGTTGCGACAACTTCGGAGACGGCGTCTATATACAGCTGTTCGTTCACCGTGGCGACGGTTTGTTGCATGATGGCTAGTCTCTTGCGGAGTTCCTGGAACTCTGCCTCGTCAGTTTGGTCATCCTCGTCACCCCATGAGGAGGTGTCGTCGTATCGCATCTTGGCAATGATGGCTTTCAAGATAGGGAGCAAGATGGGAGAATGCTGCGCGGTAAGAGAAGGGTCGGTCTTAGAGACCTTTCTCAAATATTGCAGAAGGTCGCTGCCACAGGGGATGACGGTCGAGCAGACCTCGTCGTATTCATCGGAAAAGTATCTCAGGATGTGCGGAAGGAAGGCCTGCAATAGCCCATTGGCCTTCTCTCTGCATTCTCCAGAAATATTCTCTTGCTCCAAAGCGCGCACAATATCAACCACTGTACTATTGACTAACTTCGCAACTGTTTCGGCGAGATCCGTATCGTATTTGAAGGTAAACCTATTCTCACAAAGAGGGGGGCTGTTGGAGAGCTGAGAAACGATCGTGTCCAGATTCAAGAAAATAATCATGTCAATCTTATCCTCCGGTTTCATCTTTTTGCCGATAATTTCCGTAAAAACGTCGACTGCTGCATCCCGCACCTTCTCCTCTCCCGCCCTGAGCTCCGCCTTCTGTGCCCGGGCCAGTTGCTGGAATAAGAGATCGAGCATTGTCTGGTTGACCACAAGGCTGATATCAATCCAGCTAACCCAGGAACCAACTGCTTTCAAACACATCTCTACGATCATGTCGTTGCCGTCCCGCCATTCCGACAAAATCTGTTGCCACGAGCTTGCGATCTTTTGCATGTCTCTCATTCGGATGAAGTCCTTCAGCAAGTTTGCCCTATCCTGTTCCGTACGAGACCTAGACACGAGGACATCACCGATTTCATCGTGGATAGAATTGACGACTCGAAGGTAGAATACAATTCCCAGCATATTGTCAGGCGACGTGCTCGAGGCACCCTTGTATGTTAAGCTCAAGAGATCATCGAAGAAGGACTCCCAGCCGCTACCGTAGAGCGCCGAGAAGAGGAAGGTAATCGTCTGGGCAATTTTGTTCTGAATGTTGGGAGGATCCGGGTTTGCATTCTCCTGTCCATAGACCTGGCGGAGGTAGTTCATGAGCCCGTCCCGGACATATCCTAGAGCCTGAGGGTCAATCAGTCCAGCCTGGGCGGCACTGTTAACCACCTCTAGCGCTACATGTCGTATGATCTCAGAGTGCTGGGGAGTCTTTGTGAAGAGGGCGAGGCAGACTTGCCATCCCGAGGGGTCGGTACGGAGTTGATTCAGGTAATCGAAGGCTTGCGCCTTGAGGGCTTGGTCTGAGGAAGGATTCCAGGCGATTTCTATGGCATTCGCTACCTAAGTGATTACATATTTGTCAGGTCCAGGGTATCAGGAAGAACTTGTTTTTTTTAGATTAAATGTTTATGCAAACACGCGCCGGGAGGGGGGCATGAGGGGAGAGGAGGGGAGGGCAAATGGTGGGGTGGACTCTTTTTTTCGTGTCCCTTTTCAATAAAAAAAGGTAAAAAAGAAAAAAGAAAAACTAATTGGAATGAACGAATGTGCGACATTGAATCCATACCTGTTCTTCCATCTTCGACCAGCCGAGTTGCCTTCAGAGTCAGTAGACTCGGAAAGCAAATCGAATGACGGTGTTCAAAGGGGGGATAAATCGATGTAGTTGGGTTAAAATTCAATGGCGGCGGAGAGTCATATCACAGAGAGGGCCGTTTATCGAACCATGACTAGTGCGTTGGAGCAGCAATCGGTGGTTTCGGGGGGGTTAGACTAGTGGCAGAGACCCAGTTAGTCGGGTAAACGAAAAATTTGTTGATGGATCGATTGGACTCACCGGACGGACAACGGAGATGAGGGGAGGAGTTGAATCCTTTCCACACACGCCCGCAACCTTTCTGTCGGCTGACTACGTCACTTTGTGTAGATGAAACAGGAGAAGAAGAAAAAAACGACTGAGGTACAGCTGGCATGGATGTCATTGTGTGCGGCTGCAAACTGGGCTTGGTCAGCCCCCCGGCCGAAAAGGGAAAGGAGCGCGTGCCTCCCGAGGGCCCTTGGTTGCCGGCAGATTCAGGCAGCATGCTTTAGCTCTTCTAGGTTAAAGGCGCTTTATGGATGTTCTCGAGAAGCTTAGTCCTCTAAGCTGCATTCTTTTTTTATCCGTCTTGTCCTATTACACTATAGCCACCGATAGGTGCGAATCATTGTTGGTGCTATTCGACTAACAATACAAGGCAACCAATTAGAAAGTGCTCTTTTCTACCTCTTAACAATTATTAGTGCCCATTTTGCCTACCCCTTCTACCATTGGCCTCCACTGTTTCTATGCTCCTAGCAAATCTTCACAATAACTTTCGAAAAATGCTTCTGTTGCTCGAGATGCTCATATGCCTCTCTCACCTCGTGTAGACTAAACAACGTTTCATCAATCACGGGCCTGATGTTATTCTCTTCAATGAATTGATTCATGGCGTGGAACTGAACTCGGGTCCCAAGGAGCAATCCACGTGAGGTACAAAGATAACTCAGACCATCCATCAGACTGGGCATATCGGGACTGGATGCTCCGCCTAAGAGCCCTGCTAGTGCGATAACTCCCTCCGGTCTGATGGCCTTGAGTGACTGATGAAGGGTAGATGCACCGCCCACATCGACAATCAAGTCTACACCTTGGCCACCGAGGGTAAAACCTTTTACAGTTGTTCCCCACTCAGGTATAGAGTTGTAGTTAATGACATGGTGTGCACCTAGTGATTTCAACTTGGACGCTTTAGCGTCATTACTGGTTGTTGCTATCACCGTCGCACCCGAAGCCAGGGCAAACTAACGGTTTGACAAGTTAGCACATATATCCTGAATCGAGACTCACACAGCCGGGGTAGTCAAAAGGAAGATACTACCTGCAGAGCAGCAATAGAAACACCTCCTGTTCCCTGCACCAACACTACACTTCCCTTCTTGGGCTCTCTCCCCTTAAGACCGAACAGCGCATTCCATGCCGTTAGACCAGAACAAGTTAATGTAGCTGCTTCATCGAAAGACAGGTTGTCAGGCATTTTCACCACCGACGTTTCATGGTATACGCCATGGCCCCGTAAGGTCCCGTCTACGTGCTGACCAAGACCGGCTCCTATGTCAGCAAAGGTAGCGGGTGCATCATCGGCCATATGGGTCGTCATATGGGTGCAAACTTTATCCCCAGGCTTAAAATTGCAGACTTGGGATCCAACGGCCTCTACAACACCCGCTCCATCGGATGCTGGAACAATGCTGTCTTTGATGGTTAGACCGAATTTTCCCTGGTTTATATTAGTACTAGTTTAATAGAACTTGTGGTAGAGGGTGACGTCTAGGATGTATTTACCAACGCAATAGCAATATCACGGTAATTTAAAGATGCTGTATGGATTCTGACCCGTACATCGTGGTCCCCCAGAGCAGGTAGAGGATGATTCTCAACGAATTTGAGACCTGAGATTCCTGTTTGGCCAGTGAGGGTCCATGCTGCGGTTTGAGATGCCATTGCTGGAGGGTGGGCAAATATCCTGTATGAATTACCTAGATGTTTAGTTTTCCATATAGCTACGAGGTACTTGAATGACGTGTTCCATTCTGCCCCTTATATCTTGCTGAAAATGGGTTTGAATCATGTCGAACCAGTTATTATGGATTCATTGAATCATGAATAGTGTGGGAAGGGGGAATCCCGGGACCGATCATATCCACATTACTCCACCGCGAACCGTTTCCATGCCTGTTTCGGCGAGAGCAAACGGCATTTGTGCTTAGCGGAGTCAGATCATGCCAAGTGCACTGGACTTTGGGCAATCCCAAAGCCCGAGAACCGGAGTTGAACAATATTAGTAACGCTTTGGAAATATCATCTTCAACTGAAGGGCTAGACGGATGGTGAAGTTTGGACCTAGAGCGCCTTCTACGCAGGCTTGAAGATATGGTTTATTTATCCAGCTCATATGCGCCACAAGTTCTCAGCTAGATTGCTTTTGTTCGGCTTCTAGCAGTGAAATGATTACTAGATGTGTGGTCTCGGGTTGAGGATTTAAATCCATATATGAGAATCATGCCAATTTGATGTGGGCAAGCTGCTTAGTTGGGAACAGTTTCTGTCGCTTAGGATAATCGCACTGGAGGCGTATATGACAAGATCCTTACAGATCTCTTATAAATAATGCATATGCTGTGGCCTTTCTCACTCCTGAGGCAATTGTCCGTGAGTATTTGATGAACAAGATCTACAAGCAACGCTAGATGCCACCAAATTAAGTCTAACACGCAAGTAGTAAGTATACCCAGACTTACCGATCGAGACTGATGGGGCTGGGTTTTCTTTACTAACACTTCATATGGTAAATCATGATCATCATGCTAGCGGTACAACGTGTATTTCGAAACAATGTGCCAGTTTATGACGGTAAACCCGAGCACTAAGTGTGAATTTAGGGCTTTGACTGCTAGACTTTGAAGTTTTGAACTCAATGGTTACATTCACAATTTAACGTCATGAGGAAGGCTGGTGATACATATACCGCAGGGACAGATTAAAGTGAGAGAAGGTTGTATAGATTCTTGGAAGGAAAAAAGGTTGGCCATCACAGGGCTCATGTCAATATGCTGACAAGTACATATTATATTCAATTGATAGTGTACATGATAGGTGCGTACCGTGCATACTTTAGCTGAGATCGTACCGGAAAATATGCCTAAGCCCTAAGGTTGGCCAGTTCGTGAGTATAGAGAAACCCTACGATCATGAGTGCTCTGTGCTTCGCTTATACAAATACAGTCTCCAAGTAGATACCACCAAGGAATCCGAAGGAGTGGGGGCCTATCAGAATAATGAATGCGTATTATAGGGCCTATTATAGGGCGTCAATGGTGTTGAACCACTTCCAAGAACACGCGTTTCATTCAATAGTATGGATTATATAGATCAGGTATGAATTGAGAGATTTGAATTATTTATAATAATTGCAGGAGGTATTAAGAAAAGCTTTGCCCGGCCAATCACCTACATATGGGCCTGTCACCTTCCTTTCTATGGATGTCCCACAGCAAACAGAAGCGGCTTCGCGCGTACCATGCTACTCGCGTAGCTATGATGCGTTAGATGTGCCGCTGCTGGCCTTTCAAGTTTGCTTATCATGTAACTGTATTTTTAGTGGTGGTGAATCAAGTGTTGCCCCATATCCCAGCTCTCGCCTATTTACCTTCGCGTTTTCTTTGTTTGTTGCCCCTGAAAATCTCGTCTCTCTTTCATTTTTTGTTTCCCTCCATCCATCCCTTTTACTACATTACAGTCTCTGGTCTTCCATGAGTCTTCACTGACTCAAATACTCATAGTTCATGATGACGACTCCAGAAGCAAATAGGAAGCTACCGATTGGGGTGTTAGAATACTTAATCAACCACGTGTTCCTTCCACCAAGGGTCCCACAGCAAGACGACAATGACCCTAGCCATGAGAGAGCCTTAGTGAAAGTCGTCATTGATGCTCTGAGAGAGTTCAAATGCTATGTCACAACGGAGTGGCATTCCACTACCGACTTGGTCATTGCTATGGTCCAAAACCTACAGAGCTTGCTCGAAACCAATGGATTTATGAGTCAAGAACAATTGCTGGCTTCCTTGAAAAGACTATGTACCGATGGTAAGGCCCTCCATAACAACAGAGTCGGGATGTTTCTTAAAGTTTTATGGTCCGCTAATTTGCTGCCAGGTGGAGTTCTATTACTTCACATACGAGCACAAAACTGTGGATTAATGATATCGAATAACACAAACTCCATTTTATTTGAAGCATTCGAGCTACTACCTCCGAATAAGGATGTGATGGCCACTCAGGGCCGATTACGACGGCCGTTTCCAGGACCGGCGCTTTCGATGGAAGTCGAGAACTTCAAGGATCCCAATCTTCAGTCTGTGCTAGCTGAAACCCTGGCTAAGATGAGCCGTCAAAGTGCTCCAGGAACCAGACCAAAGGTGAAGAAGGCAGACCACTGGTACGATGACGAACGTGAAACCTCACACCCTAAAATGGTGACGGAACTTTTCTTCAACTTCCTGAAGCCACTTTGTGAACAGGTTGAGCCACCTCGTTTCTGGAAGAACACCCGCAGCGAGGTTATGTGCTGTGGTAGCCAGCTGCCATGGCGCAGGTCTCCCCTATGGCTACTTCTTCGAGTGGGAATACAACATGTTTTCTTCTGTCATCGGGTAAGCCAAGAGGCACACAATGGATACAAGATGTTCATGGCCTACTTTTTGACGCTCATTCTCGAGAAATCTTATTGTAAAGGCGTTAAGTGCGAATTATTGCATATAATGCAGGCCAAGATCGCCCGACGTCTGCTCAAGCTCGGTCATTACCATGATATGGATTTGACTCACATTGCAGATGTTATTCGATCTACCAGGAAAGTCCTAGCAAAGAAATGAAAAAGGTGCCGGGAGCAGAGTGAGAGAGACTGCCAGCTAGAGGGACTCAAGCATATCAACCTTGGTGATGATTCTCTTTATAGATTGCCAACCCTGGATGCCTACATAATGAGACTGCTGGAGCCGAAGCACAGAACTAGGAAAGTTGCTTGGTCTGACCGCCAGCCAGGTATCTTAATCTTTCCAACCGAGTTTCTCCCAAGCCCTTCTTCCTTATCAAGCCCCAAAAACAGGTTGTTGACCCTCCAGGAATTCGAGAAGTGGGTAGCGAGACACCTCGATACATGGATCAAAGCACACCGGAACGAATTGAATACCTGTAGAGATCTGAGTAACTTAATTCAGACATACCACGAGGTTGCTGCGCCCTTTTACCTCGGAAATCCGGTTACTACATCTAATATGATATTGACTCTTATGGAGCTTTGGATTGCCTGCGACAAGAGCGCTGCCTCTATCGATAACCTTATCCTTGAGTATGATGTTGGGATACCAGAAAGTGTTTTCCAATGCTTATTGCTACGTTCACATTCACAGATGCGGAGACTTAAAGATGCTGAGGATTATGTCCGTTTCCGCGTGGAAGCTAGTTTATGGCCTGCTTCATTGAATTTTCAGAGCTTCGGCCATCCGAATAGTTTCTCAGTGAAATATTTTAGCCGGTCTCTGCATCACCAGGAGCTGCTTAAATCAATTGAAGCCCAGGCAAGAGAACAGAGAGAAGCCAAGCGCGCAGAACTCCGACAGATAAAATTCGAATACACTGAGCTTCAGCTTATCTACAACAAGATGAGTTGCGACATGTTAGTATACGAAGATACTAAAGATAAGACTACAAAGTGGCACGATTCGAAATGCCGAAAATGTGCTTATCGCGATAAGGCAGAGCAGCTTAGAATATCAGCCCATGTATGGCCACTTCCCAAAAGTTTGTTAGAGGCGCAATCTGCGGTCTTTGAACTACAAGTCCCTCAGTGGTATGGCTTCTGGAGGGACACAGCGCTATATATGCTGCTTGATGTTTTTAAGTTGGAGGTATCATCCAAGAACAATTCACGTCCAAAGCTCTCACTGTCGAGCTATCCTGGTCTACAGTGCTACTTTCAGCCCTACGACATCGCATACCGCCTATGTCTTTCATCAAACACTAATCCATATGGAGACACTCATAAGTCAATCGCCAGCGTAACTGAAAACGACGTTTGCTTGGACAATGCGATTGTCTACAGTTATCTCGATAGGGTAACGAGCCTTTATGTGGATTCCATCGAGACCTCATCAGATGAAGTGTCTGTATCTTGCATATACAAATTGCCACCAAGGTCTTCTGATTTACAGCCATATCTCCGGAGATTAGCCGTTATGTCTAATGGCCCTCCACCAAATAAAGTCATAGCTAGTCAACTTGACTGCCCTAAGCATATGTCATTTGAGGAATACATAGCTTTGACTCACTTGCCTTTGGGATTTCGACTCCAGTGGCAGAACATCCTCGTACAGCTCTCCTTACCAGCCGTCGACCTGAGGAAAGTCGAGACCACACTCTTCGTGCTGCAGACCATATACCAATCTGGGCCTCGTGGGGCTAGTGGGACTTATCGAGAGAGCCATGAAATTATCAGTAATGAAAACTTCACCAGAAAATTCATAGAGAAGATTGAGAATACCATGCAGAGTCTTGAAGAAAACTGGGAATGTGCTCACGCATTGTATTCGCTAATATGCTTGACGGCAAGAGTGCTGACTCTAAGCTCAAATGAAGGGATTCGAATGACATGTTTAAGACTTCTAGCGGGCATGAGAATGGTCAGTTATTCCTGGGTATGTATTCTGAAAGAGAAAATGGACGAGACAACTAGACATCAACAGAGACAATTTTTCATGGGAAAAGCTGTTTTAGTTGCACTAATATGCGCTGGCTCGTTTAACATCGAGCAACGCGACTTGACTTCGATATTGGCAAACCCTGAGAATTTGTCGATTCTGATACACATATCAATCATCCTTGATGAGGGCAAGAACCGTATATCAAAGGAACTGGACCCGCTAGCATTGAGTTTACACATGGACTGGAAGCGATTGTTATACCATGCATACCCTACGATGGTAGAGCAGATTGCCAATACCACATGCCTTCCACTTGATAATGCTATTCAGAAGGTTTGGTCAGCCTATAGGCCTAGTTCAAAGTGGAAAAAGCTTTCGGAGCAAGCGTGCTATTGGCTTGTCAGCCAGACAGCTCCTCAGAGCAATGGGTCTAGTCTACCTGTTCGCTACAATCTTCTCACAGGAGAGCTACTGGCAAGTGGTTATCCCTTGGCTACTCTGCCTCCGGAGTATGAGCGGCATCCGATTCATCAGACTCTATTTGGTCCCTTGTCCATAGAGGCCATGCCAAGTGCTGTTCCTGGGATGCAGTTCTCAAGCAAAAAGAAATATGCGGGATATGCAATCCATTTCGGCATGGTGCAAAGAACCGCCGCGGACTATGATATCAGAATTCGAGTTGAAACGCAAGACAGCGCCTTCGAAGTAGTCCCTTCTAGGCTCTTACAGGGCTTGTTCCCGCCGATGTTTGTTCAGAGTTTTGTGCACTGGTATAGCCTCAAGGACGGCCACTTAGGATTTTGCCCTGTCGATAATCCTTGGCCATCATCACAAGATATGTGGCGTCTTGTGAGAATAGGTAATGATGGGAAGTGGCGCCTCTTGAACAGGGAACTTTCCTTGATCAATATGAGAAGTCCAGCGGCAAGTAGTATATCGCAAATTCTTTCTCCACTTGAAGATCCAGAGCATATACACGTATTTCTCGGGAAGCCAGGCTCCGATGTTGATATTGAGCTACCTCGTATTCAGCTCTCATTCCAAATGGATGTGGATAACCGAATGATCTATTCGCAACAATTTCGCGGATATCATATCGACACTAATCAATCTCTTGGGGCCCTGATTGGATTGCGTAACCGACTGATATTGAAACATCAGAAGTCGGAGAGCCACCTTGTTATTATTCTGGAAGGAGATATATGGACTAAACAATGGGGAGACCACATGGCCGTTGGGATTTACAAGGGGTCGGGTACGAAGGCTCACTCATACCTTATTGACAACCAGCTGGGCAGGTTGGTCGATAATGGTACTCTACAGAGTAAACTTGTGCTCTGCTACCTGCATGGCTTAACGTCATTCTGTCTACCGGATCCTTTGACTGGAAAGACAGGCACGGAGCAGGCCCTTTACATATTAACATCAGCTGCGGTCCAATCTTTTGACCCATTAACTCCGGAGAATATTCAATTGCTTGAGAAAATAGCTCACCTGAGCCCTGAACGAAAATACCATTCAAGCTCTGGAAAAGGAATGCAGACGGTCAGATGGGCCTCCACGCTTGGCTCTCTTGCACAGGATGGTTCGTTTTTTAGAGAGGTCAAGTCTCTTTTGGATGAGAAATTTCGCAGAAAGTTTTTGTGGAGCACAGCATATGAACGACCCCCAGATTGGGGATACCTAGAACCAGATTTACTCAGAAGAGATTTAATCCGGTCATCAGTCTTTCGTGTATCTGGTTTTGGTGCGGAAGAATACACCCATGCCCTAGATTCAAGCTATCTGGGTCGTGATCGACTTCAGTGGTCCAAACCGGGGATCCGGGCTTTAAATTCGGTAGAGCTTGTGTACAACGAGCGCGATTATATCTACTATCCAAGCGTGGATTCAGATGCTCTTTGGGATTTCCATTGTCGCTATAAAAAGAATGAGGCTTTACCCGCATTTGAAATCGGCTACGACGCCTGCTACCTCATGGCCAACTTCTACCAATCCGTGTCAACGCATTGGCTCAGCCTGCACAACAACTTCGCTAGCAAACCCCCTTCAATCAACAAATATAAGGTCATGATGTGGCTAGCTACTCTGGCATATGCAGATGGAGCCGAAATGCCTATTATTCAAACGCTGACATCATTTTACATAATACCGGAAATGGTAACAGTACGGGCACCCCAGACTCTCCCACGACGGCCTTCTGATGGCTACGACTGCAAGAAGAGTGAAATTGAATCTATAGTCAAGTCAAGCTGCTATTCAATCAATGATTCTCCTGAAGCAAATCTCGTTTGGGACCTTGGGAGTCAATCTGCCGAGGATTTCCAGACTCGCAGAATCAGTTTGTTTAAAAGGCACCGTGCTGCTGCTATTGATACGTTCACGAATGCAATTATGAATATGTGGCCCTGTAGAGCTCTGGCTATGACGGAATTTGATGCCTTTATTGCTGTGGGCCAGTACGTTGATATGAAAAAGGCCCTGAGGTCTGCCAGTGATCTTTTTGAGAGCTGGTACGACAACAAATGCTTCTTTGAGTATCTAACAGAGATAGAGACCTTACTTGGGAGTATAAAAGAGATACAGACCATGCTTGGGGTGACATGCCAGTGCCTTGGCCCTAAAGGACGTTGGCAACCATGGCATGTCAAGCATGTACAGCCAATTCAGAGGAAAGTATTTATCAGCATTGACGATCTCTTTGCGTCTCTTGCTCCTTTTCAGATACCATTCTCCGGTACGGAGTTGACCGACCTCGTATTGAGAGGCAACCGTTCAGAAGAATCGATGGCTCGACTGAGCAACGTTATTGAGGACGTGGAAGTACAAGCCAGTTCGAGCTATGAGGAGGCCTATGCTACGCACTTACGTGGCAGCCTTGAGAGCTGGAAAAAGCATCATGGAGACACAGAAGCCTGTTTAAAAAACATTGACATAACCAGTAGTGTTCATCAGCACTTGGGTTATTGGAAGGGCTATGCTGAATTTCTCTACAAAATACTTTTGCCAGCTGCCAGCCCAAAGAACCTCGCAGCAAGCACACAACGCCAGATATGCTTACAGATAATGACCGATGCTAACCTTTGGCCACGCCTATCCCCAACGCTCTTTTTGGAGCAGCTTAGATATAACCGATTTCGCCACATGTCAGAATCCTGGAAGGATAGCATCATTAGTTATGGTCTTGCCCTGGCTGGACTGCAACGCGCAAAAAGATTATTAATTTGCGTTGATAACAAGAAAGATCTGATTAGAGAGCTTGAGAATACCGGCCATATGAATTGGAGTCCATCTGACTTTCCTGAGTCACTGCTTCTAGAGGTTGAAAGTGGTCTTATGATTCGTGACAATCAAGAAGATATTGCCCAGAAGATGAGAAACGGAGAGACTGGCAAAAACACAGTTTTGCAGCTGAACATGGGAGAGGGAAAATCATCCGTCATCATACCCATAGTAGCAACGTCTCTGGCCAATGGCTCTCGCTTGGTCCGCGTTATTGTTGCTAAACCCCAGGCGAAGCAAATGTTTCAAATGCTGGTCTCGAAGTTGGGTGGGATGATTGGAAGGCGAATCTACCATTTGCCATTTTCACGTGCTCTGAAGCTAGATAGCATACAGGCTAAGGAGATAACACTCATGTGCCAAGAGTGTATGAAGAATGGTGGCGTCCTTCTCGTGCAGCCTGAGCAGACTTTATCCCTCAAACTCATGGCGTTAGAGCGCATGGTTACCAGAGATTTCGACGTTGCACATTCGCTTTGGCAGACGCTTCAGTTCTTCAATAAGCACTCGCGTGATGTTGTCGATGAGAGCGATGAAAATTTCAGTGCCAAGTTTGAGCTTGTTTACACCATTGGTGACTAACAGCCAGTACAGATGAGTCCAGAGCGATGGCTGCTAGCTCATGAAGTTCTCGAGTTGGTCAGGAGATACACCGATAACGTGAAGGCAAAGTTCCCACACTTAGTAGAGGTTGGGGTCTCACAGGAAGGGAGCTTCCCACGTATACGTATCTTTGGAGTAGCTGCACAGCGTGAGCTGGTCGATTGTGTCGCCACGCACATCTGTGAGACAGGGTTAAGTGGTTTTCCCATTGCTAGGCAACCAAAGACAGTCAGGGAAACGGTGCGCATGTACATCACCAAACTGACATTAACTGTTGACCAAATCGAAAAAGTCGAAACAGATCTTGAGGGAATTTGGGGACCTGGTACACGCGACGTCTTGTTTCTGTTACGGGGTCTTTTCGCGGGGGGCATATTGGTCTTTGCCTTCGGACTTAAGAGGTGGCGTGTTAATTATGGTCTCACTTCAACTAGAGAGCCACCTACGAAGCTTGCTGTTCCATATCGCGCCAAAGACAACCCTACTGCACGTTCTGAATATAGCCACCCGGACGCAGTCATTGTACTAACCTGCCTGAGTTGGTACTATGGGGGTCTAAGCAATGAGGACCTTTTTAATACTTTCAGTCACCTGCTTAACACCGACCAGGCTGACATGGAATATCAGCTGTGGGTAAAGGATGCTTATCAATTGCCAAAGAAATTTCAGCAGCTGGTAAGCATTAACTTGGAAGATCGTCATCTATGCATCGAGAAGATTTTCCCTTCGTTTCGATTTTCAAAAAGTGTCGTGGATTACTTTCTCTCCCACATTGTATTTCCCAAGGAATTGAGGGCGTTTCCATACAAGTTGTCTGCATCAGGCTGGGACATTGGCGAGGTCAAATGCCATCCCCTGACCGGGTTCAGTGGGACAAATGACTCCCGTGAGGTTCTTCCACTTAGTGTGGAACAACTGGACCTCCCTGCACAGATGCACACGAATGCCCTGGTTCTTGGATACTTATTACAACCAGAAAACTCGGTTGTATGTATTCCACGGAGGCACAAGGAACATCGATCAGATGCCGAGGAGTTGCTGTCCCTGGTCATGCAAATGACTCCGCCTGTGCAGGTCATTCTTGATGTTGGTGCTCAAGTGCTGGAATTGACCAATGCGGAGGTGGCAAATGAATGGCTGAGGTTAACATCCAATAGTGACATGCCACAGGCTGTAGTTTTCTGTGATGACAATGATGAGCTATGTGTGCTGGACCGTAAGGGGCGAGTTGAGCTCCTGCAAACATCACCTTTTGCTAAGCAGCCCGATGTGTGTTACGTATTTCTGGATGAAGCACATACACGAGGCACTGATCTCAAGCTACCCGAACATTATAGGGCAGCTGTTACGTTAGGGGCAAATTTGACAAAGGACAGATTAGTTCAAGGTGAGACCTGTGCAATATACTGATTAATTTGACTGCTAATGCTTCTCCAGCTTGTATGAGGATGCGAAGGCTGGGCCAAGGTCAGTCAGTTGTATTCTGTGTGCCAGACGAAATCCGTCACAAGATTCCGACGCGCGCCTCCGATAACGGAAGCATAGAGGTATCCGATGTTCTTTGTTGGGCGATCTCCGAGACCTGGCAGGACATGAAACGGAATATCCCTCTATGGGCCACACAAGGCCTACGGTTTCTGCGTCATGAACGCCTGTGGAATGAGATGCGCACGCAAGGGAATATTATCTTATCTTCCAGTCACGCACGAAAGTTTCTTGAAGATGAAACCCTATCTTTGGAACAAAGGTATAGGCCCCGTGTGATGCAAAACGGGCTGGCAGATCTCGTACAAGGCGACACAAGCCAGGCTGCATCTTTGATCGCGACCCGTTGTCGGGAATTCGGAAGCGTGTCCTATCACTCGGCAAAAATGGATGAAGAACAAGAACGGGAAGTTGCCGCAGATGCAGAAATGGAACGACAGGTTGAACGCCCCCCGAAGCTATGCCGAAAAAGCACGGAATTCATAAAGAAATGAAAAAACTCGTAACCACCGGAGTAATTGTTGAAGGCTCTACAGCCTTTCTGCCGGCCTTCCAATCACTTGACAAAACGAGCGCTGCCCGGCATCTAAGCGTTCGTCAATTCCCGAGAAAATTGCTTGTAACCCGAGATTTTGCGCAAACTGTCGAGCCTATAGATACCTTGTCCTTTTCGGCCGATGTCTTCCAAAGGCCGGTGCAATGGATCCTGACAACTCGTCATGGGGGTAACTCTACCGATCAGAAATCGCTTGTCAGCCAAATGGTCATCATCAGCCCTTACGAAGCGCAAAAATTGTATAACTCCATCAAGGAATCCACACATGTGACATTGCACCTTTACGCGCCCCGGTCCAACTTAGGGCTTAAACCCTTGGACAAGTTAGACCTCTACAATGTCTCCGGGGAAGTCACCAGTGCTCTATGCATGCCTCGGGACCTCATTATCGAGTTGAACCTATTTGCTGGACAGTTGTATCTGAGTTCGTATGAGGAATATGTGGAAGTCTGCGACTTTCTGGGTGTCGCATGGAAGCCAATGGGTGAGGATAGCGTTGTCGCTACAGATGGCTTCATTCTACGCCGGGATACAAACAACGCAGAGGGCATAGAATCAACGTTCCGGCAAAGTCCAATAAAGTTCTTGAAGGCTCTTATGTCGCAAATTCGACGAAAAGGCGATGGAATTGACAAAACGCATATGGGCAAGATATTTAACGGCATAATTCTTAATAGATCAGATTTCGAAGAGCCAAGGAGAGCAGAACAAGACCAAGTCCTTTCGGACTGAAGTGGGTTCACTGTGGCCTAGTGTCTCAAGACTCAGGTTTTCACAGCTCAAGTCTCTGTGATGCTATCGTAGAGCGCAGTGCTAGGGAGTCTGGAGTTTCAGTTCAACGGTATGATCCATGGATATCTGAGCAAGTGTCTTAAGAGTTCTGGCAATGTGGAATGAGCTTGTATCTCTCTTTTCTCTTCAAGCTAGTAAATCCTTGTTATATACAGAACTGGCCGCATTGAATACTGATCTCTCGCAACCCCCATTAAAAATTCTGCAGAACTATCAGCTTCTAGATCAGCATTTGGAAAACTAAAAGATCTAATTACTCACATCATGCTATACCCTTCTATTGCTAAAGCGACTACAGTGCTCAGTCAGAATCATAAATCACTAGTTCGAGATTTGAATGTCACGATGACTGAAACATGAGAGGCCCTTGTTGTAATTACTCAGCAGTGGCTTGATCGCACAGCCTCAATGTATTCATATCTTGTATTAGGTTTGGACTACATGTATGGTTTATTTACAAAAAGATCGACGTCAACAATCAATACAGTTTAATGTGTCAGGCTGTAGTAACAATTGCCATTGGATGTTTGAATCAAGGATTAAATTAAACCAATCAGGGGAGTGGGGATGACGGGAAAATCACAAGTGGTTTGCAGATTTATCACATTCTATGCTGTTTTAGTGTCTGCAAACAGATCCATTGATATAGCGCCTCTCGCGGTCACCATAACTTCATCCAATCAGGGAACCACCCGATTGTATTTGGGTTTGAGGCCAGCCTAGACGCAGAGAAACAAATAACGAAAGGAAAGAGTGGACAAGAGAGGATTGACGTAACGGCTAGACAAAATGACAATTCTTTGAACTTCGAGCTGAGACATTCAAACCTAGAGATCGCTTTTGGAACGTAGAGCGGTGATATTTCAGCTCTCCTTTCCAGTCCTGAGACCCACAGGCTTGACATATACTACCATCTCTACTGCTGTTCGTCCTGAGCTTTGTTTGAATCGATCCTGTTTCTTTGCGATATCTTCCTCGGCGATCATTTGTGCGCTGTGTTGGCACAAATCCGGCGATGGCCGTCAATGAAGAGACCCCCTTGCTGCGTTCCCGCCGCCAGGACAGGAAGAAAACCAAGGCCGATGGCGTATATGACAAACTCGTACTGTACGGTTCATTTCTCGATGAGCAATATATGCAATCGATCCAGACGCAACTATTATCGTACTGATTCTACTACATAGGCGTTTCCTTCGCAGCTGCAGACGAATCTATCATTCTTTCCACATGGAGTGTGATCGCCTCGGAGTTTCACCATCTATCGCAGGGATCATGGCTCTTGGCCGCGTATAACTTTGGGTGGTGCGTATCATTGCCGGTGGTTAGTCCGACTAGTCGCTCTAAGAAGGGCGTGAGACTGACATTTTCGCGGGTTAGTATGGTACACTATGCGACATACACGGGCGAGAGAATTTCCTTATCAGTACTTATGCGCTTTATGCGGCGGGATGTCTGGCTTGGTAGGCAAATACCACCGTACGGGGTTGTCTATGCCATTAGCTTCCAACGACCGATTCTGATGTAGCGGCACCAGCACATCCATGGTTTAGCTGGTGTTGGCCCGGGTGCTCACTGGAGTAAGTGCAGGAGGGATGGTTTCGCTGGTATCGGTCGTTCTTACTAGTGAGTATCTCTACCACCTTCTCTTGCCACACTGACCCTTTCTATTCCTATAGATATGGTCCCTGCTGACGAGGTAGCCTTGCTCCGAAGCTATGCCAACGTGTTTAATGTTGTAGGTCGTAGTGTAGGTGCTCCGCTGGGAGGCTATCTTATTGGTGCTGTGAGATGGAGATGGCCTTTCATTGGTCAATTGCCCGTGGCAGCCATCTGTCTCCTAATTGGGCTGTATAGGTTTCCGTCGTCCTTAAACTCAACCAAAACTGGGGCTGCAGATGAAGGAAATTCTCAGCATAGCATCATGGGGCTTGACTTAGCCGGTCTGGTCAGCTTCTCTGTCACCGTCCTTCTACTCTTCTTAATGCAGGAGTTGAGCGCCCCGTCAGATGGCTTCCAAATCCCGCTTACGATACTCGCCTCCGCCGTTTGCGTAGCAGTGATATTGTTCATTGTGATAGAAGCATACTGGGCTCGAACCCCACTTATTCCGTTGCAGCTCATGAAGACCTCGCTGGGTGGGCTGTGCCTAAACCAGATACTGATGATGTCGAGCCGTTCGGGAGTAAGTTCTACTTCCTCTGAATGAAAGATTTTCTGTGATATCTGCCTTTTGTTGTAACTTATGAGTAACTTGGCTCCATACCTGATTCGTGTCAAGGGTTCAACAAGCTCATTGGCTGCGTCAGCCTTTGTGTTGGCTGCAGTTGGAGTGTCAGTTGGAGCATTGCTCGCAGGAAAAGTTATCAAAAGGCAGTGACACTAAACCGTGACACAATCATCCATGAATACGTGAAGTTATCTGACCATTCGCAGATCGAAGTGATACCGAACAATACTGTCATCGCCGTTTGTGGTGCCTTTGTGGCATACTTGCTCATTTTTATTCGCTGGCGAAGTGGCTGCTGCCTCTGGGAATTAGTATATCTGTTGCCCAATGGTATGGCTATTGGTATCCTTTTCACCACACAGTTTATTAGTACGTCACTGGGCGCGCCGAACGAGAGCCTAGCCACTTGCATCACTACATATTTATTACCTTGCTCAGCAGTCGCGTAATATCATCGGGCCGGCGGCGAATGTGGCCATTGTGCAACGCGTGTTTATGGGGAAGTTGGAGAATAATTTAAATGAGTGGAACGAGAAAAAGGTTTGTCCACACACACCATATCTGATTTGTATGAGTTTCATGCTAATCGTAGTCATCAGTTCATCGGTCAGATTCTCAACGATGACAGATTTGCTCAGTGCCTGTCCCCTGCGGTTCAGGAAATTGTTCGGTGGAACTATTTGAACGCATTCCAATTGGTGCCATATGAGTATGATACCATCGATGAAAGCATACAAAGCTAATTGCTGCAGTGATTTCTGCCGCATGTGCATTATTTATGCTGCCTACTGTGCTATGGGTAAAAGAGGAGAGATTAATGGATTAATCACGTATACTAGTTGGACTTCTACGTGTATAATTTTTCAATATCAAAGAAATGGATTGCTTGTAGTTTATCTAGGGAGAAATGAATTCAGGGCGGTAGGGCCTGCATTTGCCGGTACCTAACTATGATGCACTATGATGAATAGGCATAAGAAGTGACTTTGATCCGACTCCATGGACGAATGGGAGAACGGATACACATTATCGTTGAGTCTATTTGGTTGTATCAAGGATAATTTAGCGGGGCTTTCTTTCTACTGGGTTGCCCCCAGTTAGTGAGTATCCACCACCACCATGGTAGAGCTGCCACATCAGCTCGGTGAAGCGTCAATTCCGACATCAGTTCCACCACGCATAGTGCTGATGTAAATTGGAATAGAGCGTTTTCTGTGCCCGCGACACGTCCGATTTACTGATGACACAGTAGACAATCGGCTCATCAGCAGCTACAAACAGTCAGACCGACATAAACCAAAACGAACGGCACCCGCAGACAACAAGCAAAATTCAAGAAAGAAATCAAAGAACATACCCAGGGAAATCATATGCACAGGAATGCAACAAGCACTCAAGATCGAGAAGGTCGAAGACAAAACCTCGCTACAGTGAAGTTTCGAAGCGATTTTCACCGAGAGCATAACCATATCCCCAGACAAGGCGGGACGGCTATACGGCTGCATCTCAGCCTGGGCGCGCTTCACAGCGTCCTCGCTAACAGCGTTCGAGTCAATTGCGATCGTCACGCAATTGTCGCTGGTCAGCAGGAGCTCGACAGGGATGTTCGAGTCATCGATGATTGAGAGAATGCGGGCGTAGAAGCGTAGTGGGTCAAATTTCTGTTTGAGTTCACGCAGAGAAGGCTTATGTTCTCTTTTGCGGAGACGGAGATCTGGCGGTCTTTGCATTTTGTTATGTCCTGGTATACTGAGTCAGGAGGGATGATTTTGGGTGTGTTGATGAGGAGGGGACTGGAAAGTTGGTTGGTCTTACCTCGGGCTTACCCGGCTGAATGAATTTTTCGGGGCTGTGAAGAACATCCGTGTTTAACTTTGCTCCGAACTCCATGGTGGGGAACTTTTGGGGGGAGAGATTGCTGTGGGTTTTCGCTGAATCGCAGAAACATGAAGAGTGTGCGTGGGAATCACTTCAATTGGGAAAGCATCCAGCAAGAGTCTGGTTCGTTGGAAGAATGAGTGAAGATTAAAGAGTGGACGTTTCGACAAAAGTTGTAGATCGTGAGTCAGGGGTGGATCTAATCAATCGTTTAAAAAGCGGGTCTCTGGGCTCCGGCCACCGAAAAATGCCGCAGAACGGACCGAATGTCTGGACTCTGGCAGTGGTTTCGATCGCGATGTTTTCTTGAATGACCTGCAGCACGATGCAAATTTGCATATTTTTAATTGGTGCTAGGAGTGAAAAGGACAGCTGTCGCTGTAATTAACTAGAGGAATGCACGGCGGACTCATGCTGTAGCTGGATCGGCTTTCGCAGTTACCTATTGGAATGATATGGTCTTCTGTGGGCAAGATTACATATCCCTTGCTGATTTATGCAATCACTATTCAAATGAAAGGATAATGTTTTCATCTTATGCTGTTGCTCATGTATCTTACCTGCGGGCATTGTTTTTGAACCACTGGAAATGAATGGCTGGGACTAGGGGCTGGTTCATGTAAAGATTCCTTTCTAGTATGCTTAACCCACCCACAAGAATCTAGCTTATAGCATTATTATACATGGACTTTTAAAATGTTCACTGCGATATCCTGTCCGCCACAGTATAAGTTTCCGTTTGAGTCTGTGCGCATAGCAGCAAAAATCCTCGGGATCCACTATGGACGGCAATACTCCGGAATAACTCGGCACATGTAATATTCCCAGCTATCACACAGAGTAGGTGTACAAACTGTTGTTGCCCATTACATTGAATAACTATGAGGAATCAGCAAATAGCAATTTTCAATACCAGCAGATCATAGCCTTAACCCAGAGCGCATCAATATGAGTGGTTGCCCTGAATGCCCAGCATCTAATGCAGGAGCACAGCCTCGGGCCCCGTATAAGACAACCGGGCCCGCACACCAAAGACGCTTAATGTTTACGGACCCATTTCTCGCCCACAACCATGGTTTCTCTGAGAGGTCTCCTGAAATTTTCCCAGCGCCATCCCCGACCCACTGCGTCGGCATTGAGAGCGTCCACTGTAGCCCCCGCATCAGGCTCCCCGTTTATTAACAATTCGCAGGGGGCTTCGGCCGCTGTGGCGGAGTTATCTGATGCTCTTGGCACTGTTTTTGACCAGATTGATCTTGATGGTAAGACATTGTTGAATCGGAATAAAACAGTTCCTTATTGCAAATAGGTGATTTGAATGGCCAGATTAATGGACTGTTGGATCGACTCGACCAGGAGGCTTCCCAATATGGTAACTCTCAACTGAAAGATGAGCATTATCCTGACTGGGATTGGTATGAGAAATATATTTAACTGACTATGAATGCCCTCTGCTAATTCATACCTCCCAGCTCCCCGGAAAAAGCTGAATTGATCTCCATTGCATGGCACTGTGCCCGGGAGGTGTATGAAACATCCTCGCGTTTACCTAATGGTCCTGTTCCAAATGGGGAATGGAAACTCGAACCAGGTGATTGTGTTGTTCCATCAACTGATGGGACAATCAAAGCTGTTTCTTTCAGTCGTGTATCGGCAGTTGAGAAGAGGACTGATCACAATGATCTCCCCGTGCTAGTAGTTGCTATTCGAGGGAGTGCTAGTGCAGTCGACCACATGGTAAATGCTAACTATGAGCCGCGGAATGCAGATGACTTCATTGTGAGTCTTTCTCAGTAGCATATGCATGTCTCAAGACGGTATTTCGCTAACGAACAAATGGCCCAGGACATATCTCGGCTTGCGCCGGAGAACAGCATCACTCTTCAGGCGCATTCTGGGTTTCTGAGTAGCGCAAAGGCCCTGGACAAAACCGTGTCACAGGAGATAAAGAATTATATCAGTGAAAATGCAAGCGAATACAGTCACGTTTTATTCACTGGCCACTCGGCAGGTGGTGCTGTTGCCTCACTTTTGTTCCTTCGGTATCTAGCACAGGAAAGCGTCTGTAAGAAACTCAGTTACCTGTATCATTTTGAAATTCAATATTCTGACTTAAAGGACTAGACCCAGAGGTCCGATTCTCGTGTATAACATTTGGGGCACCTCCGGTGGTAACAGTTCCTCTCTTGGAAAGTCCAGTGTCTGGAGTTTCCAGCGGGGCATGTCTAAATCTTATTAACGAATTTGACCCTGTCACTCGGGCAGACGGGGAATACAAGCATTGCTTGGTAGATTTGATTCACTCGATGTACAGCCGGCAGCCGTCACTGCCCAGATCTGAGCCGTCGAGTACCACAGTTGATTCGCTGTTTACGGAGGATAGCGAATGTTTCTCGAAAGGAAAAGACTGGCCTGTTCTACCTTCATTTTACTCCCATGTTGGCCCTCGCATCGTCCTTCTTTTACGAGTTAAGCCCAGTATTAAGGAAACTTGTCTTCGGTTACGCGCCATCGAAGTACCCCGGGCTGACTTCGACAGGTTGTTATTCTGTCGGGTTGCAGTGCATCGACGGGTATGCTATGGGGAGAGGGTGGAATTGATTACCAAGGGAGAGCTTAATGAGAGATCTAGTTGGGATGATACTAAGTTTTAAATAAGCTGGCCAGGTTGTGAAAGAGATATTTAGCTAACTGTATTCCTATCACCAATACCATGATGGTTACAATAATCAACGTACCGGCAGGGCTACTCCCTTCCGCCTCGCAATTTCTACCGCCCTGTAATAACGCACATCACTTTCCACTTTCTTCACGATGCTATCAGCATCGCAATTAATATCATCTAGAATATCCATATCGTCATTTGCCGCAAAAGCTTCCATCGCAGATGTAACTGCCTCGCAATCCCAACAAAGGCAGACATTATATTGCTGACCGAAAGCTATCTGAAACAGCTCATGCGTATTATCAAACCGAGTGTGCAAGAATGACTTCCCCAACTTGTCGTCATGACTGACCATCCGTCCGGCACGTTCATTCAAACTCGTCCGGTACTGCTCCGGATCAGATAAATGGGTATGCCAAACCAGATCAACGTCCAGGGTCGGCACCAGAGTCGTTGCCGGGTAATCACGAAACAACTGCAGGAATTTCTCGTAGCGGTCAATGGCGCGACGAAGCGTCCCTTCAACTGCCGGGCTGCGGATCCAGAGATGAGCGTGCATCTTTTCTACAAACTTGAATTGCCGCTCGACATTTTTCTTCAAGGGTTCATTCCTGAGAGCCTCGGATTTCGTGGCTTGAACCACCTCAACGAAAGCATAATTAGCCGGAGTATCTATATATTTCAATAATGAAAATGGGCTCGTCTTTGAGCTAGACCCGTACTGAGAGAGGACGTGTTTAGCGTGGCTTTCGCGTTTACCGACATCAACGAGCGTCTCGAAGAGGTCGGGTGTAAAGTCCGCCTGCTTTTCTAGCCAGTCCTTCTGGGCCTTGGGGAGACGGTATGACCAGTCTCGCGAGTCTATTGCCTCGTGCTAGTTAACTTTAGTTAGGAAGTATTCTCCATGTCGGACTTTGGTTAGAGTGTGAAAAACATACGATTTGTTGCCATGGAAGGGGAGCTTTGCGAACCCGTTCCAACCTATGTTTGACACAATAGAAGTCGAAGTCAACGGGGTTCAGCAAGAAGGCATGCCAGACCATAAGTACATCTGGGTAGTATCTTAATACTGTTTCTCCGGCACAGTCACAAATATACAGAGACAAAGATAGACTTACCGACAGGGGGTAATGGACCCAGTCCTGATGGCTCGTTGTCATTCTGTGAATCAGAACTGGAAAAGGACATTCTATTAACCATCCGAATCCATCTGGTGAATCGGCCGACTGCGAGCTCCAAGAACCAGGGCCATTTATTTTTTCTCCTTGTTTCAAACGTGGTGTCCCTAACTGTGGCTGTATAAGACTCATATTTGCGTTTCGCAGAGGAATACCTCTTGCGGTAGACCGTTCTTGTATTCGGTTTGATACTGAAGGTCTTGTCCAGATCTGTGGATTGCTGGACTCTGTCTCTTAGAGCATGAAATACTTCCAACAGCTCGAGGTGGACGGCACATTCGCTGATGGTGGGGAGATCGTGGCGATTCGTGTTGGTTAAGCGTGACGAAGGTTGGAATAACTGTGGACCCGGTATCATAGGCTCCTCTGACTTGCCTAGAGCTTTCTGATATTGATAGGTGGTATTTGAGAACTTGGCATTGTTGATTTCCGCGCCGCTTGCGCGATGAAGAGACGCGAGGTTCAAGGAGACGAGAAGAGCCATGTTTAATGTTGATCAAGGACGGGTTGCTTGTAGATTGAGGAGACGATACTGTATATAAGATAAGAGCTAGGCGCAATAAACTCTAGATGGATCATCTTCTCCATGAATACCGCCAAGCTGTCTCAGCCTCAGTGTGTAAGGCGTTGCTTAGCCGCAACCCCCCGAATACGAGGCGAGTTCGGCGATCCGGGCAAACGGCAAGGCTGCACGACACCCTCGCGTGATTTATGAATAGCGACTCCTTGGCAATTTGTGTTAGCAGCGCCTAGCTCCAGTCTAGGCTTATTAAAGCACTGGTACATCACTCCGATTTTCAAGATTACTATTACATCATGAGATATCAAAATGAGTTCAAGTCATATACGCCGACAGCTGGATAAATCTAAGACGGCTAGAATATTGGTTTGCTACGTTCTCGCCGTACTTGTTCCTATATTTGCATGTGGCATCGTTCAATCCAAAACACCGTCTCAGCCAGAAGTCTATTATTTGCTGCATCGAATCGACCATGGCCTTTCCCTCCTTCACGGTCTCAAAATGGTCATGGCCGCAGTATGTACCATGATTCGATGAAATTCACGGAGAAATTAGCGCTAACGGTATCGCCCCTGTACCAGTCCTGGGTTTTGGTATTCCTGGCATTCAGTATATTCTTCTTTCTCGGAGCGAGAGAATGGTATTTTGCACTCTTAGGGACACTGAATCTGGCCATGACCGCTGTTATTGTGGCCGGGATAGCGATGCAATCAAAAGTCCTCCCGCGTACTTTTGCTGGTTGCAATAGCTTAGCTGCAAGCTGGCATGAGGCCTTGCCGATGGATATGAGGGACTCTCCTACAGCCAGCGAAGCCTCGCTGCATTCTGCCTGCAAGAGGATGGTTGAGCATTGGGCCTTCGCAGTTGCCATAGTGTAAAGACTGATGCGTATCTCTCAAATTCATTAGCAGCAGCTAACTGGACGCAGGGTTCTTTACTTTCCCTATGCCTTACTTATGATCTTCCACGGTCTTCGAGGAATCATGCATCCTCGTCCGCCTCGGCGTTCGCGACCCAGAAATACTAAATCTGTCAGAATCCAAGCGGCTATTTATTTCGCTTTCAGGTACATAGCAAAGCTTTTTCAGCGGCTGAAGCCTTGGAGTGGAAATCCACCAACCCAGGAAGTAACACGAGAGGCCAACGGGATTAACCAACGCTCGAATATATTTACCAGGCTTCGTCGGGGCGAGAAATCTGCTGCCTTGCCTCTACGCGTCATGCCTTCTAACGTACTTCTCAAGATTGCTTCATATGCTCACTACGTGGATATAGTCAATCTACACACTGCCTATGGTAGCCTTTTCCTCGCTTATATTGGGAATGAAGACGAAGAGTCTAAGCTTGAGGAGCTTCGAATGTATACCTGCTCTGATGAGCAGGCAAAACAAGAGTGCAGACTCTGCAGAGCACAAATATGCGAGGTATGGTCGTTTCCTGCGACTGTGCATATGTAATGGGTCACTAACGAAGATACTAGTCATGCTGGAGATCTGTGCCCGTCCCGCAAACAATAATACGCACACATCTGGAATCGTGCAAGCCAAATTGCTCTCGTTGCTTCTATAAAAACTACAATCTGAAACAGTCTGAATGGTGCAGTATGGATGCTATCACAAACAAGCGATCTGAGTTTCAACATGGCCATTATAATCAGTATGAGAACGTCTGCCGGGGCTGTGCGGCGATGACCGACTCGGAAAAGCTCCGGGTGGTGGAACTACAGGATAAGGCGGAGATGCATAAGTTCTCCAAGGGTTCTTTGTTTTGTGCAGATTGCAAGGTCATGTTGCCGCCGTCGGGTCCACGTTGGTGGATTTGTCTTTGTGGAGAGGAGTGCCGTCATCATATTCATCCCCCGTGGGGCCTGGGGAGCCATAGCTAGGGCGCACATGTGTTGTAATTGGATGAACATTGACTACTTCAAGATCGTGGGCGGAGTACAGATCTCTAACGGTAATGATCTGCATGTTTTACGATGAAAGGATTATGCGCATTAGTAAAGCTGTACAAGAACTAGTTAAACTACCTGCATCCAAGTTATCTACGAGAGCTGTTGCATTCCGAAGGGCGGCACGTGGCTCAGTCGGATGCCCAGGCCGCAGAGAATCCCCTTTTACAACCTCTGTAGGCAACAATGCAATAACTACCACCAACCCAAACCAATGACATAAATGACTCACCTCGCAGCCTCACTTTCGGTTTGAAGAATTCTATGCGCAAGGCAGAAAGCATCGACCGATGCAATGCAATGCAGGTACACGAGAACTATCGAGATACTGTTTCCTTGGCGTAACCGCGCCCGGCCTCGTTAGTCGCTCCCAGCCGCAGCTCGTATCTACGAAATGGACTAACCGTAAATTGACCAAATTACGCGAAGGCAGAATGCTGATCTATTGCTGCTATCTTGCATGGCTGTTCTACTGTTGAGCCTCTCGGGTATGAGCTTGTGATACTACTATTCGGCTGTTTGGGGAACGCCCACTGATCTATATTGTAAAAATCTATATATTTATTCAGGATTGGGTACCAAGTTGCTATCATTAAACCAATGACCGGATGAATCACCATGGCTCGACTCAAGACTTTTAATAGTTTGCATCGGTCGTCACAACCAAATATCACACAGGCACCAGATACATTATGGGAGCCGATTGGACCGGGGAAAGCGCACCTCCTCCAAGAGCTTGAAGCGCTCTACTGGACTGGAGTCGAAAGTGAACTGGAGAATATCATCCGCACACTGAAGGTTTGGCAACAGCCAGAGTACGCGGATATCATTATCAGCGATGAAAATGATAATAACGTTCATGGCTTCGACACGTTTCTTGACCAGGTTTGTCAAGAGGCGAGAGCGTTCGCTATTCGCTATGGTTAGTTCTGCCCACCAGATCCTTAGACGGATATATGGTGTGTATGGTATAGAAGGTGATTAATGCCATACAGGGGAGACGAAGCTACAAGAGATGGCCAACCCCAAACCAGCACAGGCGATATTGTCACGTAATCTTTCTTACCAGGAAGCGCTGAAGAGAGTCATCCTTGATACACGAGCGGAGTATTTTAGCAAAAAGATTAAAGAGGAAGTTCGTGAGCAACTTAACAGTGAGTTTCCTTCATCTTATGTCAGATAGCTGCTAATATAGTATTCCCGGTGAAGCCATCCCAAGATTGTCTGGTGTCGAATTGCGAGCGTGTATGCTGCTTCAGAATGCCGGTAAGTATGGGATAGGATAACTTAATTACAAATCAAGCGAACTAAGTCATGCTAGGTTTCCTTGACATCGACAAGCTGATTGAGCATCGGCCGCCGCTGGATAAGTTAGGCTTCTGGAAACGACCAGCAATTCCACAGCGTATGTCAATATGTTTCTCTAATCGTGTATAGTTGTCATACTAACGAAACGAAGTAACACTCTCGAAATTCGATGACCAATGGGTCCCTCAGTTTGCCCCAATGCAATGTGCTGAGTGCAGGGCCATCGTTAGTGGAAGCATGTTCACTAGACAGGAACAGTCCGAAGTGCCACAAGAAGCCGCACACACTATATGCGAAGACTGTTATCGGTCTAAGTATTATGGGGATGAGTCGATATCCAAGAGATACAAACATTGTGTACTATCTAATTCTATTCAATCTAGCATGAGCAGGAAGATGTGCCAATGCTCGGATGTATCTCACTATGATTCACAGGGGTGTCCACGCAGTCTGTTCCCACTGAATGAGGAAGATAAACATATTTCCTACAGATCGAGTCATCGTTGCACGATACTGAAACTCTCTGAATTGGTTACGTATGCAAAGTACCAGGGGCTTCTACGTACCGCAAAGGTGAAACGGAAGAGGGGAAGACGATTATCTGATGCCTCGTGGATCTCGAAGATTGTTGACCGATCTCGGGGCAGGCCAAACTCTCAACATACAGATGCACAGCGTGGCCAATCTCACAATCAGTCGCCGCAAACATACGGAACAAAAAGGCAACCAGCCTTTCGTTCCGTAACGGAAAATACCCGCCAGGGAGATCATCGTGCTCCTGTGTCGAGTACCACGAGCGCAGCGACGGAGTCGAAGGCGGATGCAGACATTCCGCTTTTCTTTCGTCAGTTCACTGAGAAGTATCCTTTTGGAAACGTACATATGGCTTTGCGTGTAGGTCCGTTGGTTATAGAGAACGGTGTTTCTCAGTAAGTATATCTCACTCGAAAAGGCATTTTTCCCGATGGAAAGACAGGATCTGATCAGTTACAATTAGCACCAAAGCAGGCGTTCTTATAACTCCGAGGGAATCGCAGGTATTTCACGAGCGCTTTGCACGTGGGACACATCAACGCAGCCTAGCAGTGGGGGGAGATTCGGAGAGACATCTCTGGCAACAACAACGACAGATAGGCCCTCCAAAGAGATACAAAGCTCTAATGAAACAGATTGTCGGGGCTCCCTTTACAGGAGTACTTTCCCAGAAACCTGAGAGTGAGCAAGAGAAAGAGATAATAGAGCTCCTTGTGGCTGCCAGCAAGCAGCCATTTGATAATCCCGGCTTGCCTGTGATGGAACAGCAAAAGATTCTCGACGTCGCATTAAGCTCTGTTCTGGAAAAGCTCAGGGGTATGCTCAGCCCAAGAGTTAAGATATACCTTACCAGCATTGCCCAGCGTCTTCTTGACCCCGCGAACACACTCACATGGAGTGCGACAAGCAATAATTGTCAGAATTTCTGCAACTCTTTGATCGACACAGACCTGTTTGAGCCACTGGCCAATGGCCCACATATGCAATCTAGCGAGGTATCCTCTCCTCTCTATCTCATGAGCTTCGTCTGCCCGCCTGAGGGTTACCTGAACAACAAGATCATCAGTAAATTCGACGTCCCGATAGGATTAACTGAGGAATACCTTCTTCGGTTCCATTACGGCCGCCATGACGAGGCGGACCTAATTGACACCCTCCAGGAATACTGGTATGACTGGGGAGCTTTTAATTCTCCATTATATAACTACCAGGATCTCTTTCCATGGGATTGCACCGAAGCATACAGGAGGTACCCGACCAAATGCGGGGATTGCAACTTGTCCAAACATGTCTGGGCCTTTCCCTTCGATTCATGGTCTATTATCGCGCTGCATCTTTACCGCGACAAACACATGTATCAACCAAAACAGGATACGGACTCCAAAGCCACCAATCCCTGGCTACGAGACCGTCTTACCATCCTCACAGCATCGTCTATTCTCGCCCGTGCTGCAACAGCAATGGCTAAATCACCCACGTTTTGCAAAGCGACAGCTTGGCTCCACTCCAAAGAAAAGGGACTTCGCCGCATCGACCCTTCCCTCGCTCGGGTCAAACTAGGCGGTATCCACCGCGCCCAACCATTTAGCCACTACTTCGAGGCCGGGACCTACAGTCACTACTTCTTAGCCGAATGGGCGTTGAAAAAGCACGATGATAAGATAACCGATTACGAGACTCTCCGAGATGGCCGTGCAAAACGACATGATATCCGTATAGGCCGGGGCAGATTCTCAGAGACCAACAGGCAGCCTACAGATTTCAATCAATCATTCGATTGGTTCCGAGGGCTTGATCATAATGCTGCCGATTATGATTACTGTGACAATCAGAGGCAGATAGAAACTGACGCGCAATTTGAGGCGCAGGCTAATGCTAGTATGGCTGCTTCCCTTATCGCTGATTCGCAGCTGGGCTCTATACAGAATGCTGAGCATGCTGTGGCGGAGGCGGCTGCTGCTGCTGTAAATTGCGGGTCAGGATGTGGGACTTCGTCGGCGCCGTCGCATGTTTGTGGGTCCTCTTCTTCTTCTGGAGGAGGCGGGGGAGGCTATAGTAGTTGTGGTGGTGGAAGCAGCAGTTGTGGAGGTAGCAGCTCTGGTGGCGGAGGTAGCAGCTGCGGTGGCGGAGGGAGTAGCAGTTTTTGACTGATATTTGTGTTGGGAACGCTGTCCATATGAATATCGTACAAGCCTTCTATAGAGACTCTGAGCTTTAGTCAAGTGATATCTAGTCTAGGTACTAAGTTCCCGGCGCTAATGCAAGTTGCTTACTCTGCTAATCCATATATGGCTAGTTCGATAATCACCTCCCGATCTGAAACATGGAATAGATTTAAGTTTGGGGAATTTATACCTACTGCCAAACTATTACCTGTGTCGGAGTAGTCATATTTGTCAGCCGTGAAAAATATTTTAAAAACACAGCATAAGCATCTTGCAGAACTAGAGCCGTAATGATCATACAGCTGACTTTGTCATGGCACCGAGAACCGCCACGATCCCAGTGGCTCAAATGCCGCAACAAGCTGGCGTTCGGGGCCCCCAAGATGACTGGACGGGCATCATCGATCGAAAAGAACGAAGAAGATTGCAGAATCGGATTAATCAACGCTCATATCGTAAGCCGACCCATTGATCACCACCTCTTGCCTTGAAATCTCCCGAACCAATGAACGATGAATGCTGTTGCAATGACTTACGTAAATGGAGTCATAGGGCTACGGCAGATACGACGACACAAAGTTGACCAACCACCGGAGGAAAGTAGCGGTGCAATGATCGCCTCTCGTCCGACTAACAACGGCAATGATGACAAAGTATTGGGCGAATTCCAATGCAAACTGGGTCAACTGCGCATCTACTCACTGATGCGCGATTTCGAAACGTCAGCCCTAGAGAGCTATTCAAAGAACTCGCCAAACCAGGACCACCTTCTCAGTCTACCAAAATTCAATATTCAGCGCGCGATCATTGACAACACAGTCGCTATGGGCATGACCATGGAGTGGATGAATGATGATGACGCCGTATCCATCTTCAACATGCAGGGGCCCGGGATCTCTGAAGCCCTCATTCCAGCAAGTCTCCGGCCGACAATAGTCCAGCGGCGTATACCCCATCACCCATGGCTGGATTTCTTCCCCTTTCCCAACTTAAGGGACAATCTAATCGCCGTGCAGGATGAAATTGATGACGAGGAGCTGTGTCATGATCTGATGGCGTTCTGGGATACGCGAAATGCGGGCCCTATGTTGTTGGTCTGGGGTCCTTCCTGGATGCCGGGGAGCTGGGAGATGACACCGGCGTTTGTGAAGAAGTGGGGGTTTCTACTTGGTGGCTGTGAGGAGTTATTGCAGAGTACGAATTCTTGGAGATTGAAGCGGGGAGAGCGGCCGTTGTCTCTGAGACCACTTCTTCAGGCTAGACTAATTCAAGGGTTATGATCTTACTGCCTTTGCGGTTGTGAAGGAGAAAGTGGACATCCACTCCAGGATGAAAGAGGAGCTACTTATCCAGGGCTCGTATGATATGGTGAAACACAGGCAAATCAACTGCAAGCCTGGGATATACACTCTGCAGACTGTTCAGAGGGTAATACAGAGGTCATTTTTATACTGTAGACAAGGTATACTTTCCCCATTGTAATGCATAGAAAGGTTTAATGAATTAGCTAAATGGCAGATTATAGGTGTACTGTATAGATACAAAGGAGGCCGGTTGTCTACTTCTATAGGATAGAATTCGCTTGGTTGTTTAAGTCTTAGGGCCTGTTCAGCGGAAGACGAGATAAATCCCGCTGTCCCCGAATTTCCCGCCTCCGCACATATAGTTGTAGAGGTTGTCCTTGGGTCATTACCAATCCTGCTCCGCATATACACCCCGCTATCTCGTATGCTCAACTGAGATTATAATCATTGCTCAAAACGTCGTTATGGTGGAAGCAAGCACCCTCTCAACCTGGCCTGACGCCCAATGCCAGGCATGTTCGAACATTGTGTAGGAAGTACTCAAAGATTTACGGTACCCACAAGACAACCAAAAAGGATTTGTCAATCTGGGTGTGGCGGAGAATCCACTGATACATAGTGAGCTACAAGGCTTTTGTCAAACGCAATATAAGCATATACCAACATGCGTTCACGTATGGCGACGGGAGTCTCGGCAGCAAGCGACTTAGACGAGCTGTTGCGCAGTTCCTGAATGAGCGTCTACATCCAGTGCTACTATTCGAGGCGGGGCATATAATGGTGACAAACAGTGTATGTCACGCAATCGAGCACTGTTCGTGAGCATTGTGCAACAAGGGCGACGGCATCCTCCTCGGACGACCCTACTACATGTCATTTATCGCCGATATCTCTCTTCGACTGGAGGTCGAAGTTGTTACGGTCAAGTCCTGTAGATCTGACCCTCTAGGCAGTGATTGCATCACGGGCTACGAAGAGGCGGTCCTGAGCGCCAGCCAATGCGGTGTTGTCGTGCGAGGACTTATCCTTTGTAACCCACATAGTCCCTTAGGGCGTTGCTTTCCTGAGGAGAAAATCAAGGAGTTAATGAATCTATGCGAACGCTACCAGATACATTTTATTAGTGACGAAATATACGCATTGTCCACATGGGAAAATAAGGAGACGTGGGATTCTCCTCCAATGCCTTTCGTCTCGGCCCTGGCGGTCCCGACTGATGGGGTAATTGACCCAGGGCTCGTGCATGTCTTGTTGGGTATGAGTAAGGACTTTGGCGCCAATGGGCTCCGAATTGGGTACCTTATTTCTCAACACAATTGCAATCTTTGCACGGCGTTGCAATCCGTTGCTCTTTGCTCTTACGTGTCCTCCATCTCAGACCATCTTGCCGCTGAGATTCTCGAGAATGTGGATTGGGTCGATGGGTATATCTCAAGCAACCGGTGTTAAGCTGTCGAAATCCTTTAGCTTTGCAGCTCGTCTTTTGAGACAACGGGGAATATCGTATACTCGCGGCGCTTATGCGACGTTCCTCCTCTGGGTTGATCTGGGCAGAGCATATTGCGAAAGACACCTGGAAGAGTCAACGCCGGGAGACTTAAATACAAAGATTAGCAGCCGGTTGCTGGAGGAGAAGGTATTCATGGCGGACGGAACAATATTTGGATCCGAGAAGGAGGGCCTTTTTCGGATCGTATTCTCTCATATCGTTGAATATATTGAAGACGGGCTCCAGAGGATGCTGAAAGCGATAGATGTTTGAACCTGTGTCCAATGAGGTGCCCACATAAAACAGCTGGCTAGCCTACTTGAACGAAATGGTTACAGAAATTGCCTCCTGTGTTTCTGGGGCCGTAGCCTTCCCCGATCCTCCGCATACGGTTGTATATATGTCGTTACAATGCATTGAATCAAGTATAATACCTTATCGAGGTGTTTTTTTTGTCTGTTATCAGAGTAATAACTAGAAATCAGGGAAATGTGGAGACACTGGGTCATCTATTAAGCCATGCTTTAGCACACGGTAAAAGTTTGTGTAGGCACAATCGCAGCGGCGTCGCCTATTGGCATACCCTGTTGGTTTACTACTCTCTGTAACGCAACTAGAGAACAAGAACACAAGATTGAAGATTTAAAACATACGCAGTAGAAGCAAGAAAAACCCATGTATGGATATAGGTTGAGCGACATGCCGTCGTCCGTTACTCAACTTGAATAAAATGGTAATGATTACAAAATGGCAGCACTCTTCCGGGAAGGATATCTGAATACATATTGGATAGGAGCCAGGGAAGATGGGAAGTAAGCGTGTCAAAAGCCAGAAGCTTTTCTTCTTGCGGTAATCATTCGTCGGAGCGGCACTATGGCTTGTGTCCAAAGATATTAAGCCTATTCATCTCTTCTAGAGCATCATTCCTACCTTGCACTTTGGGCCATTCTTATAATGTCGCTTATATTCCTGGATATACGGAGCCGGTCCGACAAGGAAACTCACAAGAGGAAAGTAATTGGCTACTGGGGCAAACTGCTCGGCAATTACTTAATTGCAATGGTCTAACTACCGAGCTTTCGTATTTTACGTGAAAATCCATGGGTTTTAGTTGAAGTCAGTCAAGTAACCGCGGCACGGGGATAGGCGGGAACGGCGGCATTTGCGGACCAAACTATTCTAATAGTAGACGTCAGATGCGTGACCCTCAAGAATGGTAAGTTGAATTGTGTACATGAAGTTGGAATTTTCTGTTGAAAATTAAGTTTATATCTTTGTCTAACAGTCTAGAAGGCGTACGCGCAAGTTCAATGCATTACCATAGCCGAGTTGAGAAGAGCATAGAGCACGACAATAGAATCAATCCACAACACGCGAAACCTGTCACCTGAACGCACAATACGACCGTTGTTGCGGAACTATACTTCTACGATATAGCCTTTCGATATCCTGGGAATGTATGGGTACTGCCCTACTGAGCTTTGATCTTTTAAATGCTGAACAGTCGCTCTATTGTAACTCACCTCCATCCGCTAGGAGAACAATATCATTTCAGCCATGCCCCCAGAATCCAAGTCGGTCCCAGTTTCGCAGCTGCCCAGCATAACCAAACCCCCTGACGGCGGCTTTATGGCCTGGTGGCACGTCTTCTTATGCCACATGGTGTTTTTCAATACCTGGGGCCTTGCCAACAGCTATGGTGTGTTTCAGCAGCACTATACGGAAACACTCGGGCATTCCGCTAGTGATGTTGGATGGATCGGAGGCATTCAAATGTTTTTAATGCTTTTTGGGGGCGTCTTCTCGGGCCGTGCGTCTGATGCCGGTTACTTTCGACACTGCTTCGTGACTGGGGTTATCATGCAAGTCTTCGGACTGTGTATGGCTTCTTTGTCTACTCGGTACTATGAGATTCTACTTAGCCAAGCCGTATGTGTTGGAATAGGGAGTGGTCTGGTCTTTACCCCTGGCCTCTCAATCATGGGCTCGTACTTTCAGAAGTATCGCTCTATCGCAGTAGGCTTGTCGGCTGCTGGTGCCGCAACAGGAGGCATGGTCTACCCAGCAACAACAAATACGCTGCTCAATCATTCACACGTTGGATTTCCTTGGACAATGCGCATTCTAGCATTGATAATGCTGGTCACGCACATTCCTTCCGTTGTAGGGTATCGGCCGTATTTACCACCGCGCTCAACAGGGCCCGTGGTTGAATGGAGTGCATTCCGCGAGTGGCCGTTTGTGCTCTTCACGACTAGCATGTTCCTCAATTTCTGGGGCCTATACATGGCTTTCTATTATCTGGGGATATTTTCCCGTGAGAAGATTCACCTCAAAGAGTCAATTAACCTCCTAGTTGTGTTAAACGGTGTCGGAGTCATCGGGCGGAGCTCTCCCTGCTTCATTGGCGAACGCTTTACCGGCATTGTCAACATAACCATTTTCTGTTCCGCGATCAGTGCTATCTGCGTCTACTGCTGGGTTGTTATTGATGATATAACGGGGCTCTATGCATGGGCGATTGTGTACGGAATCTTCGCTGGGGCCACACAAGCCCTGCTCCCGGCGATGGCGACTCGGCAAACGAAAGATATCACCAAAGTCGGCACGAGGACAGGGATGGTTTTGACGATAGTCAGCTTCTCGTGTTTAACGGCACCGGCTATTCAGGGTGCACTTATTCAAGCCTGTGGGGGAGATTATATCGGGGCGCAAGCCTTTTCCGCTAGCTCTATCGTTCTGGGGATGGTCTTTTTGTGGCTCTATCGATGGTGCCACGTTGGATTGAAAATTGATGTGAAGGTCTAAGACTGGGGGTATATATTACAGGCGTTGTGGATTACATGGTATAATGCATTGGTCATCATTTGCAAGTGGCTTTTGACGGGCTCAGTGTGGTTCTGAAACACAACCATGATGCCTTATATGTGGTGGAAGCAAAGGCGAGGATAGCCTGAGATACACTTATTGAAAGCTTGATTAGGGCGTCTTGTCTTAGAGTCCTATATAGATTCCTCTTATTGTGATGTTTGAACTAGTTAAAAAGAAGACAAATATTAGGTTCTTCTAACAAGAGTCACTAGGATAATTAGCAAATTGACCAAAGAACCTGAGTCCATCATATATTCACATATACAAATATAAGCAAGTATAAATCCATTCTCTATCTCTCTCGTAACCACGATGTCACAAGTGAGCCCCGAGATGGGCATTAGGGTGTAAAATAGTCTGTTGGGTCATGCCTGCAACCAAGTGACCGTTTTCATTCCATATCCTCCCCTCGCTAAAAGCTCTAGTATTCTCTGCAACAAGGGCTCTTTGTTCTGCCATATGCCAGTTCTGGAGCCTCCATATCTACTAAGCCTTGAAAGTCACGCCCAGTACATGCTTGCCCAAATAAACCAAGGCGAATATGGAAAACCGAGGGGTGCTAATGCACGTTTCAGAATCAAGTTGGGCCCAGCAGCTGTGCATGTCTCTCCTTTCTTTACCTTATGATGGAACAACTGTGGGCCAAAGATCGAATCGCCGTGCCAGGTAACTTGCCAGTTTCTGAGCAGGTCTTGTATTGCCAAGAGTTCTGAAGCATTACACGACCATTCTCCCTGAGGTAATGTGTTACCGTCTTTCTCGGTGGATCTCGCCGCTTCGGAATGGGCGAATATCATGCGCAGAACTGTAAAAGTGAAGATCTTCGGTAGTGAGTCTAGTACAGAGAGCTGTTTCATTTCTTTCATCGACACTTTGCAAGAGCGTCAGAGAGGTTGGCATCAGATCCCTCCCGCCCTGACTGAACGTCCATGTACCGATCGTTATGTGAGATGACTGGTCCAGAGCCAGTGTGCCTTGTTACTGTTAACGAAGCAAAGAAGCTCGTTAATGGCTTCAAGTTCTGATATGCCATCCTTCTGCGTCGCACACTACTATTTTTATCATTGATTCAAGGACTATACGAGTTAAGAATTATCATGCAATCGCTTGTTCAAAGCAAGTAGGTAATTCGTACTAAGTATCGAATCATGTCGGTAGATCTGCATAGCTGGGTCCATGCAAGTTGCTTACGCCCTCGATGGTCCTAAAAGTCGAGTTTGAGAAACCAGACTCTCTTGTACCAACGGGTGATACTCTCATATGATTAAGAATTATGAGCTATGCACCCGGGCGCTCTGACCAGAGGTTTCAGTGAGTGGCGTCGTAGTTAGGAGTACATTCGCAGCCCGTCATAGACAAAGCAAGCTAATATGGCATTGGGGTGTGAGATGTCGTATTTAAATGCGCTGAAACCTAACCCGGGATACAATGAATGATATGTCCCCCGTAGGTGAGCAAGTCATCAAAGGAGATGCATCTAAGAATCGGGGATGAGATAGCACTTTTAACAGCAATGGTAATAGTGATATGTACAGTTAAGAGAAGCTTTGAACTAGTTGATCGAAATTCCAAGTCCATAGTCTTGAATTTATCTAATAGTTGCACATAAAAAGCATAATTTCCGATGCTGAAAGAGGCTTGATATTGTCCTAGGCACAGTTCCTCCCACGTTGTATACGTGGTGTTTCACCTCATTTCGCGTCACCAACGCCTCGCCGAGGACTATATCCATCCTGAAGGAATGTCCTTAAACATGAAATATCACAGTCGGTATCATTCCAAAATAACCTAGACTATATATCTGACAAACCATAACCAGAAGGCATTCGGAATTTCAACTGCTCACATTCGAAACAAAGGTCCGGAATATTATGGCGACTGGGTAGAGTAGAACGCCATTCCACAGCTCCCCTGCAAAGGCCGTCGTTTTCCTTTTCCCCAAGGCAGAATATCTTACTTGCGAACTCTTCGGACATTTCTGGTTGCTTCGTCGTGATTCTCTCTCTCTGACGGCGCCCAACCACACACCCGCATTCCTCGCAGCACCTAGTCACAACAGAATAGAGACACATATCGACCCTGGGCGAAAGTTGAGAAAGAGCTTTGAGGTCACGTTTCGTAGAGGGTTGATCTATTTGAAATGTTAGCGCATTACTAAGGGCCATGTCTGTATGAGCGTTGTTGAAGATCGTCTATTAAGGGGTTGGGGAATAGTTACAGGGTTGAATGAAATAGTATTAAATGACCACACTACTTACCTCTTATCGTATACTCTCTGCAGGCGAATTAGAAACGCAGTGAAAGATAATTGACTTTGATAAAGCTAAGGGGATAGTTACCTGAATACAGACGCGATGGTTTTATATGTGACAAGTTAACATCAGTGCGTTCTTTTCTGTAGGAAATTTCGGGGAGATCCAAGACTCTACAAAGAGTCTCTGGTTAATAAAGAGACAAAAATAAGACCGAGAATGAAGCGTGTCTAATTCCAGACACGAAATGGAATGAAGCAGAATAGGTGGTAACGTTCCGTGTTTTATAGTCTTCCATTTATTGGTCAGTACTAAACGTTCAGTAGCAGTGACGACTTGATCATGAAACAGGATCCGTGGTAGATAGATTCTGAGTAGATAACATAAACATAGATCAGAAAATACTTTTTTACACAAAACTATGTACTATCATTGTTCTTCCAAACAAAGCAGCGCAAATAAAACAAATCAAACAAGGGAAAGCATAACATGAAACACCATCAGTTTTCTAAGGTCAAGTTCCTGGCATAACAGCTTGGAATTTTGCGGTGCAGACGCTGTCTGTCAGGCCATAGTCAATGCTGACTATTGGCTAATACCTTCTGTAGTTTCTGAATAGTCGCAATCCTCCTTATTTGGTGGATTACTCCCCTGTATACCGCGCCAAATAGAATCGGACCTTGAGATACCTTTGTAAATTTAACATTTTGAACGGATCTACCAAAACCAGACCCTCCTTCACGGTGTGCTTGATCAATCACACTTAACTGAATATACCACTCTCTTTATTTTCAATTATTGCGTCCGCCAGATGTCGGCAACCTTGATCAGAAGTCTTCAAGAACACCCTGTAGACTTTGACTTTAGGCTGGTCTTTGATACATACAACGCGTTAACTGAATGCTAGCTGCTGTGTACGTTCTATGCCATCTCAACTGACAGTCTGTCATGTCTACCTGTCCTCAGCCCCCATTACAATGTAACCACAGCTTGCTAGTCATAAATACAAGCATAGAAAGGCAGTCTCACGGATCAGAGGTGCTTGCCAAATCGTACGTTATTTGGCAACACACATACACGCACAAGTTGGCAAGAGCCCTAACGGTCCATTCTCTCTACCTCATCGGATATAGTAACTTGTATCACGCACTAGTTCACGCACTAGTCTCATACTGCAGCATGCATGTTATTTCCGCGACAAGATACTCCATGGTAAACACCGGAAACTCGGGTTCCAAATATCACCGACAAAGAAAAGGGTGCAGTCTAGAGCTCCAACGCCACTAGAAGTGAAGATATACCGGACACAGCCCTGAGCTATATACCATTAGGGAGTCTAAAGTTCTACGGACCCTGCCATATATAGTTCCTACCACATTGTGGTCCCACCATCCAGATCTGGGCCACGATGGTCCCCCTGCACAGTTCTCTGCAAGCGAGGTGCTCAAGAGATGAGGATGCTTTCTCATCTACCCATCAGCAGGGCCAGGCTTTCTCACCCAAAAGAGACGACCCAGTTAGAGGCTGCTGGTCTTCGTGTGGCTCAGACGCGCGCATCTCATTTGTAACTTGAGTTGGTCGGAGCTAATATCTACGTGGACTTAGCCATAGACACGAAGCCGAAGACTCGCTGGCAGAAAAGTTAAAAGAGATTGTTCTTTTCACCAATCAATGTCATGGGCACGGACACAAAGGGGGCAGGCGACTGTCGATCAATGTGCTTTGCAAAATAGAGGGGTAGATTCGTATCTTCAAAGAAACAAATTTGAACAAGATGGGAATCCTCAGTAAGATCCAGATTATAGATGTTCCGGCCTTTGCTCTTTCTGTTAGACTCACGATTTAATGATTCTAGAATATCTCGAAGACAACGACTATGGAAGTTCCTATGACGACGTAGATGCCGCCCCTAATGAAGCCAGATTGCCCCCTGACTTGATCGCCGCCGCTGCCTGCTATATCGCTGCAAAGAACTATGAAGATCATGTTGCAGAACACGGTAGGACCCTTTAATCATTCAGGCAACTATATCAAAAAAAAATGCTAATTTCATCTAGGTCGACCCGAGTCACAGGAACAGGCAAAGGAGTTTGTTACCGGTCTTTCAGATGCCTTTATCGACCATATCATAAAGAAGAAAAGCTTCGACAACACTGACGCAGCAAGGGCGAAGGATATAGCGAGTAACGACTTAGGCGATGCATTAACTGCATCTGGAGAATTCTGATCAGTCTTACTTATTTATCTTCTGCCTGCTATGTTGCTATTCATTACATAGTTTTTTTCTAATGAAGATATACCGTGTGCCGTGCGGGGCAATTGGTTTACGGCAATCCTTGTCTTTTGCAGTTTGTTACAAGTACAGAGGTTTCAGTCTATGTAGCTATAAATCGTTTACTATCTTAATATTGCCGTGAGGATCGGAAAATATCCTCATATATCCGAGTCAACCACGCTTAGCCTATTTCTATAGAGTTCTAAAGTTAATGGCAAGATTAAGGCTCGGGATTAAATCAAGGAAAAGAAAAAAAGAAAAAGAAAGAAAGAAAGGGAATAGGATATAGCAAGATTAAGCGCAGCCAAAATGTTTGTGGATATATTAAGAACCATGTAAGGATTCATATTATATGAAGTAGGCAGAAAGAGATATTCACAAAACACTGTCGAGAGCGAGGCTGGCTTTTAATCTGAGGTGCTGAAGCACTAGGTGGCTAAGGCTTTAAAGCCAAACTGGCTTACACCTCTGTCATCCCGGACTTCGTCGGCATCCATCATAGAGTCGAGGGCACATCAAGTTTCAACTCCATCTGTACGGTTGAATGGGAAGATCAGGCTTAAATATCGCTTCGGGCCAAGTATTAGGACATCCAACAATATGAACTTGGTCAATGTTTGTCGCGCATCACCTGACAATAACAGGCTTTGGCGCATTGTCAGATATGATTGTGACTTTGTTCAAGTAACTGGATTTCTCAAATCCGTACCTTGGCAGCGTCAGGATAAGGTGTATGCAACTGTGGACCGGGAATTAAACCATATCAATCGCAGTAAATTGTAGATAGTAACAGAGCTGAGTTACGGACAATCATACAGCTGAAATGGAGGTAAATCACAAGCAATAATCTCTATTCACAATGGTATCATCACATCTGTACAGGGCGGATTGATGTCTTTTGGCTCATCAGGCAGCTGTTGAAAGATGGTCCTCGAGAGCTTTCAAACTAGGAAAACTGCATCTGCAGTAATGATCGAAACGCTGAAATATCAAACACGCAATTCGCTAAAATCAACACAACTCCATGCCAAACAAATACCGTCACTGTTGATCACCAGTGGCAAATGCCTCCTTCACTGTCGTCTGCTGCCCAAGTCCCAGACAACCCGACAACTTGCAGATGACCGTCGGGATGCTCGCCGACTTTGCTTAGGGCTGCAAAGCTGGCTTCAGCGGGTGCATTACTCAGAAGACGTCGAGCCCACGCATCGATGGCCGGCTCGCCAGTCTCATCTCGTGCTTGTTTGAGGAATGGAATTAGAGCGGTACCTCCCGTTCCTCGTAGCTTCTTATTCTTTCCATCACCGTTGCGAGTGTTCGCTAAGTTTGTGGTGGAGGCATGCCTGCGTGGACTGGAAGACCGGGGTGCCCGGCCCTTGGCATCGCGGGATGGAATGATGATGTAGCGGGATACCATCTGGATGTGCTTGTCCCGCAAGGTCCGGAGCATAGAAAGACAAGCGTCGTATGCGATGCACAATGCTTTGTCTGAACGACGGGCCTCCACATATTCCCGAATATTGGCCACTGTGGATACATGTTCCAGGAAACGACGGTGAGGCCCTGGCATATACGACCTCATCTCGTGGATGAAACCGTGGCGGGGTGCCCCCGTAACTCCTTCTTTGTCATCCGTATTCTTTTCAGGACGGGTTTCTCCAGTAGGTCGGTGTTCCACACCCAGAGCAATGTCCCAGAACTGAATCAAGGAGCTCTGAGCATTACTGCCACCTCCATATTGACGATACCTGGGCTTTGTGCTCCCGTCGTCATACAGCAGACCATGAGGAAGCCCCGCATCGGCCATGTTTTTGCTGCCAGCAAGATAGGGCCGGATCCGGTGGTAGAACACATACGGATCACAATTCTCGTACATCCGTTCTAGCAGCGTTCCTACTTCATCTATGACCTCTGCGAGCGTTTGGAGGGATTCTGTCACTACCAGGCTATTTCCAGCTCGGGCTGCAGCAATTGCTTGCAGCGCCAGCGACAGCGATGGCGCACCCCGAGCCTCAATGGCAACAGAAATGAGGTAGAACCATTGTTCATCCAATGAACCTGTGAATGTGTTCAGACAACTCAAGTTACTGAGGTCGTCTGCAGCTTCCTCAGGAAACAAAGACTTGTAGTTCCACAGACACACTCCCGCATATGTAGCAACTGGAGGGAGTTCCAAGTGCTGGCAAACCTCTAGCAGGGGGACGGTGAGTTGGGGAGGTACTTTCTGGCGAGAGTTAGTATGAACCGTACAGAAGAAACCATACGCGTGACTTACTTCAGAAGGTTTGCTGCCTCCCCAGACATACCCGTGGAGGATGAATCCTAGGACAACATAGGCTCTTCTCCACTCACCTTCTGACTGAAGGTAGGACGTGGATAAGGTAGGCATCCGGTCCACAACATCCCGGATCCTCCTACTCAGCAAGAGCGATTGTAAATTCGAAACCATCCACTCCCACCGAGCATAATAGGGGTCTGGTAGGACGTCAAGGGGTGGCTCAGGAGGGAGAAAGCCATGGTCTGGCGAAATGCCGTAGTCTGCTAGTGCTGGAACCGGTGGAAGCATGATGACTATAATGAGGGACAAATCACAGTAATTGATTCAACAGTGGTGACGGCTTAACACGGACACCAAAGAGCAAGATGCCCCTAACGCAGTACTGATGTCAAATTAATCTTATGGAAACAGCCTAGATGGCCAGAAAGTAGAGCAGAACATACATCCGCAAAGTCTAGCGCTTTTAAGACAGTGGTCGCGTGACCACTTGGATTAACAACCCGTAAGGTCAAGGCCGAGTTACGGGCATAAAGAGTCTCCAGAAGGAAGGAAGGGTGAACGTAGATCAGGAGCTCATCTCAGATTCCATCAAAAACCTGGCAATGGACGGTCACGAAAGAAGGCCGAGCGTTCCGGTTCTCTCCAGGTGGTTGTCAGTGAAACACCAGCCAAACCGGTAGATGTGGCAAAAAAGGGAAGAGGAACAGGGAAAAGAAGGAAAACAATGGTCCACGGTGAAGACGTGAAAGGAAGTTTAAATGAGCCAGGCAGAGAAAAAGCCTCACGAAAAGACCGACGAAGAACCGTGGGAGAACGACGGGAAATGACGAGAATTAATCAGCGGTTAATAACGAGGGTGCCACCGGACTCCTGAGACCGGGACAATAGGCACGGGGGAAGTAATCCCCTCCGTTACCGTTGCTCGAGAGGAGAGGCGTGGTCTAGAGGCCTGTTGGATGCGCAATAAAGGGCATGGGAGGGAGTGGGCCAACTGCGACTACAGAGCACGGAATAAATGGGCAGCCATATTGCTGCCGCCGACCACCCAGCAGACCCGGACGGGGGTGTGACATCGACATGTTCTTCATTGGTTTCAGGTGGGTGAGATGGCGCTGGGCTTCCAGAAAGTCGAGGAGTATATTGGAAGGATCAAGATCGACTTTGGAGGGAAGAATAGTGTAACATCGACGTGCCAACTGGAGCTACAAGAGCTTGATCTATAGAAGTATATACTCTATCTTGATACCAGACCAGCGGAGAGCATTGGGTGCAAGCGAAAGGGGTGTCTCGTCACGTGCACTAGTCTGAGTGCTAGAGAATGAACCGGAATCCCCTTCCATGGGCGGTTGAGTGCGATTTCGGACCCGCCGCTGGCTATTAAGCGAGAGTCGACGCATGTTCGCTCGCACCCACGCCACCCCATTGAGGTCTGCGGTGAACGCAAGGGACCGGACTTGCCGCCCCGTTATCAATCAGCTTATTCAAACCTCGGGTAACGGTGACTGTTAACCCCGGAGTAACTCCGACGCAAATCAACTCGAACTCATTACTACTCACTCCAACTGCATCCAGTCTTCTGCGACAGTTTTATTGCAGTATACATAGCAAAACAGGTCACCCGGGATTTTACACAACGAATGAGTGAAGAACATGACATAGTGAGTTCTCATCATGTTAAGTCATCTACCAGCGACCTGCCAAAAAAAAAACGAACTTGAAAATCAGGCAGAGTAATCGAAGATCGTGAACTACACACTGTAAAGCTATTTGAACTGACGTCCATGCACTAGCATGCCACAGCATGTTTGTTGATGCATGATACTACTAGTCCTAGTACAACTGGATGGTCGGCTTGTCCGATATGATGCATTCTTAAGGTCTCGATCATCTTATACCATGTGCAATGGCGTCATATTGGCTCTGGACTCGGGCTAACTAGTTCAGCTTACAAACAAACCACGTTGGGGAGCCAATCGTCGTCCGAATAAGATTCATTCTTTATACAAATTACTCAGAGATCGTCATCCATCCGTAGTGCTATCCCAGCTAACGCCATCCCATGGGAAATATCGGGAAATTTCAAGACAGAAAGTATAAAACAGAGAGAGAGAGAAAATAAGAGATCCAGACCGGTCTTCGAGCAACCAAAAGACCTACTTAGACGGCCACTCGGAGGGTTAGGGAACCCCGCCCGAAGTATATTACAGTTTAATGTTGACTCCATTCGATCGTGTTCAGATCGATACCTTCCTGCACCAGCTCCCACAGGGGGCTCAGCTCGCGTAGGAAATGAACGCGGTCCTGTACCGCCTTTAGTACATAGTCGATTTCGCTATCCGTAGTGAATCGTCCAATGCCAAAGCGGATACTGCTATGGGCGCTCTCGTCACTGCTACCCAAGGCACGAAGGACGTAGCTAGGCTCCAATGAAGCAGAGGTACAGGCACTACCCGACGACAGAGCAATGTCTTTCAAGGCCATCAGAAGAGATTCTCCTTCAATGTAGGCAAAAGAAATATTGACACATCCTGGGTAGTGATGTTCGGGGTCTCCGTTAAGGTGTGTGTGTTCCATGGATAAGAGCCCGTCGGTCAGGCGCTTCGACAAACGGTCAATGTGCTTAGTATCATACTACAAATTTGATTAGCGATGTCCACTGACGCATAGCCGAATGAAGCAAAAAAGGTAAACAAAGCAATAGTCAACTCATCACCCCTGCTGAGACATCATAAGCCCATGGGTCACGCGTTAGGCGTGCAGCTACCCCCACAGGTCTCAGAATACATATTTGCAGTATATAATCATCGGCAGATCGAAAAGAAATTGTAAGCATAAGACGAAAGAAAAATACAACGTACCTTCATGTCCTCGGTGGCGAGACGGCAGGCCTCACCGAACCCAACCACCAGGTGAGGAGCAAGGGTACCACTGCGCAGGCCTCGCTCCTGCCCGCCTCCAGTAATGAGGGGATCAAGACGGACCCTGGGACGACGTCTGACATAGCAAGCCCCAATACCCTTGGGGCCGTAAATTTTGTGGCTCGAAATAGACATCAGGTCGATATTCAACTTGTTCACATCCAACGGGATCTTTCCCACAGCTTGTGCAGCATCCGTGTGGAAGAAAATCTTCTTGGAGCGGCACAGCTTTCCAATCTGTTCCAGGGGCTGGATGACACCGATCTCGTTGTTGACGGCCATGATGCTGACCAGTGCCGTTTCAGGGCGAATGGCCGCCTCAAGGTCTTCCATCCGAATCAGGCCGTTGTTCTGCACAGGGAGATAGGTAACTTCGTAGCCCTCATCCTGAAGATGCCGACAGCTGTCAAGAACACACTTGTGCTCAGTCTGCGTTGTGATGATGTGGTTCTTTTTGCCGGAGCGCCCGAAAAACCTCGCCACACCCTTAATGCTCATGTTGTTACTCTCAGTAGCACCGCTAGTGAAGATGATCTCTTTTGAGTCCGCGCCGATTAGCTTGGCGATATGCTCTCGGGATTGCTCGACCGCCTTTTCCGACTCCCAACCGTATGCATGGGTTCTCGAGTGAGGGTTGCCGTAAATTCCGGTCAAAAAGGGGAGCATGGCGTCTAGGACACGGGGATCTGTTGGGGTTGTTGCCTGCATATCGAGATATATCGGTCGCGTTCCTTGGTCCATGACAGTGGCCTGCTTGAAGATGCCGGCAGAAGGGCTCATCGAAGCATCGCCGGAAACACCAGAACTAGGGAGCTCCACCTTCTGCGGCTGTACCCCAGTTTGTTTCAGGAAATCCTTCTGCTCTTGTTTAATGGCAGTATCTACCGAAACCTGAGCATTTCCAGCTTTGGTTTCGGAGACATAGAACCGTCTGGATGGAGTGGCGAGCACCCGTCTGGGAAGGGCGGAAGTGAAGGAGCCATGCTGCATCGATGGAAGTCGACGAGCGTAGGCACGAGTTGCCTGTCTCAAGGCTGATTGAGTAACATTAGACATCATTGGGATGGATCCGCAACTGTTCCATATATGATAGACAGTTGGTGATAAGAGGAGACGGAGGGAAAGGGAGAGCGAGAGATGGGAAAAACTTTGGGTACGGTTATATCATTGCCGAGCCCACTAAGCCCGATCGGATTTATCAGATAGTCCGAAGGTGCTTTCCCCTTTGGGAACCGGCATCGGGTTTTTGATTGAATCTGCAGCAATACTACGGAGAACTTCAACCTCAGAAGTAGATAAACGATATGGTATACGGTATAACCGGCAATCCCTTTGGTAGAGATGCGGATATAGTATTTATTTTAGAGTAACACTCAATATATTTTTCCTCCATGGTAACATGCTCCGAGATTTCAAAATAAATTGTGATACGTATGCGACCAAGGTACAGATAATGAAGGATATATATGCGAAGGATCACGTGGGGTAAGATAACCGAGATAAATCTGCAGCTCTCCGCGGAAAAGTCCCGTATGCACTAGCCTGGTAATTGTATCCATTGAGGGTAACATACCTCTCCGCTCAAGACGAGTTGTAAGATTTCCAGTGTCAACTTATTGCGGGGAGTTCTCAAAGCAGCTAAAGTTGACCCGGAGTATGATGCAAATGATGCAAACCACGGAAGGACAGGAAAAACAGTTCACCCCGAGGATCACTCAGCCCTGTTGTGCCAGCTTTTGGATACTCTGGTGCCTAATCATTAGCACCCAGGGACGAACCCCCGAGATCCGCCTGTATTTACTAACTCGGCATTGCTGACCCGGCGCTTGTGCCACACCTTTGAGGCCCCCCAGTATACCATACTCACAAGAACAAGAACAATAAAAGGCTCAAAGCTGTTATTATTTGGAACTACCCATCTTATATTTTCTCCCGTTAGGCATAAATCCCGCAAAGCTGCACTAAGGAAAGCGTAGCTAGTTGCCTATTCTCAGAGACGGAGGCATTATGTCATAACACAGCCACAGCGCCGAGCCAAACGAACTGAAGTCTAACCGTCACCGGCTCTCCGCCGCCCTACAAGCCCCAAGGCACTGCGCCGAGCGAAAGATTACTTCCCCCACCTCCGCCGCGCTTCTTCCTTCTCCTTCCCTATTAACTGTGTTGAATCATACCCCTTACCTATTCACCTGTGGCTGACTTGTCAGCGTCTCTGTCTGTCTTCTTCCTTGTCCCGATCCCTTCCGGAGTACTTCGCTGCCTGCGACAGAATCAAACATGAGTTTGAAGGGCTTTCAGAAGAGCATTGTCCGAGCGCCGCAACAGTTCAAGGCCAAATTCAACATTGGCGAACACACGAAGGACGCAGTTTATAGTGATGCGGAGCGGCGTTTCCAGGAACTCGAGACGGAGACTAAAAAATTGCACGATGAATCAAAGAAGTATTTCGATGCCATTAATGGTATAATCCTTCATCCCTCTCTGGCGCCCGTGTTGGCCTAATTTCTCTCGCTAATGGACTCTACAAGGTATGCTAAACCACCAAATCGAATTCTCCAAGGCCATGACAGAACTATACAAGCCGATCTCCGGCCGCGCATCGGATCCAAGCTCGTATACGATCGAAGGCAACCCCGAAGGCATCCGGGCTTGTGAAGAATACGAAGCGATTGTACGCGAACTCCAGGAATCTCTCGCGCCCGAGCTGGAAATGATTGACAGCCGCATCATCAGCCCTGCAGATCAGCTGCTGGAGGTCATTAAAGTGATCCGCAAAGTCGCAGTAAAACGAGACCATAAGAAGTTGGATTATGATCGGCATAGGGCCTCCCTCAAGAAACTTCAGGATAAGAAAGACAAGTCTCTTAAGGATGAAAAGGCTCTCTATAAGGCTGAGAATGATGTGGAACAAGCCACTCAGGAATATAACTATTATAACGACTTGCTCAAGGACGAGCTGCCGAAGTTGTTTACTCTCGAGGCGGAATTCATTCGACCACTATTCCAGTCGTTCTACTACATGCAACTGAACGTTTTTTACACTCTTCATGAAAGGATGCAGGGGATGAACATTGGCTATTTCGACCTCACGTTGGATGTTGAGGAAGCGTACGAAAATAAGCGCGGCGATGTCAAGGAGCGTGCTGAGGAATTGACTATCGTTCACTTCAAGACCAAGGGTATCCGTCAACAGAACTCGAAATTTGGCAAGGATAAGTTGGAAAAGGAGAACAAGTTTTCCCCTCGGCAGAAGGATCCCGATGTCGTTGAAAACCCTCCCCCTCCTTATTCTGCTGCAGCAAGCGGGAGCAGCAGCTTTGTTGCGGCAGCCAAATCGAAAGCGAAGCCAGCTCCTCCACCCCCGAAGCCGAAGCCAGCAAGGTTCGCCGCACCGGTGGAAACGGTCACAGCACTGTATGATTATGAGGCGCAAGCACATGGTGATCTCAGTTTTTCCGCGGGAGATGTAATCGAAATTGTGCAACGGACAGACAACCAGAACGAATGGTGGACTGGCCGCGTCGATGGACGGGAAGGACAATTCCCTGGTAAGCTCTTTATTCTGCATTGCTTGCTTTATACTGCGACTAACCACTACCAAAGCAAACTATGTCCAATTCAGTTGATCCGATCCTCCCCCCGCGCTATATATCGCTTCTGATCTCGTTCTTGCGAATGTCGTTTTAGTGTAGCAGGAGTTTGCGGTGTAGCACTATCTCCCAGCTTGCAATTCTTACGTTTCCTAGTCGCTTGCTTTACGCCAACTCGTCTTGCATATTCTCTATTGCGTTGCATAGACTTTTGCATGGTAATACTCGTTCACATGTATATATTAATTTTTGGACATCGTTCCTTTACCCAATCAACATCAACATTGAAAGGATCAAAAACTTCTTTCAAATTAAACTTCCTGTCCACGCTTGTTAGACTGTAGGCATCTATATAAGAAGGTTAATAATATCATACATTTCGTGTCTAGCGTCCGCAATCCACAGCTTGATGACTAGAGGTGAGGTACTATACTCGGAACTATGGTAGTAAACTGTTGAGTTTCTTAAAACACAGTTATACAAGAAGCAGTTACTAATATTAGAATATAGGCCTAGGGACATAGCACACGAAAAAATCCGTCTTCCGTTTACAAAATTAAAACTGGAAAAGGAGTACAGCTCCACTATTTAGTTTATCTTCTACTTTGATAAGGTTTGCAGTGAGAAAAGGAGATACATGGACACCGCGATGTCGTTTCATTACACCGGGAAGTTTGAGTCACGGCAAGTCTATTGACTCACTTTCTTAACGAGCTCTCACAGAGAAGATATATAGCCGATGCTATTTTCCATGTCAGGGAGAGGGTCCTTGATATGATGAGCAGTATACAGAATCAAAGACCCTAGAGAGTATTCAAGAAAGATACACGATAGAAGAGCAACATAATCATCAGCAACCCTACAGACCAAAGGCCTATCAGTAAAATCAGATCGAAATCCTTCCCCTCATTGTACTTTCTGGCTTTCACCGTTTCAATCTCAAGAGTGAGCTTCGCCATTTTCCTTTCGATAAGGATCCCCTTGAAGTTATCCTCAACAAACTTGGCAAGCACGCCCGGGACACTATCTATATCCTTCACTTTTCCCTGGCCTAGGTCAATACAGTCACGTATAACAAGTCAGAGGTACTTATACCTACAATTTCTTCTAGACTCAGATTGTGGTGGTCCGAAGTCTCAGTCTCGAGTCTGGCGTGATAACGCCACAAGCAGCCTTTAGCGCGTAAGGAGCCATTGCATTCGAGCCCCTCGAGTACCTCTCTTACCATACATCTTGCGCTTTCTTCTTTGTTTCCAACAAGTAAGGGAGCCTGCGATCATGTTAGACCTTGTTCGTCAGTTGCGATATTTCGTATATGGGGGTGCGGTCTACTTGCGCTTTTACCCCATTTTCTGTGTGAGTGGGTCATTTTACTGATTAGAGAACTATTATGTCCTTGGCTTATCTCACTGAGATACAAGAGTAACTGGGAAGAATGACCTGACCTGAAGAATGGTTGGTAACAAGGGTAGGATGCAAACTCTAACAGTTAGATACTGTGGCTAGAAAGGGGCGGGCCTTTTGTAGTCGAGGATATATAAAGGGGAAATGGGTTTGTATTGGTAGGCAGTATTTTATGGATTTCTTCCGGACAAACTCAACTATCTCTTTGTCTTGGTCTTTTGTTGTACCAAAGCCTTATCATGTATAGCCTTTTCCAGGGCACACCAAAGACAATGGAGATCCAAAGCCTCTAACGGACAATTCCTTTGTGAAATACATAACCTGACTGGCCATCCTTTCTTTCTTTGCTTCATATTTACTAGCAAGGTCTATTAACGATGCACGGCCTGAAAACCAGAATTACTACTGTGTTGAGAAGGAAGTAGTCGGAAGCCACCTACGTGATAATCGCGGTGATTCTCCGGCGGAATTCGTCTTGGTCCTCATCCTCCATCATCCAATCCTTGTTCTCAAAGCTCGTTGGGAACCACTTCTCTGCCTGTATATACGATGATTGCGGGGAGCCCAATGCCATGACGTGGAAAATATCTTTCATATTTTGGTACTGGCGAAGGTCGTCGCCATTTTCGTCCCCCAGATCGCAGAGTTCCGCACAATGGAGTATTAAGGCTGCAAGACCCGACGCCACAGCGGTTGCGAAGGAGCTTCCCTGTGCAAGCTTGGAGTTTGCACCGGTATTATCTTTCTCACGCTGCCGAACATTGGTCACACTGCTCCCTCCAGGGAAGAGAAATTCATACCCTTGGGCAAGGTCATCCGGCACTCCGCTGTCTCTTGCCGCACCGATGCGGAAGACACCTGGTATCTTGCCTGGAAACGACATATCAGGTCGGTTATATCCTTGATCGCTAACTGAGGCGAGAGTGAGTATCTTCTTCTTGTGAGCTTCGTCAATTACCTCGCCTAGTCTTCTTGACTCTATATTTTTTAGTTCAGGGAATGTCCAGCTCATTGAGATGATATCCACACCGATAGCCGTAGCCCAGGAAATTGCCTAGCAGAACAATAATGGTTATCAGCAGCATAGCCTCAAAGAGTACTCAAGATATTGACTTACTTTGATTGCTGACTCGATAGTAGGCTCTCCATTGATCTCCTGATCCAACCGAACGATACAGAGCTTGACCTTGGGCCATAATCGTCGAACCCTCTTTGCCATTAAGGTGCCATGACCATTGGTTGAAAAGTAGTATTGTCGAGTACCAGCGATGTTATCTTTCCGAGGGGAGAAGCACGATATTCCCTCAACGACGCTATCTTCGAAATCTTCCCGGGGTTTATCAATCTCATCGTCAATAACAGCGACCTTCACTTCACGGCCAGTTTCAGGTATATTCGTGACAAAGGATATAAACCTATCCATATTATCTAGCCAGGTATTGCTGTCCGATACTAATTAGCTACACATAGACCTTATGATGTCTAATGGATACTTAAGTTTCGAATCTCTCCTCCCTGCCTTCGATATTAAGCCGACCATTGATAGCCGGTTCTATGCAGGTAGCAACGTTAATTGAAGGTTTGCCCCTGTCTCTGTTCCCTTCTAACCTGATGATATACTCATTGAGGTATTCATTTGTACGCTCCGGGCTCTCGACTCGCGCTGTACCAGTACATGGACATCTGTCAAACATAGAATCCGTGAGTCGATATTGTCACGGCAACGGCTCATGAAACTTGACTGGTTACCTTCTTCAGATAGTTCAATCCATCTGGTGCTGACCAGCTGCGAAGCACCGCTTTATTCGCTGTTGAATATAGAAATACCTTTCGAGAATTTCGCGCCGCTTTGGGGATCACACTGCTGCACAGATCCTTCCGTCGCCAGTCCCATTCTTCAATGTCAAATTTCTCCAAGGCCTCAATCACTTCATCACTATGTGGCAGATCCTCATCGTCATCGATACTGACGTTGATAATCTTGTTCACAACTTTCTCCAACAGAACATTGAAGACATCTTCCACGTTTCCGTTTCTCACAAGCTGCTGCTGCTGCTGCTCCTGATGATTGTCCCTGTTGCCTTGACGTAGGTACATTACAACTTTGGAGGGAACTCGCACGTATTTTAATATACTCTCAAACTCGATTCCACTAACCAGATCTTTGACATTGCTGGCGGGTATTGGTTTGTCCATGTGTCCAAACTCTGTCAAATCTAAATAGACTTCACTCCCTACTCTCCAACCCGGAGTCAATTCAACTACCTAGTGTTTTCCTATGACAATAGCACAATTCTAAGGGAGAGCACCTTGCTTCATTGAAATTGCTTGTGATATTTCTTCTTGGATCTATAGTGAAAGCCTGTAAATATAAATGTATTTATTGTCCACTGCCTATTGACGAGTTGAGTTTGGTATGCTCACAGATGACAGCATCTATGACTTAGGGCTTCATCTACTTAGCCGCCGGGTATGCCGGGGACAAAGCACGAGCATCATAGGGTGACAAGGGGCGTGTTTCTAATAATACCCTCGAAAACACCCTCTAAACCTAGCGTTTAGAAGAATAAACAAAAGTACGCATCCTCATACTCCCCTTCCATCCATAGCATACCAACCAACTCGTCTCCGCTACATTAGTGCCTCACCCCTCAGGCAACCAAGCAGTACCCCCACCAAGCAACCTCCAACCCGGTAACTTTTTTTCCAACACCCCTCACCACATCAATCTTAATCCAATACCAACCAAATCAAACCAAACCAAATTGCACCTCAACGCAACCCACAAACAAACAGCACACCAATTCGACTCAAGTCATTCCAAACACTCACCACCCAAAATGGCCCAAGACCCCTACACCCCACCACCCCTCCCGAAACCCTTCACAAACACTACCCCACCACCGACGCTCCTCACGCAAGGCGCCGAGGCGCACCTCTACAAAACAATCCACCTAGACACCAACACGCCCGCGGCGCTGAAAATCCGGCCCTCGAAACCCTACCGCCACCCCATCCTCGACCGCCGATTGACCCGCCAGCGCATCCTCCAGGAAGCGCGGTGTCTGGTGAAGCTCGTTCGGGAGGGGGTCAACGTCCCCGCTGTGCTGGCTTTGGACTGGGAGGGACAGGGTAAGGAGAATGGGAATGGAGGCGCGTGGTTGCTTATGGAGTGGATTGAGGGGTTGGTTGTGCGGGTTGTTGTTGAGCGGTGGGAGGCGTTTATGAAGGCGTCTGGGGGTTTGTTGAGTGAAGAGGAGTTGCGGAGGGAGGAGGAGAAGATTCGGGGGTTGATGAGAGGGATTGGGAGTGTTGTTGGGGGGTTGCATAAGGCTGGGGTTATTCATGGGGATTTGACGACGAGTAACTTGATTCTCAGGACGGAGAATGTCGATGCTGTGGCTGGGGAGAGTCCCGCCATGCAGGGCGATGTGGTTTTGATTGATTTTGGGCTGGCCGGGCAGAGTTCCTCCGAGGAGGATCGCGCGGTCGATTTGTACGTTCTTGAGAGGGCTTTTGGGAGCACGCATCCTCGGGCAGAGAAGTTCTTTGAGGAGGTGCTCGAGGGGTATAAGGATAGTTATAAGGGGGCTGTGGTTACGTTGAAGAAGTTGCAGGATGTTAGGATGAGGGGCCGCAAGAGGAGCATGATTGGGTGAATTTTATTTACTTTCGTCTCTCTATGTTTATGTGCTATGGGATTACGGGTTATGGGTTGGAGTTGGGATTATGATCCAGGAGTTTTGCGGGAGGAATCATGCTTTCATTTATCGTCAATGACAAACGCCACGCTTTATCGTCACAATGCTGGAGATGAGGTACGCCTCGGATGGGGGGAATCTGGGAATAGACAGACGGGGGAATGGCGGGGGATGGTGAAAGGAGGATCGATCATTCTTCACGAGCCTTGACGCAGGTTCCCATATCGGCGAGTGCGAAATAACCCTTGTTCTCGACAACGCCGCGGTCCTTGACAACAGCCGTGTACTTGACCACCCACTGCGGCTCGACATCACCCTGAATACCGTCGGCCGCATCTGGAGAGGAAGCAAGAATGCCGGCACCCTTTTCGCCCGGACCAAGGAGTTCCCGTGTGGTACCGATGGGCAGGATGTCCATGCAGTCGTTGTGGGTGAGGAGCTGGATATTCTCAGATTTCGCATAGAGAATCAACGATTTCGGCACGACACAGCAGTCCTTGAGGTTGATCTGGTCGACGGAGGGCTTGACCTTCGTGTGCGGCAGGAACCGGGCGAGTCTCTCACTGCCAAACTCCGCCACTCCCAGCTGAGAAATCATACCCTGCTCCTTGAGATCCTCGAGCACCCTCCACGTGCGAATCATGCTGTCAAAGTCATCTGGCTCCTCACTCCCGGTATCCGACGCCACCTCCTCTTCACTATCATCCTCCGCGTCGAACAAAATCCCGGGGAAAGAAACAATCAATAGATCAATAGAATCCACATGTAGGTCCTTCAAGACTAAATCAATTGCCTCCCTGGTATGCGCACATCGCCGCGACGCCGGAATCCCCGGCAAATAGAATAATTTGACCGTAATATCGTACTGCGCCTTCTCCTCTGCCAGCCCACGCTGCGCAAAGTCAATCGCCGGAATGTAGAGGCCGTCTTCGGTCTCCCGGGTCCAAGCCCGATACCGCGGGGTCGTTGTCGTCTCGGCCGAAGATAATTGTTGCGCCGTCTGGAAATTTGACCGCAGCGAGTTAATCAGCTCCACGTTGGACTTTTCCGTTGAGGCTTGCCGGATTACGGTGTGACCTCCGGACTCCATAAGATTTCTGGCCAGTGTTGTTGTTAGTATCTATGTAGATTCGGGGTTTGCGCCGCCGCGGGGTTGAGTTCTCTTCGCAGAGGGGTCAATCTCAGTTGCCGCAGGGTTATCGCCACTTACGAGGTGGAGAGGATTAGCTTCATTGTCGCTGCTGGATGGCGGACAGGCTGTGACAAGGATAGAGTATCGCTTGGTTGACAAAACGGGGGTTTTAAAGGTGGGAGTGAGGGGATTTTGTCGCGAGGAGGGAAACTTTCGGGGAGTGAGTGAGGGTCGTCGAATTGCTAAGCAGCCCCGCGGGTGCCTTTTGCCTATTAAAAATCCGTTTACGGTAATCTATCACATACTCAACTGTCTTCATTATCAATCGCAACTTTAACGCACCATATACTACTTAAAATAAGCAATCAAATCTACCATAATAGTATAAATTTACCCCTCTCTATAGATCTACCTCTACCCCCATAGCCCTAAACAACCACCTAATCAAAATCAAGCGTAGGATCCCAATCCGTAGGGTCATACTCCCCCGTAAAAAGCCTCTTCATATCCCTCTCATCCAACTCGAAATCAAACACCTGCGCATTCTCCCTAATCCGACTCGGCGTCGCAGACTTGGGCAAAGGCACCAGACCCTACAAATCAACCCTCATTAGCCCACCACCCCAACTTCCTCAAAGACCATAGTAACAGAACACCCAAAAGGAAAGATCGGAAAACTCACCCTCTGCAAACACCACCGAATCATAATCTGCGCAGGCGACTTATTATACTTCTTCCCTAGCTCCCTCAACACAGCCTCGCCCATGCGAGTCCCATGCGCAAGAGGCGAATATGCCTCGACAACAATATTCCGCGTCTGAAGCCACTCCACAATATCCTCGCGCGCGCACCACGGATGGATCTCATATTGCCCGACGTCGATGGCCCCGCCGCCTCCTTGCTGGATGTACTCCTCCAGCTCGTTCAGGTGGTGGATCCCGTAATTGGAGACCCCGATTGACTTTGTCTTGCCGGCTTTCTGGGCTTCAACGAGCGCCCGCCAGGAGCCTAGACGGTCTTCCTTGCCGCCGTAGGGGGCGTGGATCAAGACTCTGTTTTTGTATTAGTTATCATTCTATACTAATTGCTCAAGGTTACACGGTATATGAAGAATAAAAAAAAAGGGAAAACTCACAGATCGAAATACTCTACCCCCGCCTCCCGGAGACTACTCTCAATGGCGCGCTTGGTCCTCTCATACCCCATAGACCCGGGTGGGATCTTGGTTGTAAAGAAGATTCGGGAGCGATCTAGGCCGGAGTTTGTGATTGCGCGGCCGCAGGCCTTTTCGTTTCGGTACATGATTGCTGAGTCGACCTATTCTGCTGTTAGCCTTCGAGCCATGTATATTTGTAGAGGAGGACGTGTACATGGCGGTAGCCGGTGTTGAAGGCTTCAAGGACGGGGGTTTCAGTTTTGGAGGGGGAGCTTTTCGTTTGTTACTGGTTAGTCTTCACTATATCTTTGTGGTGAGGGTTAGACGGACATTAGGTAGACCTGGGGGTTTGTTAGTGTCTGTCTTTGCGGGGTGTTAACGGTTTATGGTGTATGTTTACTTACGCCGTAGCCCAGGATGGGGATCTCATGGCCTGAGTTTAGGCGGTAGGTTGATTGGAGACTTTGGGGGGATGTCATTTCTGTGTACTGTGGATAAGTGATTGTCTATAGAGAAAGTGGTTGGAGGTGAAGAGGTACAGATGGGGGGTTTAGGATGGTCGTAGAGAGACTACTGCTAGTATGAGATCATTGCGGTGGGGCGCGTATCTGTTAATATAACCCGATTCGGTAAGTGATTCCCTACAGATGATCTACAGTACGGAGTACTTCCGTGATATAAAGTATAGGAGCTCGATTATGAAGTACATATCATCGTTTGATTCATATGGTAACAATAACACGTAGTCAATAGTACAAAGATGGCGATCCCATCCATCACTACCTCAGTATCGCTAATGCGCAAAACATCATGAACAGCCAAAAAGACAGATGTACACTAATATATCCAACGCCCGGTGATGCACTTTTGTAAGTAGCAAACTGCCAAACCTATTAGCACTTTTGAATGATACACAATCACGTCCGAGCTCTCTTCTTCGATTTGAGAGGGGCTTCGCAGACGTTGTTCCAGGTGTCTTCAAATGTGGTCTTCCTGGCTCCGATCTGGCCTTCGAAGAAATTCATCCGACGGACCACTTCCATGGCACCGGTTCCTAGAGACACGGTTTTGCCCATGATAATACACTCCGACACACCCTCAACGAGGTCGGTACGGCCTGCTCCACCGGCGTCGAACAGATGGTCCGCGGTCTTCTCGAAGGAGGCCAGTTGAAGGACAGAGTCACGCATCTTAGCAAGACCGAACCGGGTAATACCCAGGACTTCACCCTTGTAGGTCATGACATCAGCGAGAAGCTGCATGTGTCGAGGATCAATGTCCATGTCCTTCATCACCTCACTGATTTCACGAACAATGGTCGTCCGGGCGGCTTCAATACCAAGGACCTCGCGCATTTCCATCACGTTATTGGTAGACGTGTGAAGGCCGTCAACACCAATCGTGTTCATACATGCCCGAAGACCATAACCTTCGACAAGAAGGGTGTTGGTAGTCGACGTGTCATCCGTCCGAATGATCGCACGGTAGGCTTGAGGGTGACCAAGAACCTGGATGTCGGGAAGTAGACGCTTGAGATGCTTCAAACGCAGGAAAGGATCGGCACTCGTCGCGGCAATTTCCGTCTTCGAAAGGCCGAGCTTGCTAGCAGGATCTACATCCATATGGATATGGATATGTGACCGCTGGCAACGGAACTTCAGGTCATCGGACTTGAAGCGTCTGTGGCTCTTGATGGCAGCGAGGATATCCTGGATCTTCAATTCGAGTGCCAGGTCTTGGATGGTCTTCCAATTAATCTTGACCGTGATGTATGCCTCTTTGCCAGTCCAGGTCTCTCGGACATAGTGGGTGATATCCCTGAGATATGTCTTCTCAATACGTCCCTTCACAATCCGAGCCGCAATGACATTGTCCTTGGTTACCAGTTCACAGGACACGACCGGCGTACTGATTTCCTTCGAGGCGTTGATGATTTCCTTAATACGAGGAACACCCTGAGTGATACTCATACCCGCGACACCAGCAAAATGGAAAGTCTTCAGCGTCATCTGTGTACCGGGTTCACCAATAGATTGCGCACCAACAGCACCCACGGCGTGACCGGGTTCAACTTGGGCCTTCTTATACTTCATCAAACATGCAGAGATGAAGGTCCTGAGCGTCGTCTCGGTCAACTTGCCTGTATGATTCAAGCCCTGCTTACTCCTTTCATCCGAAGGATCAATATCACCGCCTCGGGAGATCAGTTTGTCTGCTTTTCCGGAAACATATTGCTGAATAGACTCGAGGAAGTCGCGTGCACTTTCGAATTGGTCAACGCCGTGGTTAGACCTGTCCATGTAGCCAAGTTCCACCTCGAGCAAGTCTTTCCGGACCAATTTAGCACGCTCCTTTGAGAGCATCTCCTCACACACTTCCATGATCTCTGCAGGCTGCAAACTGCGCTCGTCATTATCATAGGTGGTCGCTTCAGAGTGAATGAACGTCCGATCGAAATGAACAGGCTTAGCCTTGCCCTCCATATCCACGGGGTCCAGCTTGTCATCACCATACTGGAACTGAACGATATGACCGGAAGAGTTCCGCACAGTATCATCGTACCGCGAAGAGAGATCTTCCAAGGACTTCATCAAACGACGCGACATGTAACCAGTCTCGGCGGTTTTGACAGCCGTATCGACCAGACCTTCACGACCGGACATGGCGTGGAAAATGAACTCATAAGGCTCTAACCCAGAGAAGAAACTATTGCGCACGAAACCCTTCGAAGGCGGTTGGCGAGCATTCTTCGGGAAATGAGGCAGTGTTCTATCTTGGAAACCGTCCTGCACACGCTGACCACCAATAATCTGCTGACCGACGAGAGCAACCATCTGAGACACGTTGATACTTGAACCCTTGGATCCAGACGTAGCCATGATCAAAGGAGAATTGTACTTGCTGAGCTGGGCGATACATTCGTCACCGGCCTGCTGTCGGACCTTACTGAGAATACCGGAAATCTTATTCTCCATAGTTTGCAACTCGTCACATCCAGGGAACGTCTCCAGGGTACCCGCCTTATACTGGGCAATTACCTGGTCACATTGAGCATATGCTGTCTCGACCAAGTCGTGCTTCGACTGTAGCAGCTTCTCGCTTGGGTAGACGTCTGTGATACCGATGGAGAAACCCATGTTCGTGAACCAACGCGCGGATAACCTCGACAAGCGATTCATGCCCTCTGCTGCTGCTGGAGGGCCGAAATCTCTCAGCATGACATAAAAGACATTGTCCTTCTTTCCTGAACCAATAGTAGCTTTGTCCATCACACCACACATGACCTCCGAATTACGAATGACAAGCCATCCGTCTTTCGGGTCCAGATCTTTCGGGCGGCCATCCTTGGGGGGCTTGTATTCTCTGCATGCAGCATCCAAGTTGACCATCACAGGGTCGTCCTTGTTGGGACGCATGAGAATATTGAAAACCTGCTTTCCAGTCCAAAGCATCTGTGGCTTGAGCACTGCGGGTGGGGGAAGGTCGAAACGAGTTTCCGGGCCAAGCATGTAAAGGCATACTTGCGTGAACGAGCGGCGATCGAAGAAGTTATCCTTACTGCTCAAGATGTATGCAGCACTGATGAAATCTTGGATGGCAGAAATAATGGGTTCACCGTTCTTGGGCGTTGCCAAGTTGTTCTTGACGCCCATCAACTCCATAGCTTCGGCTCTCGCTTCTTCAGTCTGAGGTACGTGCAAATTCATCTCGTCTCCGTCGAAATCGGCATTGTATGGGTTACAGACACACTCGTTCAACCGGAAAGTTCTGTGAGGGCGGACCTTGGCAAAATGGGAAAGAATACTGAGCTTGTGGAGAGAGGGCTGGCGGTTGAAAAGCACGATGTCACCGTCCTCAATATGGCGTTCGACAACGTCTCCCTCCTGCAGCTGATCGGCAATCATGTTGAGACTACCGTACTTGAGGAAAGTCTTGAAGGTGGAGCCCTTTTTGACAAGGTAGTTTGCTCCTGGCCACTTTTTGGTTCCGTTCCGAACTCGCTGCTGCAGCTTCTCCTTGTTGTACCGTGTGACCACCTCAGGATAAGTCATATTCTTCGCCACTAGTTCGGGAACAGCGACTTCATCGACTCGCAAATTTGGATCAGGCGAAATGACAGTTCGGCCAGAGAAATCGACACGCTTTCCAGATAAATTACCACGGAATCGACCCTGTTTTCCTTTCAGTCGTTGCACGAAACCTCGTATGGGCTTTCCCAAGTCTGCCTTGTTCAAGCCAGGAACGTCACTATTGATATAGACTGCAATCTGAAGCTGCATGTAGTCCCAGCATTCCATGATAGTCTGAACGGGAGCACCCTTGAGCAATGCGTTCTTAAGATTGATGTTACTCTGGACAATGTCACCCAACTTGGCAGTTAGATCGTCCTCGGTGGAGGATGCGTCCTGGCCTACAGAAGGACGGATACACACAGGGGGCGCAGGAATATACTGCCAGAGAAACATTTCGGGTCTGGCTTCCTTTGGGTCCAATCCCAATAGTTCACAGTCGGTATCGGAAATTCTCTTGAAGAGGTTTAGAACACGCAAAGCATTCATATCATCCTGCGCTTTTTTGTAATGTTTTTCAACTTCCGCATTATGGCTCCTAGCTTCCTCGAACGATCGGTCGAAAACAATCTTGCTAGGTGGGGGAATTTTCTTCATAGAGGTAGAGGCATTGAAGGCACGGAATTTATCGTGCGTGATTTTGAGCGCGCTTGTTCCAGCCTTCTTGACTACACCGTTGACTGCACCACACACATCACAGTTCCGAGTCTTACGGCATCGCTCGTTGATGCGCTTCGCTATTTGCAACCTTCTCAAATTATCCAAGCCCGGGCGTCTCATTTCACGGAGATAAGCACGGCGTTCTCCTTCCGGGAGCAAAATGTGCGAACATTCTTTGCAAATCTCCTGCAAGATGGTGATGACACGTTTGAAATACCCTACATGGAACGAGGGCAGGACGAGTTTCACGTGGCCGAAATGGCCGTTACAAACTTGAAGGGCACCGCCGCACGTTTGACATGATGCGGTTTTGCTCGATACACCCATGCGCGAATCGAGGGGGCCATGGGCAACGACCGATCTATCACGGTCGAGGTCAAAAAACTTCCGGTCGGAAACCTCGACTACGCCTTGGCTGACAATATCATCGTTTGACCTATATGAGTCACGCGCAAGCAGGTCAGCCATGGTCAACAGACAACCCACAAGTGACACCCGCCCAGGGTTCTTACAGAACACCAAATTTCAATTCCTTGATAACTTTTGGGGCACGGTCAATGACCTGGGCCTTGCCCAGATCGACCTGCACACCTTCCGGAGGCTGCATCACGCCTGTCAAGAGCTGAACATGGCAGGGAGGCAATAACTCAAAGAGATGTTTTGTAGAGCGCTGCGGTCAGCGCACAACCGAAAAAGGGGCTCGTCAACGTATATGTATGACAGTCGCACCCCGCTAATCCGTGTGAATGACAGTTGCACAATCCAAAAGATCAGTGACACGGATGAGAGAGAAACTGCAAGACATCACCGCGGCGGGGTCGGCGACGAACTTTTCTGCGGCCAAATTGAAAGCTCCCGCGGCCCCTCCGCTGCGCCATCCAATCAGATTCAATTATTGTTGAGATACTCCGCTTACCTAAACATTCAATGCTCAAGGTCTCCAAAACGGGTAATCATATTGAATGCTGGGTGTACTATTCAAGGCATAAATAGAATAAGTTTAAGAGGTATAATACAATAAATCGTAATGTACAGTCTTTCCAGGGAAGGTCTATTTCGACAAAAAGTTTTGGAATGCCTTCTGTTCAATCACCACGTTTCCGACAGCCCTGAGCCTCTTCCGGCCTTCTTTCTGTTTCTCCAGGAGCTTCCTCCGTCGGCTGACATCACTTGCATGGAGCTTGGCCAGGACGTCTTTCCGATACGGTTTGACGGTTTCTCTTGCAATGACTTTGCGTCCGACAGCAGCTTGAATGACAACCTCGAAGAGCTGTCGATCGACGTGCTGCTTGAACTTTGTCACCCATCTCCTTCCCAGTCGTTCTATTTGGCTATAGTGAACGACTCGCGCAACAGCATCCACAGGAGCTTTATTAACCAGCAGCTGTAGTTTCACGATGTTGCTCGGCTGCCAAGCAGATTCCTCGTAGTCCAGAGTAGCGTAACCTTTGGTGGATCCTTTGAGCTTTCCGAAGAAATCGTCGACCAATTGTGCCAGAGGCAGTTCATACTTGAGGATGACTTGGGTCGACGTAAAATACTCCAGGGTTTTCTGCTCGCCTCGATTTGCTTCACACAATTCGATCACCTTGCCGAGGTACTCATCGGGGAAGGTAAGGGTAGCAAGCACGTAAGGTTCGTGGATCTCTGCTACCTTGGATCGCAGATCATCCTCCTCGGGGAAGCGAGCGGGACTGGTAACAATCTCTTCATGGCCATCCTTCCATATTACCTTTACCGGCACTGAAGGAGGCGTGATGATGATGCTGGCGCCGTGCTCCTGGCGCAGACGATCCTCAAAAACGGAACAGTGGAGAGTCCCAAGGAATCCCAGTCTGAATCCCGCACCCAAAGCTTCGGAAGATTCTTTCTGCACAGTAATGCTTCTGTCATTGAGCATAAGCTGGTTGATGCTATCCTCCAGGTGCTCGAAATGGTCCGCATCCACGGGATAGGCGGCTACGAAAACCATCGACTTGGGTTCTTCGAACCCCGGAAGGGGCTCCACAGCTTTCTCAGAACCGACTTTGGTGTAAGTATCGCCGATCTTAGCTTCCTTGCTCCGTTTCATACCGGGGTTAAAGAAGATATAACCGACTTGGCCGGCTCGCAGTACAGTCTGTGAGGTCTCGGTGGGGTACATGATGCCGACCTCGCCGACATAGTACTTGATGCCCGTTGCGAACGAGACGAGTTGGTCGCCTGCTCGAACTTCGCCGTCGAAGACTCGTACCAAACAGATAACACCTTTGTAGGAATCGTACCAGGAATCGACGAGTAACATCCGTAGGGGCTTCTGAGAATCACCCACAGGCCTGTGGTACTGTCAGCTCTGAGTTACTGTGGTGGTTATGGATGGTATACATACGCGGGGATCTTCTCAACCACGGTAGGAAGCAATTGCTCAACATTCAGACCCGTTTTAGCAGAGACCATCACCGCATTCTCCGTGTCGAGTTCAAACGACGTTTTCATCTGTTGGAGAGCCTTCTCCGGTTCGGCCGATGGCAAGTCCACTTTGTTGATGACGGGAATCAACTCTAAGCCTTGCGCGAATGCGAGATAGAAGTTTGCGACGGTCTGTGCCTGGATACCCTGGCTGGCATCCACCAGAAGCAATGCTCCTCCGCAACTGGCATAACTGCGCGAAACCTCTGCACGAAAATCCACATGTCCCGGTGTATCGACAAGATGCAACAGATAATCCTCTCCGTTATGGTTATATATCATGGTACATGTTTGGGCCTTCACAGTGATACCTCGTTCCCGTTCGACATCGAGTTTGTCCAACACCTGTTTATTCGATCCCGGCTGGATGGTGCCCGTGAGTTCGAGCAGTCGGTCGGAGAGGGTGCTCTTCCCATGGTCCACGTGAGCGACGATACAGAAGTTACGGTAGCGGTCGATGGGAATCTGCGCAATTCTGGCTTCAAGATCGGAGGCGGGTTTGCTCGCTGCTGCTGCTCTGGCTCGCGATGCCAGATGGGCGGAACTAGTGAAAGAGCGGATGGTATTATAGAGGCCGGATGGCGCCTTGGGAAGGCTTGCCGCCGGGCATTTCGGCCCTGCGCTCAGCCATCTGGCTAACTGCAGGCATCCTCGCATCGGGAGGTCTGCAATGGCATGGGAATTGTCTCTTGTCGAATTAAATGTCTCGCACGCTGACAGTGGGAATCAATTGAAAGTTCTGGCTTTGCGGGCAAAAAAAGTGCGGCTCTGCGGAGAAAACGATTGGCAGGCGGTCGATTTGGATGTATCGAATTAAATTTAATTGCTGCGGCGACTATCGGAGTAAACAAACGCTTCCTGTCTTTTCCCACTCACCAGGAACGTCAACGCAATCAACTCCCAAATTTATCCATTACCGTCAAATTAATTCAACATGCCACCCACTAAGGACAAGTCTAAGGTTCACAAATTGTCCCTGAAAGGTGAGAATCAAACACGAGCAGTTTATACGAAAGATCAGGCGCTCATCCCTACATAGGGTCGTCCAAGCTTGTCGCAGAATTCGTAAGGATCCCACTCACTTCTTGTCATCGCAAAAAATACTGATGTTTCTAGTTTGAATACTCTATCAATTCCATCCTGTAAGCCGGCACTTTCAGCGACCTAGATAGGGCCATTTCCACTGACCTTGAGCTCCAGTTTCCAACGAGGAGTCTATCCCCCAGAAGACTTCACGACGTAAGTTTTTCGATGGTCTGTGATTAGGCTATTTGTGTCTAACCCATCTAGTGTCAAGAAATATGGCCTCAACATGCTCAGTTAGTTGACCCATCGTTGCTTATTCTGTGCATCCGCTGACAGACCTAGTTACTTCCGATGACCAGGTCAAGGCCTACATCAAAAAAATCATGTCGCAGTTGAATAAGTGGATGATGGGAGGCAAGATCTCCAAACTTGTTGTAGTCATCACGGACAAGGAAACTGGGGAGCACGTGGAGAGATGGCAATTCGACGTAAGGACTAGCACATGTGGTATGTCTCTCAAAGACTAACAGGGGATTGTAGGTCCAAATATTCGGGAAGCAGAGCAAGAGTACGAAGTCCCGGGCTTCCGGTGACAAGGAAAACACCGGTCCAGAGTAGGCTGCCTTGATCCATAACATACATACTTCAGCTAATGCCTTGTAGCAACGCCGACCCTCAAGCCCCCGTTGAGAAAACAGAGAAAGAAATCCAAGAGGAAATCCAGGCTATTTTCCGCCAAATTACCGCTTCGGTCACCTTCCTCCCTGTCCTAGACGGAGACTGCACATTCAACGTCCTTGTGTATGCCGACGCCGACTCCGAGGTACCGGTCGAATGGGGTGACAGCGACGCCAAGGAGATCAAGAACGCAGAGAAGGTCCAGCTCAGGAGTTTCAGCACGAACAACCATCGTGTAGAAACATTGGTCAGCTATCGTCTTGCGGACTAGGCTAACCTACCATCGGTTGCGGTGTTTTTGGAAGGCGTTCAGGATGGAGGACGACAGGCTCAATTCTGCATATTTCGGTGCTACTCGTATTTCGTATTTTAGAATCGGCCGCATATCAATAACGACTAATGAATATGCAACACTACAAATGATTTCAAAACTTCTATAAGATTTCAGCAGATCTAAACTAACATCTTATCATTACCCCAATGCTATGATATCCCGCCAATACTAATACCAAGGCAACTCCCCCATCCTCGAAAACCACTCATTCCCACCCTTCCCACCATCCCACCGCACCAGCTGCTCAACCACCTTCCCTAACCCCACATTGACAAAAAGCCCCCCCTCCATCCCTTCCACCCACCCCCTCTTAATCCTCTTCTCCTTCAACTCCCCCAAACCCCATACCGATCCCTCATCCACAGCCCAATCCCCCTCTTCTCCTCCCCCTCGATCAAAGACGCCTCCGACGTCACATCCTCTGGCGGATTAATGCCAACAACAGCAACTCTACCTTCCTTTCCAAGCCCTCTCTCAAGCGGAACCAACCCTATAGCGGGAAAATGATACTCCATAAACCGTTTCCGCTTGAACTCATGCGTCACTACTGTCACCCGCGATGGGTAGACACCCGTATAGAGCCTAAACTGCAGTAGAGAGAATAGTACATTCTGGTAGGAATCGGTAGCGTGAGGTTCGGCGATGATTTGGGCGGAAGGGATGGTGTAGGTGAAATAGTTGTTTTCTTGAGCAAGGGTCTGGAATTGGGTATTATCTTTAACATCCTTTTTTCTTTTTGTTTTTTCGGGGAAACTACATACCAGGTAAGATTCCCCTTCTGTTAAACTAGTACGGTTTCTCTTTGTTGCGCCTCTGATGTAGCAGTAAATTTGAGTAATCGTTAGTGGTGTTCTACACCTCAATCCGAATATATATAAACTTATCTGGGTAGCTCAAGAAGGGACAGTTCATACCCCGAAAAAACCAGCAACGCAGCTGGATCATTTGCCAAGGCTTCCAGGCCAGCTTTTACATGAGCTGTAAATGTCGGTGTTTCTCCCTTTTGGAAGGGTTCTATGAGCCTATTGTGGTTCCCCCCCGTTAGTTATGTGTATATGTTGTACGCGGGTACTTGCTGATATGTATGAATTCGGTAGTATGGGTACGGCGCACGCCAGGATAACTGAATGGCCCTTGCAGTATGAAATAGGAAGGCCGTAGAGGAAAGACTTACCACTCGTCCTCTGAGATGCCGTATGTTGGTCCACCGAGGTATATGGCGTGGCAGCAGACGATGATCAGATGGTTGCAGTGGGTTGGTTTACCAAGGATGGCTGGTGCTGACATTATGGCTGTACTTCGTGGATGGCTTTTCCCTCCACAGAACACTAATGGGGAGGTGAAGTCTGGGATCCAGATTGCGTATAAGTAAATTGGGATGGAGTATGTTTCGAGTTAAATTAACTTAGGCTCGGGAGATGCCTATTACCTAAGCCGGTGATGGGCAGGTTTTACGATTCTTCGAGGATAATAAGTATACAGTGCACAATTCAATTGGTAAAAGAGCTGCTGTATGAGGTCAAATCGTGTCACAAATCAGAACACTGTCCACCAGGACATCACTCTAATGTACATGCATGATGGATCGTCCGTTCCATGAAGAGAATATGAATCTCACGCCGAAGACACAATACCAACCCTGCCAAATTCTGTCCTTGCAGAATCGCATAAGCCCACCGGAAATGACAGAACTCCGTTATCATGGTAGAATGCTTCAACAGACAACGCTGAGATGACCAATGCCGAGGGAAAACAACCATCAACAGCAAAGCAGAACGCCGTGAACTCGCCCGTTATGCACATTTATGTGTCAACATACATCTGCAACAATTCAGAGGAAATAATATAGAGACAGAAAGCATGACAATATGGACATCCGTTATCGTAGGGAATGCCGACAAGAAAAAGAAAGGATAGGGGTATCAAGTGTTTGAGGTACGAGAATATTATTAGTTAAGTGGATCGTGACGGAAGGTGCAGTCGTTGCCTTTTCTGCATTTCCCTTCGGGCCAGTAACGACAAGGAACCAACCCAACCTTGGGCTATCATATATAGTTAGTGACCAATGTCCACTATAGAAAATGTAGGGATTTGACGACTTACATGACTCTTATTGGGTCCGTTCGGTTTGTTCCGTTTGAAATAACCATATCTGTCATCCTCAGAACCATCGAAGCCCGGACCCTCGCGCATACGCTTGCGCTCTGGGTCGTCGAATTGACCAGGCATTTGAGGTGGGTTCGGCCCAGATTGCTGATTGCCCCCAGTAAACTGTGATATGATTGCAGCCAGATTTGGCGCAATAGCCGGCTGCGACGGTTGAACAGGGGGCATGACAGGTGGTGGCTGCTGCATCTGCTTCTGAGCATTGAGGACAGCCAGGATTTTCTGGAAATCGAGGCCCTGTGTTGCAGGAGCCTGAGTAGCGGCAGGGAACTGAGGCATCTGCAGCTGTTGGGCTGAAGGTTGTGGCGCCTGTTGCTGACGGAACATACTGATGGTTCGCTCCAGATCCGACATCGGTGCTTGCGTCACAGGCGGAGGCGGGGGAGGCGGAGGTGTTGACTGCTGCTGCTGCTGAGGCGCATTTTGTATGATTTTGAGCAGGTTTGAAATGTCAAACTGGCTGGATTGTGCACTCGGTTGAGGTTGAGCTGAAGTTGGCTGAGGATTAATAGCGGAAAAATACCGCTCCTGTCGAACCTGTCATAATACAGTTAGCTCGGGTTCACCAAAAAAGAGGGGAAACAATGATCATGCTTACCTTGACGTGATCTGGAAGTTCTCCAAGAGCAACTGCTTCTGCTGTAGACTCGTCTTCACTGGGCGGGGGAGGTTCCTTTGGTGACGGTGGCACATCCGCAGCGGAGGTATAGAAAACCATGAGCGTCGTGGCTTCGCGGTGCTCCTGTGCTTCCTTCTCAGCACTGATCGGCTGCTGAGTGCCAGCGCGTTTGATGTTATTCCTGGAACGATCCTCCGGTGTGATGTCCGCAAAATCAATTTCTACCTAAGTCAGTATGGCATTTCTGTTCGAAGTCTAGATCATGACTTACCCGAAGGCTCATAGTAATCACACAAGCTTTCTTCGCGGACACCCCCATCCTCTTCCTCGTCGAACTCGTCCAGGTCTCTGTGGAGTTTAAGCACACTACCTTCACCCTTGACATCACCGGCCTCGTGCTGCGCATGATCCCCTGGTCCCAGTTCCTCGTCGGGATCATGCGTAAACAAACGAACTTCAGTAAGAGAGTCATCCGGCTTCCACGTGACTCGCAGCTTTCGTCTCGCTTCTTTGCGGAGTCGTTTCGTTCGTTCTTCTTCCGTCTCCGGTGGCTTGTTCTCGGCTGGCTCAGATGGAGGTGCTTCTTTTTGCTTATTAAGATCGGCCATGATATCGCCAAAAGAGAAGGTCGGCCTGGGAGGCGCAGGTTGGGAGTCTTTCTTTTCGGTCGGTGTGCTGCTCACAGTTAGTATCGAATAATGAAGCTCGACTAGTTTTACAAATCTGCTTACCTGGACTTTGCTGCGGCTGCAGCCGCAGCCGCTCTCTCTGCGTTTGAGGTGCCTGGCCTCTTCGAAGCCGACGACAAACTTCCGAATAGGTTAGTCGGCTTTGGAGCAATGATATTAGCCTTTGGACGTGTAGTAGCTGCCACTGCTGGTTTAGCCTCTTGGCCTGTTTCCTGGGGGCGCTTGGCGGGGCCAGTCACAGGGCCGTTGGTTGGCTTCTGGGTACTCTTTAGATTCGACGTAACAACCATCCGCTTCGTGGCTGGTTGGCCATTGGCCTCAGCCTCTCGAGGCCTTTTGGATCCAACTACCTCTGTACGCGGGCCGTCAGGCAATGCAACATTCGAGATAGTGTTCATGGCGGGAGATGCCTCTTTCGGCGCTGCTTTATTGCCCTCCTGTTTTCTCTTAGTAGAAGTGGCAGCATTGTCCAGGATCTTCTGAGCAAGGCTCCTAGCCACTTGTCCGCCCTTTTTGACGAACCGAGGCAGTAGTTTAGCAACATTCGTTTTTTGGAGCACATCTTCATCCATGGTAACAAATCGAGCAAGTAGCTGATGAAAAGGTCTTAGTTCTCTTGCACGGTCAATCTATGCGGGCGAGCTTACCTTGAGCAGGTTTAGGGTGAATGCCCCATCGATGTCAGAGGCCTGATGCCGATCGAGAAGGAACGAATACATGGCAGCCACCGCCATGGGATGCTCTCCTAGCCTAAAGATTCGGGTTAGCCAACAGCAATCAAATATGACATGAAACTTGTGTAAGCAGCAAAAGAAATATGACACGATGGTCTAGAATAACGGCTAGTGTGGCAGGCCAATCTTTATCACTGGAGTCCTAGTCTAGTGACTCTTCAAGATAGGTGACTATGCGGCCATACTGGGATCGCCGAAAGGGAGTTGTTCTTTAAAGAGAACCTTCTCCCTTTAGTTCCTTTGTTCTTTAAGGACACATAACTAGGTATGTACTGTCCTCGGGTGCAAGGTAGTTTCCACCCTTACTTATAAGCATTCTTTTTAAGAAGATATGCCGAAGTCCACACTAGGGAAATTACGCGGGAGAGGCTCTCAATTCGTTTCTGACTTCTATGGCCATGACAACGATATGCCAAGTTGTTAAGAGAAAGGAATAATGAAAGAGAAAGGACATACTTCTCGACGATCGTGGGGTGGCCCTGATCCAGTGTGGTGCTAACAACCACGTCCATCAGGCGCCGCTGGAGGACAACATCTTTCTTGATTTGGGCTGCTTTATCGTTTTCGCCCTTGTTTTCCGCCATTTTCATCGCCTGTGACTTCTCTTTCCACGTATCCCTTACGGCTTTGACAACGTCTTTGAACGCAACCAGTGCGCCTTTGACTTTGTCTGCATGAAGCCGCCTATTACGCGGCGACCACACGGCTCGAAGGGTATCATATTTCGCG